AAACAAGTGTAGACTTTACTCTGGAATATATATATCATGGTGCGCTAATTTTCTGCTTTTGCTGAAAATCGATCTATGAACATGTTTGGTAATTTATACATTTTCATTTTACCAGGAAATGAAAATAAAATGAATGCTTCTTTCGATATTGAATTAATGAGTCTTATTAATTTATATTTATTTCTCGATAAAAATAATTGAAAGACTTTTTTATTTAACTCACTTAATTGACTTGCAATGTAACGATATATGCAAATTATTGCATTTTGAAAAAACAATAAAAATTGTTTAGTAAAAAGTATAATTCTTGGCTCTGAAAAACCTGGAAAAATCAAGGAATTTTTTTCTGAGTCTACTAGACATCCTTGCAATTGTATCGCAAGCAGAAAAGGATTGAGGAGGTTCGGGAGTTGCGCGAGAAATAACGATGCGGACAATTCAATTTTCTAGCACATCGATAATAGACTTTAAATAGTAAAAGATAAAAATAGAAATTAAAGTTATATAACAGATTAGCCATCGCAAGAAGGTTTGCGTTTCTCAAGAGTCCAAATGCTTCGTGTTATGGAGACCTCGACATAGTCACCCCAAAGTCCTTGCCAGCACCTTTGCCGCATCAAGGTCGGGATACATTGAAAAACAGACGATACGAACGCGTTCGTTATTCGAGAAATACATCTTTGAGCGAATCGTGATCGAATATCCTCGCGTCAGGGATGAGTCTGATCGGCAAGAAAATCGCTCGCGAGTCCGGGGACATTTCGTGTCGTCGGCTTCGCAGGCTGACATTTTCCTGGGCGTTTATCGTGATAATACGGCTTTAGGTCAGAGGGTGTGGCCTCCCCAGATTGATTCGGCGAGCTACTTGCTTCTGCGCTCTACGTCTCGTCACCGGGAACGCAGCATGGCGTCCCCATTTCTTCTGTTCATCCATCTTCCTTAGCCACCCGCAAACGCATATGCACGATATACATCATCTATACGTTTATCGCAATACTGTATCGCGATAAATTTAGTCGCCCCCGATATATAATTACCCTCGAGTAGTTCGCGCGAGTTAGCGGAGGCGCCCGAGATGTTGCGCAATCTGATAAACGGGTGTACTTGATCAAATTTTTTCGCTATCTTTCTATCAATCGCGCTCGAGGAGAGGATGCTCGAGATTCGCATCCATACTTGTCAACGATATATTTCGCTACAAGTTTCGCTTTGTATAAGAATATTGTACATTTTGTTGTACAATTGTATTGTACAATTTCTCTTATCGTTTCTAAAACGTCCTTGGACGCTCGTCTCCAGTTTGCTTGGTTTTCCCAGGATTTCCACGGCGTTTATAAAGAACCGATGCACGAGCTAAAACGAGAAATGTTTTTACACTTCGGAATCGTCGATGTTAATCGCGATCTATGCTAATTGGAAGAGAACGCGTATCTCGCCCGGAATTATATTGATTTATATTGATTCATCGAAAGAAAAAAAAAAAAAGAATCATTCCTTATTCGAGGACGATTACAACGTCCATCGTCACTGTTGTTGTTATTGGTGTGCGATCAACAAAACCAGCTCAGCTGGCATAATCAAGCACGGATATTAGCGTCGAATGTGCGCGCGTGGGAGTGCGCGCGCGCTCACGCGCGTGTACGCACGATACACGTACACGTGAGCCACGTGTACGTAATGACGACGCAGTATCGACGCGGCGTGGGTGTCCGTTCTCGCTCTCCGACAGATTCGAAAACGCATTATTAACACCGGCGACCCTGGCTCTATGATTACGCGCATTAATAGCCGGATGGACGAACTTTGCTCGCGCTCCGCACTATCATTATCATCGCAACGCGAGAAAGAGACGGACGACCAGAGAGAGAGAGAGATCGTAGGAAAAGAGGCAGGTCCCACCGCGTGGCGGGCCTCGAGAGAGAAAATTACGAAACGCTCTCGCGTCTCTGTCTCGTGCATATTTAATTTCACTCCTTTTTCTTCGCAAATTTCACTTTTTTTTCGATCCCGAATATATTTTATTAGGTCAATCGTATCGACACGCCAACGATTTTAGCGTGAATCACGCGATTTTGACGTTCCGATTTTATGTATTATCGAAATTGAATCGCCTCAAAATACGTGATAGTCGGTTAAAGAAAAATATACATACCATATTCAAGGAAATATAATTTATTTCAAGTAGTTTGCAAGTTTATATATTTGCAAATTTATCGCATACGACTCTTTGCAAGCGTAAAATTTATTCAAATTATGTTGTGAATTTTAATTAATTGTAGCACTCCAACTGAGAATATCCAGAATATTGAAACACGCGAATTCCATTTGCTTCCTATAAACTTGTCAGATAAGATATTCTTTAAGAAAGAGTAAATTCTTCTTTTGAGCATATGATAATGAGATTATCTACAACTTGCGATGAGTGGTATGTTTCAAAACTATCATCAAGAAAATATTTTTCGTTGGAGACGATCATACTTACTACGAAGGAAAATAAATAAAAATTAAAATAAAAAGTTAGCTCAAAATAATAACAATTATTAAGTGGCAAAATTGACAATTAAAAGCTTTGAGCTCGAAAGAAAGATGAAATAATTAAATTAAATCAAATAATTATTTTCCTCAACAATAGAAATGATATTTTTCTGCGTGTAAATTTTCCGATCCTTCTCTCGCGATTCGTAAGATCGGAATCTTTCTTTTCGATTAATACGTCACGATTTCGATGTGATGGCAAACGCGATATTTACGGCAGATTTTTAAATATACTCTCTAAAAGTGAATCAGTGTATTATCACTGAAAAACAGTAAATCACTGATTACAGCAGTTATAAGTACAGCACTGTCAATCAATGATATTTTATTGAAGGAATTAGTTCATAATATTGACTCAATCGGTAATATTAAACTACAATTTATATTTATTATATTTAATATTGTATTAAAAATTTTATTTTATTTATGTTATATATGCATATTGAACTTGTTATTTTAAATATACGAATGAATATTTTTCATCAAGTCACCAGACATTTACTTGTCCGACTTGTAAAATCAATTTAATATCCGAAGCCTCTCTACTGAGATTGTATCAGAAATTAAATCAAAGTAATATTTCTAATTTTATCTGTCGTTCTTTGCAAACTTTATATAATTTTTATAAAATTTAAATACGAGAGAGATAATGATCATAGCGGTAAACGAACAAACTAGCGATTACTAATTTTACAGTGAATTTTACTTTAATTGACCATAATTAGTGAGATATAAGATAAAATAACAAAAAAGCGTTTCCATTGAAGGTCAGTAAATTTCTCACTGATTTTTAGTGAAATCTTATTTTACTGTTTAAATTAGTGATATTTTCACTGATTCAATTTTAGAGAGTATAATATGTATGTTTCGCATACATACGCGCATATCGTACACCTCGCTCGCGCGGGCAAACTCCTTTTCAAATTGCATATCAGGCGCGATCGAGTGTCGCGAATGTACCAATCTTCCAACGATGAATTATTCATTGTGTAAATAATTCATAAATCTCACTCGTGCGAGCTCCACGAGCGTCGCGCGAAGCGGCAAAGCCCATTCGAAAGCTCGAAAGCTTGCCACGCGATATTTTTTGACGGGTCTCTCTACCCCAGCGTATGGACCGAATCATATTTTTAAAGATCTTATGTATAGGACTCGCTATTTCCTCTCTCCCTTATTGATACTTGAACACTTAAAAATATCGATTCGGAAAATAAAATTTAATTTAATTTTTATTAATTTAATAATTTAATAATTTTATTAATTTATTAATTAAATTAAATTAAATTAAATTAATATTTTTTCCACACGAAAAATCTTTATCTTTCTCGACGCGGCTTCCCATAGAGCACAAAACATTGCAGTAATATCGCGGCAATATTGCAACAATATTAATAATATTGCTGCAATATTCTGTGCCGCATGGGTTCTCGTACGAAGGTGCTGTAAAATCAAAGATTCTCGCCTCGGATTTCCGTCATAGGCGATGCTCCAAGGTTTCCTGCAGACACGGGCCGAATGTTATGCAGCGAACATACATGCTGTAGCGAGGTGGCATTCGTCGTCTTTCGACAAGAGAGCGCGAAGGAGAGAAAATAAGGGGGAGGAGGGAGAGAGAGATAGAGAGAGAGAGCGAACGGTGTAGCATCGGGCGCGAGGGCGGCGTTGTTCGTGTACAAATCATGCGAAGGATGATGCGGCATCGCCAGCATCCCCGCACCTCCGTCGCACCTCCTCGCGCGTGCTGGACGTCGTAGGGCGAGACGGCGGTTGTGCATGTTAACGGGGCCCGACCCCGCGCTGGGGACCTACGCTATACCGCGTATCACCATATCGCAAGTCACTCTCTCGTCCTCTCGTCCGGTCCCTTTTCTCGGCGTACGCGCCCTTTACGAACCTTAACGCGGCTTCGAGGCGACCGAGGGAATTTTAACCGCATTCATTATCGTGTAAAATAACTATTTCCTCCAATTTTATCGAATTATTTATTTTTTCTCTTGTATAAAAATTCATAAATAAATCGTATAATATCAATATCGTCAATTACAATAATCTTATAACAATTATTATTATTATTAGATAGAAAGAGAAAAATAAAGGGAGTAAAACATCTTTTTTATCATGATAATAATGAAAATAATTAATACGATAAATGAGATTAAATATAACAATAAAAAAAAATTATTTTAATATTTTAGATGCAAATGTGATTATACTAGCTAACTAAATAAAACAGTGGTAGATTTATAGTAACAAAATTCCAATAAACATTTATTATAGATTACAAAGTCTTCTGTAAGAAATTATTGTTAAAAAATCTCTGACAAAAATAACGCAACAAAAATGTAGCTTAATATTCAAGAAATAAAAATAAAATGTATTAAGGTTTAATAGAAATATTGTAATAAAAAAAGAAGTTAAATATTGAAAAATCAAAATTATATACACGAATATTTTTTTATTGCCAGCAGACGTCGGACCTGGACACCTTGTTGTGCAGGCAGGATCTCGATCGTCTACAGAGGCTGGATGAAGATGAATCGGACGCGAGAGACGCACGGGAACCTTCGTCGGTGCACATGGAGGACTTCTTCGAGGTCGGCGGTCCCACGACGGTGTGCCGGCCACCGCAGGCCAGCTTCGTCTCCGCCAGGGGTCAGCCAGCGGCCGCCGGTCAAGACGACGACGTGTTCCTCAGGCCGCCGCTCTGGGAGGACATCACGTCGAGCATCCAGAAGCTGGACCCGGAGAACGCGGACATGCTGGGCTCGCAGTCCCACGTGAAACTGGAGACGGATGACGTGACGTCGCCGCCGGTTCTGTCTCCGGTGGAGATCAAGACGGAGCCGCTACCGCCCCCGCCAACCTTGCACCTCCTCGAGAGCCCGAATCCCGCGCAGAACCCCTTTCCGAACCCCGCCAGTGTTCAGCACGTCGTCCATCATCGGACAACGCCGACAACGACGACGGCGCTCTTCAAGAACTTTCCCAACAATAACAATAACAATAATAGCAACAACAACAACAATAGTGGTACCGTTAATAGCAACGGCGCGAGCGGGAACGGCGGCAATAACGGTAGCAGCGGCGGCGCCAGCAACAACAACAACGGCAGCAACAATAGCAACAACGGTAACGGTGACTCGTCGACGACGAGTCATCATCAGGCGAGCGGTAACGCGACGTCGCCGCTCTACGGCTCGATGACGAGGCTGATGTATATTTCACCGCTGACGCCACCGATCTCCGATCCCGGCTCGCCCATTGGTCCACCCAGGCGGACACCGCCACCCCCGTATCCTCAGCCTGGCCCGATCCTGAATCCGGCCCACAGGATTCAGCCGTCGTCGATGTCGTCCAAGTTCAACAGGCGGAACAACCCGGAGCTGGAGAAACGTCGAGTGCACCATTGCGATTTCATAGGTAAGCACGTATAAATTAAGGATGTTTTGTACCTATTTTCGAAATATTGAGAATTTAATGAAAATTGTGCAGAATGTTCTTACATATGTTTAGAATTTTTAGTACGATTTTTAAATCGATTCACTAAAGCGTTCACAAGTTATAAGGATTTTAATGTGCACCGAATTAACATGTGTTCTTGTGGGAAATGTATAACCATGTCGATTCAAATGACAAAAACACATGGAAATAATATTCAGAATTTGTTTAAAATTTGCGAAAGTTTAGATACAGAAAAAATATTTGGTCAAATAATATTATAAAAGTACTAACTGGTTAAAGAAACGTTAAGGATGTTTTGTACCTATTTTCGAAATATTGAGAATTTAATGAAAATTGTGCTGAATGTCCTTACATATGTTTAGAATCTTCAGTACAATTTTTAAATCGATTCACTAAAGCGTTCACAAGTTATAAGGATTTTAATGTGCACCGAATTAACATGTGTTCTTGAGAAATGTATAATCACGTCGATGACAAAACACATGACAAAAACACATGAAAAATAATATTCAGAATTTGTTTAAAATTTGCGAAAGTTTAGCTACAGAGGAAATATTTGGTCAAATAATATTATAAGAGTACTAACTGGTTAAAAAGATATTAAATATAATTTAATGAAGCTATGTATCTATCACAAGACGAAATTCTCTGCCAAAAGTTAATCATTTCGATTAACAAAATTCGGAATATTTCAGTAAAAAACGCAATAAATATTAAAAAATACATCTCTGCACCGTAGCTAAGATCAAATTGTAATGTTCCACACAATTTCTCATACTCAAAATACCCCAAAAGTGGATATTCCTCAATATTGATTTTCAGCTACTTTTTGCTGGGATCGTACAAAACATCCTTAAAAAATAATTACACATTATATGATGGTATTTCGACAACATTCAGATGAAAAAAGATAGAATCAAGGGATTTAAATTCTGTTAATCGTTTTATGAATGTTGGAGTTTCTGATCTTGAGCAAACTCGAGTCATTTCGACCAACCTCACTCATTCGCTCCCTCTTTCAGGTTGTACAAAAGTCTACACGAAGAGCTCGCACCTAAAGGCTCATCAGCGGATACACACGGGTGAGTGAAAAACGTACCGTATCACGTACCGTATCACGTTGTTGCTAACACGGGCGCTAAAATTAAGGGGAGGGGCCTCGGTGTATTATCCGGCTAATTAGGTATGTAGCTCATTTAGACGTAGCGAGACGACACGAGGAGTATGAAAGCGCGAGGTCGAGAGCGCTCGGCGCTCGCGCGTGGGCAGGGCGCGGTCCCGAGCGTCTTTCTCTCTCCCTCCCTCCGTCCCTCTCCCCCTTTCTCTTCTCCTCTCTTTCTCTCCTCGCCTCCATCTCCACGCGGTGTCGCGCAAAGGCGCTTCTATCATATGTAAACGCGGTAAGGGAAGCGTACGAAGCTCTCGTGGTATGCGACTCTCCGCTTAGCTGCTAGAGCGAAGCTAGTCGGCCGACCCACATCCTATCCGCGTCCAAGCTCCGCCAACACACGAACGTCAAGCCGCGGCACCAACACCGCGCCGGTGTTTGCTACCTGGGCGAACACGACGTACACTAGGTTCCCACACGCACCGGGACGCGCGAGAGCGCGAGAGGGAGAGATGGAGACAGCTGGGGAGAGAGAGAGAGAGAAATGTGCTTCCCGCACACGTGCCTACGCGGCGGTCTCTCGCGGAATGCAAGCCGGAGGCATCTTAAGTGCGATGTACCACTTTCGAATTGATAGCTCGGCGGGTTTTTGCGGTAAACCCGTGTCATCGCCTCGAACGAGCCGATCGAACGAAACGGGCGGCACGTACGTCAAGATAAAAGAAATCGACTGGAAATTTAGAGCTACGTGTAATTCAAAAGTCAAATTTCAGACACAAGTTTTGTCATCTTGCTTTTTCGAAATTATTTCAACGTACTTGATACATTTTTTCTATTCAGGTTCTCTGAAAATGGATCTAGAAGAAAGAGATCGTTATCTAACAAAAGGTTCCATTGGATTCATATTTAGATTTTGATTACCATCGATTGACTCATTCTTGCCTCGACATCTTCAATTGAATATTTGAAGCGGAGGATCCAAGATCTCTCAATTAGACGACTAAATGAATTGCGGTCACTTTTCATCGCCTCGACTTGTACGCGTTCGCCGATCGGTTTCCTCGCCGGGAACCAATCGATTCGCGAGATTATGCGAGGATATTTCAATTTGTCGCGCGATCTTGAATACGAGCGTAGATACGTGGAGGCGCGCAGAAACGGGGAACGCTCCGACGTGAGGGAGAAGCCGAGGGGGGCACGTGGCCCTCGCGCGCGGCTCGATCGGACGACTCGTGAATGAACCCTCGCTTCGCCGCGTTGCTCTTGTGAATGCCCGTGCCACGAGCGTCGACTTTGTGTCATTAATTCATTTACGATTCCAATTATTATGCCATAAGAGATGTTAAAAAAATAATCAAGATATTTACTAAGTAATTAATTTAATAATTCATCGAAATAACGTAGACAAATTAATATTATTACATATATGTGCGTATGTAAAAGCATGTAAATATATATATTTATATTTTACTTAATACAATATGTATAATATATGTTAATATAAATAATATACATAATATATTAATGAATATATTATATATATTTAATTACATATTTATTACATATATATTTTAAATTTCATATAAAATTTTATATATGCATACATATATAAAATTCGATGACGAAAAAAAATATATTAAAAATTCATATATCTTGTATAACATAAAATTTATATAATCCATTTATATAATCGATTTTTCAAATTGATGGTAATTTTTGTCAGATGGTCGCTTGAAAAGTTTTTGAACGTTAAAATAATCGATTAATCGTTATCGTTAATCATCGAGAGACAGGTCTCACGAGAAAGCCCGCGGTGATGGAAGAAATCTGGAGCAAAGTACGGCTAGGAAGCGTATTTGGAAAGCAACTTGTCTCCGCGCGAAGCGGTCGCCGTCGGCTCTCGGGTGAAAGTGATCCAAAATTAACGGGGACGCCTGGAGGCCCCGTAGGTGTCGCCGGATCGGCTGATCGGCTCGCCAGACATCGCTCGCGTCAGACGCGTGGTAACGCAATATCACGATATTACGATACGACGAATGGAAGGATTCGAAAAAACGCTCATTCCCGCTGTAAAGATCGTACATTACTAACGTTCTCGGTATTTTCGGAGAAGAAAAAAAGAGAGAATCTCTTTTAAACAAAAGTCACTACAAGATGGAAAAAATCTTAGCACGTACACACTAATTGTAAGTGTGAACGTTGTCGGTAAATTTCAAATGTTATTCCACTCTATATCTCGTTTCGCTAAATTATATTCACTATACGTTATATAAATACAATATCACGTAGTTATATTACATACGTGCAATATTAAAAAATTATATAATTACGTTATTATTACATTATATTGTATTTATTTCACACATAACATTACATTACTGTAACGCTAATTCAGGGAAATTGCGCAAGGATAATCATCATTGGAGATCCAATTTAAGTTTCGAGAGAGATTCTAAAATACAATACGTAAATTATTTTCGTGGATGGAATATCCTTGTTCTCGTGAGAATAATTCGAATTCGCCTAAAACGCGTCGAAGTTCTCTCTCGGGATGAAATTTCGTTCCAAGGCGAGCCGTTCATTCTCCTCGCCGTTGAAGATTCGCGGGAGAGGAATTCTCACGTGAACGCACGCGATACCGTAAATGGCGGGCGTTCGTGTGTGGTGGTAGTACCGTTTCCTTGGGCTGTGCGTCGCGTGGCGCAGCGATGCTGCCAGGAACGCTGAATGCGACTCTCGGCGCAGGGCGGCTGCTGCGGCCGAGGACCGGTTAGGGTCGTCTCCGCGTACAGCGCGTGCGAGGGACAGGGGAGGGGGGGAGGGGAGGACGGGGAACGCAGGCTAGGAGGATGCGTGGGTGTATCTCGCAGCTATCGAGTTCTTTCTTCTCCTCCTCGCGTATGTACGCTCGCCCTCCCGCTCCCCCCCCCCCGCATCCCCCTCGATCCTTCGCCTCGATCGCCTCTACTCGCTCGCTTCTTGCGCGTCGCCTCGCGAGGAGACCTTTCGTCGCGATCGAATTTGCGAGCGAGGATAGAGACGGATAGGTGGAGTACTCCGATGATGGATGCAATTGTGCATTTCGAAAAGGTCAGTCATTTGGATCTTGAAGATTTCAAGAATCCTAAATACTACTCGGTAATTTGTCCCTCGAGTCGTACCTAAACTTTGCGAATTGTGGACTTAGTCACACGTTGATTGTAAGGAAAAATTGTCCGCCTTTGTAGAAGCTTATGTCGCAGGCTTGCAGATTGCGAATTTATTCCACTCTGGCCTAAACGTTCACGTTGCATCTTCGGTATCAATCGGATGAGCTCTCGATCCTATCGTAAAGATATAATACAATAAGCGAGGCGCGTTCTCTCGATAATCGGCCAAGCTAGGCGGAATGCGGGCATGTTGGCTCGCATTAGTAGATCGGCTGCATTCGGCCGTTCGCTCGCGGACCGGCCGCCGCGATTGCGCTAGAATACAGGTGAGCGTGTTGCGGCATGCAGGTACAGTTAAAGGTCACACCGTGCTGCATCTCTCGCAGCTGAGAGAGGCGCGCGCGCGCGCGCGAGACGGGGGTATCTCGTATACCGCATCCCGTAGCTCTATCTTCGCAAAGAGCAAACGCTTTGTTCTCTAATAGGTCGCCGGTCTCTCTCCAAACGGAATACTCGTTTCGCGCCCGGTCGATTCTCTCGATACGTCGGTGCGATGTATTATACTCTCTTTCGAGGAAAATCAACCCGGGAATCTGAATGCAAAGAAGATATTATATTAGATATTGTATCTTGATCTGTGTGAGAGAGAATTAGAAGAAGAGGTCACAGTGATATAAAGAAATTTCAAGACTGCTTACTCGTTTTTCAAGTTAGCTGTTTCGAGAAACGAATCATGTGTTGCCTCTTGATTTTTATATTCGTACACTGAGAAAAATCATTTGATTGTACCAACAAGATTTATATGATTGAAGGCATTTTAGTTAAATCAAATAAGAATTTCTTATCTTGTTATCATGATAAGACTCGATTTTTTATAACTAGAACGTTTAATAGATTTTACTATAAGGATTTGGTTAGTATTTTCTGGTTGGATCTATCAAATTTCTCGTTACATTAATTTCTTTGCTTGCTTCTTAACTTAACTCGTATTCAATATTTGCCATAAATGTATATAAAGAATTAATATTAACATTAAATCCAAAGTATATTTTTTTCTCTTACGAGCAATAGTGCCAGAAAGAGGACGCTAGTTCTCTGATTGTGGGTATTTGAGCTGCATTCTCTTCTTGCATCACTGTTTATCAGTTTAAAATTCTAACAAACTGAATTTAAAATAATTTATTCAATAATTTAGGTTGAATTTATCCAATAATCTTGTTGGAATTCAGAATAGTTATTATTATTATTTATTATTATTTATTATTTATTAATTAATTTAATATTTATTATTTATTATTTATTATTATTTATTATTTATTAATTAATTTAATATTTATTATTATTTATTATTAAACAGGCTTTTGAGATTAGATGGAAAAAATTTTAGACGACTTGGTGCTGGGGAATTTAGTAATTATTAACCAGAAAATGTGATAAATTTAACAGGAAGAAATTAATCAGATTCATGATCATTCCTACAAGAATTCTGGTTCGTCCATTTTCCAAGAGACATACTGGTTAAATCTGCGAGAATTCTAATTAACGCAATCAGATTTTTTTCTCAGTGTAGCTTACAAGAACAAATCGTATAATATATGATGCCAACTTAATAATACTTTTATATCAAACTCTGCTTTTATTCATGTCTTCTCGATTGTTTCAGGCGAGAAACCGTATCAGTGTCAATGGCCGGAGTGCGAGTGGCGATTCGCCAGGAGCGACGAATTGACGCGGCATTACCGCAAGCACACCGGGGCTAAGCCCTTTAAATGCGCGGTCTGCGAGCGCTCGTTCGCCAGAAGCGATCATCTCGCGCTGCACATGAAGCGGCACCTCCCGAAGCAGCACACCAAGTGAAGCGAAGGAGCGACAAAGAGGCGAGAGAAAGAGAAGGAGAGAGTCGTCTTCTTCGCTTCCCTCCTCCCTCGCTCCTCGGCTACCTGTGTTGGACGCGCTTTTTCGCCATTCGGGCTTTCGATTAGAATCCGTCAATCGAGCGATTCGTAGACGGAAATGCGTAGAAATTAGACGAGTGCAGGCTACTTTCCCAAGTATTATTCTCCAAACGGAACGACATATCCATGGCATCATGTCGCTGCAGAAATTGCACGTGGTTATTACGTCGTTATCGCGCGCGAATCTGTTTTTCTTTTCCTCATTCAAAGTCCCGATCTCGAAAGGTTGGTACGGAGCTCGGTGATTATTTTCGAGCCGATCCTTACGACCGTTAAATCACGTTCGTTTATGTGCAATCGAATTCCCATTCTCGCGATACGATTCCGGCTCCGGGTCCCAATCTCCGTCGGCGCCGATTCGCGATATGCAATGTATACGTGCACCGATCGACGGAGCATCGATCGGGTGCCGCTCGAAGCCGAGCTCCGAGTCCCGGCTCCGATCCACGCCTCGGTTTGCGTTCATTACTCTTCGGTTAACCGATTATGACGAAACACATCCTCGGTGTGGGTGGCGATCGCGAGGATGTATTTCGTCATAGCGCTGTATGCTCGCTCACGGACACGACCCGGGAGTGAGAGACGCCGGGATCTTACGTGTAACTGTAGCGTCGACGAACGAGCCCGGAGCCGAGCCGAGAGTCGAGTCGTGCGCGACTAGAAGAGCGAAGCTAGCGTTCTCGGAAAGTAAAAGTAAGTAAAAACAGCTCCTCGTCCCGGGAGAAACATCTCGCTCTTAAAAACGTCGAGACGTTATTTCGGATCCGCTCGTGACCGAGCGCGACGTTTGTGCAATTTTTTTCGATCGAATCGCTCAAGGACGCGAATCTGCGGTTACCCCTTTTTCGCTCTCTTTCCGCGCGGTATCGAGAATCGCATCCGTGGAAACTCTCGAAAAGCTCCTTTCAACAAAAATCAGGGAGAGAGAGAGAGAAGAGATATATTTACATTTGCAGATAACAATGTTCAAGTCGAATCGGGGACTCTGCTATCTTTATCCGCATATTTTTCGCGAGGTTGATTTCTCGCTCTAATCGAGGCAACGTATTCGACTCTTCTCCTCCTCGACCTGTCGCTTCGCGATCCCCTCGAGTCCTCGGCGAAATGATTTGCCGGATTAAAGCATCGCTATCTCGAAATTATCGCTATCTACAGGTTGACCGCGACTCGAGATACCCCGTTTGGCGCGTAAACGTTGGTTTACATTCGCGCTCGAGCTTAAGCCGAGGAAGCTTTAATCGCCTCATCGTCCCGCGTCATTTCGATAGTCGTCGCTAATGCGAAATTTGCCGCGACATATTTACCGAGCCTCCTCGAGGCAGGAACAGATAGATAGATAGTAGAAGAGCGAGTATCACGCCTCTCGTCGTTATCACGTTCGTATGCGAGAAGCGACACGATATCGTGTGATGCCTTATGTACAAATTCGCGTAGAATCTTGAAGAGATAAGACGATCGATGTACGTGTGCGTGCGTGAGTGCGTGTGTGCATCCGTAACGAGTGTTGCATCCGTGTGCTATATGCGAGTATGTGTATTTATATATACGTATTCTACACACACACGCGCGCGATAGAGTCTGTGTATGCGCTTGTGTATACGTGTAAAAAAAAAGGAAGGAAGAAAAGTGACGGAAAGAAGATACGCATCTGAGATAGCCATGTGTAGCTAGTGTGTAATATTATCTGTATATTACCGCGGAACGATGGGCCGGGAATAATTCGTTCTCACGCGTGCTCCAATCGGCCCGAGCCGATCCATCCATCCATCGCTCGTCATTCAAGGCGTAGACGCTTTCGCGCGAAAAACGCAAGGGACTTGTAACGGACCGACTTGTGGCGATAGCCAGGGACGTAGAGAATCCCACGTAAGGGTACAGTGAATTTTTTAAAAATCCATAGTTCTGAGAGTCTCTCAAAAAAAAAAAATTATCATGCTTCCTTGTTAAACATTCTTTCGACACTTGCCACTCGGTTGGAGACTGAAGAGTTATTTCGAAATCTTTATATAGTGTAGAATCTTGTTTCACCAATTCTTTCAATGTATCCTTTTCCAAAGAAGGTATCCTTTTGACCTACGCAAATGATACAATGATTTGAAAATGTATCGTCCATCCAACCATCGCTCGTCATTCAAGACGTAGACGCTTTCGCGCGAAAAACGCAAGGGATTTATAACGGACCGACTTGTGGCGATAGCCAGGGACGTAGAGAATCCCACGTAAGGGTATAGTGAATTTTTTAAAAATCGATAGTTCTGAGAGTCTCTCAAAAAAAAAAAATTATCATGCTTCCTTGTTAAACATTCTTTCGACACTTGCCACTCGGTTGGAGACTGAAGAGTTATTTCGAAATCTTTATACAGTGTAGAATCTTGTTTCACCAATTCTTTCAATGTATCCTTTTCCAAAGAAGGTATCCTTTTGACCTACGCAAATGATACAATGATTTGAAAATGTATCGTCGATTCGCTTATATATATATATATATAGCTTATATATATCCTATAACATATTATCCAGATTCTCGTTTAGATTCCCTTATAAGGAACGAGCCGATATTTTGATTTCGTTTTTTGCAACATTTTATTGCTAGAAACTCGGACTATTAATTTCAAGAAAGTTACCATCCGTCCCTGGCGCTGGGAAGACATCGCGTTAGATGAAAGGAGATGGACAAAAGGAGAGAAAGAAAGATGGGGAGAGAAAGGCGTCGGCGAAAAGCGATTTCGCGTATCTCGGACGTTCCGTTACGTTCCGATATACGAGCACGTCTCGTACCTCGGGAGCCCGCGCAGGAGGCCAAAAATTCTGTCCATAGTCGACGCTTTGTACACAACGCGCGGATCGTTGTAATAATAATGATCGATCGATCGGATCGGATCGTTGTGTAGTTACGTAGTCGAGCGTTAGACGGAAAAAGCGAAGTAACGTGTCTATTTATATCTCTGTCTATCCGCCTACCTATCTCGTCACCGCATCCTTCCGAATCGATTCCTTCGAATCGTCCTTCTCGTCCTCGTCGTCGTCGTCGTCGTCGTTTAGTCCTGTCCCGACACTTTCTTCCTGTTTTTTTCTCTTCTTTTTCAATTTTATTTCGCCGCCCGATTTACCTCGCCTCCTCTCCGTCTTTCGTTCCTCCTCTTCTCGTCCCCCCTCTCCTCCCTCTTATCCTGTCTTCGTTGATAGCGGTTCCTCCGCTTCTAGCTTGTATCCTCTACCCATTGTCGAGAGGGATCGACTTTCTACGCGGTTACTCTTATCTTATATATATATTATATATAAATGCGAAATATACCTCATTTTTGCAAATATGCAGTAATAGTGTCGACGAGCGCCGCTTTAAAGCGCATATCAAATTTGTACGCACCTCTTACTCTCGACTTTTTGCGGTCTGTCCATAATGTTTACGCTGTAATTTGTGTGTTGTGTAATTTAAATATACAATGATATATCTCTCTGTAATGATACGTATCATTCCGCATTGTTTTCGCTCGTAGGTCGATAAAATGAGACTATCTACGTCAGTCGTTGTGGCTTTGTACTTTTTCAGGTAAACCACTAATCTCCTCTATAATCCCATTATCCCACAATGTTCTTCATTTTATTTCACAAGCAGCATTCTTCACAAAGTAATTTGCACGAGTCATTAAAGAAAATGATAACAGTAAAACTTCAGATATTAATGGAGTCGCGCACCTTTTAAGAGTAAAAATTTAAGAAAAATTATATCGGACGTCAAATAGATAGATTCAAAAGACTAAACTCCGTTTCAAGGATGTTGGCGCCACCTTGTAGTTTTCCTTGTAGTTTGCACTTTAAAATAAATTTTTTCTCTTCCAGAGGGCAGCATCTTACGTTTATTTTCTTGCCATATTTTTAAGAGAACTCTAATATATCGACAGACGATAACTTTCATCGTATGATAACAGAGAGTTTGATTGCATTAATCGATAAAATAAATGTGTTCAGTGTATTTCACCAATCTCGATTTTGTGAATATTTTGTGAATTTTTTAAAAATATATTCTCTAAAAATTTTTTCAGAGATTGGCATATTTTCGAGGAAACGGTATACAAGGATATAATCTCCGAGCAAAGGATGCAAAGAATCGAAATCATCGATGAAATAAAATTTTATAAAAAACAGGTTAGATTACCTCAAGTGTTGAACGAGTTTTGGATGCTCATACGTTTTTAACTTATAAGCATTATTGCTAATTATTTCCTCTTTGCTTCATCGAAACAACTAAAGTCATAAATAATAATAATTATTATTTATGTCATAGTAACATCACATAAATATTCATTCTTGAATGCTTGTAGAATCAAAAAATAAAATAAGATTAGGAGCAATAAAGACATGTGAACATTTCAACTAAACTAAACTAAACTTATTTTATATTTATCAAATATTGAATGTTTCAGACTCTAAAAGATGTCTCTAAAAGAATTCAACAAAAAAAGATGTAAAGGAATTTCAATTTTATGATAAATGATGGATATGCTATGTGAAAAGGTAAGATTTCTACCATAAAAAATATACATCTTCTCCATATAAAACTTGTAAATGAAGATAAAGAAAAACATGTATATACTGCAAGCTGCTATTATATTTGCATTTGTTGATTGCTAGAGAAATGGAATATGCAGCTTATCGAGTGGCTGATTTTTTTAGCACAAATTATTCCCATCACGATCATTTACAACTATTTGAATTCAAGTTAATGGCTCTTTGTTTCAATATAACTTTAATCAAGTTTTCTTTTGTGTATTAATTTAAATATCTGTTTATAAAAATAAAAAACTGATAATGTTACAAAATCTAAAAATATTAGGCACAATAGAGCTAAAAGTAAATATATATTTTAACAAAGAAAGTGGCAGCGAAAGAAAGATAAAGTCAGATAAGATAGCCAAGTTAAGATTCCAGTGGAATTTCTTTCTCCATGTGCGTTAGCACAATATTGCGGTTTGTTTCAGGCAAACCTGATTTGTCTCCTATCTTTGTTGATCTTATGTCTAAGCACATAACATCAGTGTTTAGAGAGTGCTGTTTATCATCCAGATTTTTCTCGATACGTGTAAGTAAAGATTCCAGGCTATTGTAGCTTGCTCTGGAAAATAAATTTAATATCAAGCTTAAGAAAATGAATGAAGTGAATGATAATGATTGATTATGACACAAATATATACTTTGCACGTTCGATAATCTGAATCAAATCCTCCTTAGTCTGTTTCAATTGCAGAACTTCATTCTTCAAGCCAAATTCAACTTCATCCTTACAAAGCTCCGAGCCAGGTCGATAAGCGCGATTTTCTAATCGCGTTTCGACACATTTTACTACGCCTGTTTTACTCATTAACGCTCTTTCCAACTGTATTATCTCATTTCCCAACATTTCCATTTCCTTCTGCACCTATTTAGATTTAAAAAATTCAAATGAGATTAGATGTCTTCTTTTATATATCCAATATTTCTTCTATTATGTGATTATTATACATTTTTTAAATTTCTCTTTTATTTAGATTAAAGATTAATAACTTCATTAGCATAATATTATAAAATTAAATTTATAATCTATTTTTATTAAAATTAATCATAATCGAGATAAAAGATTCGAGGCACAGACACCTTGAGCTTCTGCCATTCCATCTCATTTCTAGCTTTTTGCGTTTGATAAATCCTCTTTCTCAGAGTGTAATCCGTCGCATCTTGTTGAGCTTTGATATCATTTCGCGCACATTCCTTCATTACGCGCATAGCTTCGCGAAAAGTGTAACCATCACTCAGCTCATTGTCGACTAACATTTTTAAGCGTTGACATCGGTCCGACCACATCTCATATGTAATGGAACTATACACGAAATAAAACAAAATAGATTACTAATTAGCTACTAATAATGATCATATATGAAAAAGCAATACATTACTCTGTTTTTTCGGTAATTGACGTTCTCGGCTTGTAGCTTATATTCGCGCAAATGTCATCCAATTCGAGATTTCCCTTGTCTATTCTAATAGTTTCACTTTTATCTTCTATATCCAAACTCAGCTTGAATTTAACGTCTTCCAAGTGATTCAACTTTTCCCACGCGGCCTGTGCCCTGCGATACATAAACAAAAATATAAAAAATTTTTTTTATCACGCATCATCAATTTGATGGTCACCTGTTGGTGAACGTTTCTTTAACATTTGCGATCGCGCAGAGTTCCTTCTTCAGCTCGACGTCAGTCTCGTCGTACGTAAGCTCGGTTCCTCTACGGCAATCCCTTATCGAGATGCACTCGTTGACAATTCGCAGAGGATAATCTATGTTTTCAATTTCCTTCTCCGTATCGGCCTTCTCGTCGCTCAGCAAACGTATCTCGATTAATAACTTTTGCAACAAGTCCTCCAGTGTGTCCTTCCATCTCGATAATTCTGTTACTCTATCAAAATAAAATATTATATAATATCGAAAATTAGATTTCTTTAAATATCGATTGAAATCGATTGTAATTTAAATATTTTTATTAAGACACTAGAATTAATTTTAAAACGTAAGGAAAATTGATAAAAATTTAATTATTTTTATAGTTTGTATCACACCTGTTCACCAATCGAGTATTATTTGTACAAGTGTCCCACTTTGTCGTGATGTTTCCCTCGGAACGAGTACTTTTGCCCGAATTCCGTAATTGACAGGCCTCGGCTCGTCTAATGTCCGCGCTTCGTCGCAGCTCCCATTGTTTGGCGTACCAATCCGGTAGGCCAATATGAGGTACAGGCTTCTCAAAAATACTCACAAATTTGGTCATGTTGATTCGTTTGGCAAGAGAAATGAGGATAAAGCTGATGACAAGCAGAGGAAGAAGTATTCCAAAACTGCGCTTGTAAGAAGTTTCGATCCTGACGTTGTCAGGACAACGAGACAAGGCAAGGCAAGCGAAATTGTATGCGTGATTAATCCTTGCTAAATCTCCTTGATTTTTCAAATGAATTTTTGAAATAATAACGATAAACTGGATCTTGGGAGTTGACATCTTGGATTAATATTTTCAATTTGAATTTTATTTAAATCTCGCAATTTTAATATTTTTAATGTCAATTAATTGTGTCGATTTAAAAATTTGACTTTGTTGAAAAAAATTTGAAAAAAAAAAATGATTAATTTTTTTTTTAATTTTCAAATTGTCTCTGAATTCTTAGAAAAATAAGACCTTTGTTAGGATTACTATTCTTCAATTGAATTAAATTGATAAACGAAAGGGGAGATGTTCCTTTGAAAATCCATAAATCATTTTAAGTCCTTCAAATTTTTTATGAATTTTTTTTGGAAGCTACATTACACATCATCTACGAGTTCAAGCGAAGAAGGAGAAGAGAAGACAATTTGTTTGATCGTGTTACCGCAACTGCGCAAAAATTCGCCCGACAAATTTGGGTGGGCGTCAATGAAACATTATCGATCGTTTAAATTATCGATGTCGTATTCAAACTACTCCATTGTTTCCGGTAATATTCATGGTCAATATGGCCGCTTCGTGCAGAGGCCAGTAACGGTGGAAGACATCGTCTTTAGAGGTACAGTAGAAATTTAGTGTCCGGCATCGACTACATTTTTTGACGAATTTCCATTCCGCGTCTTGCAATAAATTGTCAGCAGCTCTCGTTTCATTCATCGATTTATCGAGAGGAAAGGGTTGCTGGAGATTCCTGCGTGAGTATGCGAGAAAATACGTCGCAAAATAAGTGTGCTCGTTTTAACTACACTCATACTCGCGTTTTTACACTCGTGCACTTTCCGTGTTTAAAACGACGCGTATATATTCGGACGTTGGGTGGAAAAAGAGAAAAGGTACAGAGAATATAGCTAACTATAGCGACACGGAATCCAACTAAATATAAGGGATGGGGGAAAGTCAATCGATGGTCGGATCGAAAGGACAGCTGCTGAGAATTCACGAAAGAAAACCGGGGAGTAATTACTCCGAAATAGAGTCGAGAAGTATCGAAATGTGGAAATTGAAACAAGTGCATGGCGTTCGATGCCTTGTCGAGTATTTTCAATATTTGTTTTTTATATCGTTATTAATATCATTCGCTTGATTAATAGAAAAATTAATACACTTCGAAAAAAATACGGAAATTTTTATAAATAGATGAAAAGAAATTTATTTTCGATAAAACTTTAAATATCTAATTTTTCACACCACGAATCAATTCTCAATTTTTTATACAAAAATTCGAGCTTTTGGATTTAAATTATAAATTAATTATATTTATTATATATTGATCTCATATCTATTTTAATATTTTTTTGTTATATAAATTGAGATATTTTTTTATCTGTAAGATAAAAACATATGCCAAATGTATAAAAAAATATCTCAATTTACATAACAAAAAAATATTAAAATAGATATGAGATCAATATATAATAAATATTATCAATTTATAATAATTAATATAATTTATAATAATTAATTTAATGTATAATAATTTTTTATCTGTAAGATAAAATTTAGACTTTTGCAGAAACGTATGATAAGGTGATACAATAAAATACAACTATTAAAAATAAATATTGACTAAAAATAATTTCAGCGACGTAATATTGGCAATAATTTTTATAGAGGTTTTTATCGGACTCTTGATTGAAATCAAATTGATCGTTTTGGCCGAAACTGCCCTCGATCGGCGTCATCGGAGACGAGATCTCGCCATTGTCGGAATTTATTATTACCCGGTATAGCGTATGTTCGCGCATGCGCGCGGGACAGAGGAAAGCTCTCCTATTCGCTGAAGAATTTGTCCCTCCGCGTTTCTGATAACGCTATATTCCCCGGTATACTCTCTCCGATACAGCCGGGCGTGCGTGTGCGTGAAGAGCGCGTCTCGCGGCGCGTTACAAAAGCAAGAGTGCGCGTGTACTCTCGCCCGAGCGTAAACTCGGTTGAAACACTTCAGAAGGCGGCGGGAAGGTAACCAGTCGGCTGCACCGCGACGTGTGGAAGAGACATCGACGGAGAAAGGAGTGAGAGGGAAGAGGAAGGGAAAGACCCGCGCGAACGAGCGAGCGAAAGGGAGAGAGAGAGAGAAAGACAGAGAGAGTCGCCGTGTCCCGGGTTTACCGTGTTCGCAGTGTTCGCGGGTCGCGAACGAGAGGTCGACGAGGCCGTCAACGCGGAGATCGCGCGAGGAGGAGGCTCTGCACGGAGGGGCCGCCGCGTCGAAGATAGTGCGGAGGTATTATGCGTCGACTCAGCATGAAAAACAAGCGCAGAAAGTCCGAGAGCGCGAGCGACAGCGCGTCGGAGGAAAATGGCGGCGCGCGCGCATCCACTGACAACGCTGGCAACGGCGAGACGCAGGCCGGCAGGAACAACAACTTGCCCGCCACGCGTAAAAGCGCCTCCAAGAGACGCTCGCTGCGCGGCGCCCCGGTGCAAAAGTCGCCGGCGCACGCGGATGACAGCGTCGAGACGGACGATTCCGCGTTGGAGGAGAAGGAGCGGGAAAACGGCGAGAAGTCCACCCCTCAAAGGTCCTCGCAGTCACCCAACAAACGCAGACGGAAAGAGGATCAGAAGGCGTCCACGTCGGCCCGCGAGGATGACAAGTCCGGCGCCGAGGACGAGTACGAGGTATGCGATGCCCGCGTCGCGTCGTCGACGCCGGCCACGCGTCGATTGACTCCGCGGGCCCGGTCTCGTAGTAAACAACATTGTGTTCGATAAGTCGAATCTCGTCCCCGTGTATTATTTCCTTACATAACCCGTTCTCCAGATGTTGTTTAACTTTCGCGAGGTCTTTACTTCAAAGTCATTGGATGCGCGAATAAAACATGGCATCCAAAAATAACATCGAACGCGTCGTTCCTACGAGTAAACGATGCGATATGTGTAACAATATCAATCGTCATCGATATTTAAAATTGATATAAAAGTATCTTTCCAACATTGTATTGTTTTTATGTTTTTTTTTATCTTGTTTCATTGACGTGACGAGTACGGTAGATTGTGCACCGCTTTGGTTAGGGTTATTCCAACCGCGTATTTTATGCGATGACTTGAAAACTTGTAGATGTAGAACATTAACTTCGGACGGGATTTGGAGAAATTTTGATCGCCGATATGATAACAAACACTGATTTCGGTAATTTGGCTGCATTCAGCGGGCTCAACAGTTGGACAATATTACTAGATTTTCCGATGTCACTTAATTAGACGCTAACTGGCCGGATCTGAAAGTAGAAGTAAATTATGAATTGCCACTACGCGGCCATTGTATTTACATGAATGAATAATGCATTTTAATTTTTTATGCGTTTTTTATACAACGAAATTATACAAAATACCAAAATCAGTCCCAATTCTGTTATCATTCAACTTTCTCTCGTAAAAGGCTGCGTCTCAAGTTTCACATGTCTATGGTTCTTTTCCCCCCCCCCCCCACTCTCTTTTTTTCTACGCAGTAGACGTTGTTGCGCGGTATACACGCGGTTGGTAACAGGCGCGAAATTCGCTTTGCAATTATATAGGGTGTTTTAAAATTTCGTGACCAAAATATAGCAAACGAGTAATGTAGCAAAAAACTAAATAACTCTACTACACGATTTTTTTATTTTAAAATAATTTAAAAAAATAATTAAAAATAATTTTTCGAATGTAAGGGGGCCCTGGCACACAAAAATACGTAAACAGTAAAATGTAGTCAGTAAGGAAATCAACAAAAATACGTAAACAGTAAAATGTAGTCAGTAAGGAAATCGACCAATCGGAATTCTTACCGTTTCACTATGGCCGCCTTCCTGCTCAATCATGATTGGTCAATTTGCTTACTGACTATGTTCCACTGTTTTTTTGTGTGCCATGGCCTTTAACGAATTCCTCTGGGTCTGTTTTTAGCTGCACTGCTGCATTAGTACAATTAGTTGGAGTGAAAGAAAGTATGTTTGTCTCTTTCTAACTTATTGCACTAGTGCAGCAGTGCAGCTAAAACGAACAGACCCTCTAACTCCTCCCTAAACTTGATCTCTCTCCCCCACCACTTCACATTTACCCGCCACTTAATCTCGCATGCATAAAATGAAACTGACTGTACAATATGTTATATATACAGGACACTTAACATCAATCGAAATAGCTCAAGAATCGTTGTTTCTTTCGATATAATTCGATAAGAATTTTTTTTACATTCTATAAAAAGAGAAATGTGATTAGCTTACGCTTGATTGTAATGAACATTAGAATATTTATTAAAATAAATATCATTCAGAACGGTAGTAGAAGTACGCGCAATATTTATTTCTATTTATCTAAAAGCATTTTTGCGCAATAGCATACAATACAAATTTTCCTCTATTCTGAAATCGTTGACATCGAGTTTTCCTAGTCTTTGTTGAAACTTTGTTTTAACTGTACATGCGTAGAATAAAAATATTATGCTCTCGAGTCTTCACTCGCTTTTTCACGTAATCATAAATGTCAATATATTCATATAATTCAGAATAGAAAGATTTTATTTGAAAGAATGTACTCAAGCAGATTATTATTACTAATTTTGCATTTAATTCGTGACATTTTATCGCTGTTATATGTTATTATATTATACATATTAATTGTACGATAATGTATGTAAAATTTAATTATTTGACGCGTAAAAATGAAAGATTACGAATGATGAAAGTAAAATTATAAAAACATGATGAAGCATCATTAAAAATGATTACGCACGCAACTTTCATTCGCGCAATATTAAAACATAAGAGAGTAGAAAGGAAAAATTAAAAATAGAAAGTTTGATTGTGTTTAAAAAACAACTATTTTTAAAATAAAAAATTGTAGAGGCTCTTTTATCATTTTAGTTCTCTAAAAACTTTTTTGCTGTAATATCCCGATCCGAGATTTTTGAAACACTTTTTATATTTAAAGATAGTAGCTTGCTTATATTATAAAATTGCAGATACTGTAAATATATGTTTCATTCGTCTTTATTAAGAAAAGTCTAAAAAATATTAAATTAATATAAATATATTTATCTTTCAGGTGGAGAAACTCATCAATATTCGTATCGGTAAAGGCTCTCGACAATTTTTGGTACGATGGAAGGGTTATGGGGAATCCGCCGACACTTGGGAAAACGAAAAGGACTTGAATTGTCCCGAATTGATAGAAAAGTTTTTAGCTAAGGAGCAGGACACAAAATTGTCGAAAACTGGATCGACAAAAACAGACAAATCGAAAAAATCTAAAAGTTCTTCTAAAAAACAAACCGAAAATGGTATGTCGCTCTTGTTAATAATCGTTTCATTTTGAAATGTTTATTGTAAAAATAATATAAATCATTAGATATATAAATCATTTTTTAGACGAACGAGAAAACGATAAAGAAGATAAAGAAACTTTGAAGGAATTTGAGGTAGAAAAAATAATCGAGGTACGTTTTAAAAAGAATGGCACAAAAGAATTTTTAATCAGATGGAAAGGATTCAGTCCGGCTGATGATACATGGGAACCGGAGAAGAATTTGAATTGTTCGGAACTCATTGCCAAGTTTATGCAGAAAGTGGAAAAAGCCAAGACTCAGGATATGCGCGAACTCAGGGCAAATCGGGTGCATACCAAACGGTATACGTTATCGACATGCGATCATGGCAGGAGATTGTCAAAACGTAATAAAGATAAGCAAAGGTACATTTATTCCCCTCATTATATGTAAAATTATTTTTGCAAAAATTAATTGTTGCAGCTACAATAAATTGCGTTTTTTTTTGCAGGACAACTTATCACGAGTGCGATGAGTAAAAAACGTCGCGGTCCCAGTATCTGTATTTTATTCAAAGAATTTACTTTATATATATATATATATATATATATAGTCCGTAGTTTTACAAGAGAGAAAATTAAGAGCGTTTTGAGAGAATGGAACCAAAAGAAATATATCAAAACATGAATAATTTGCTATATATGATACTAGAGATTCACAGTGTCACATGATGTAAACATCCTCTCTTTACAGAGGTGAAGAATCGTATGAGTAAGACAGATGCATGTGGATTATCTGTATACGCGATTATGTACTGATGCTGCTATGTACACTTTTTTCAGAAATGCTTATTATGTATGAATTGCACATAGAACTGAGAAACGAAAGCAACAATCTCTCATTTTAATATTGTAATATTTTTGCAAAATAAGCAGACAAATTTTCCTATATATAGAAACAATAATGCGTTTAAATAATGTTATTATGTATCACATTTCTCAACGATTGCATTATAATTTTGAGAAATCTTCAATTATTGTTTCAAAAAATTAATTTTTGTAATAAGTGTGTATTACAATAAGATATTACAAAAGAAGCATGTAAGAAAAAAAGGCAATATTATATTGTGAATAATTTTAACTACATAAAATACAATTGGCAACTTTATTGAATTTGTCATATATGCGGAGACATGTTTGCGAATCTGAGGTAAAAGTGAATTGTGCTCGATTGGGCGTTTAAGTCTTTTCCTCTTATAATTGAATATGTTTCAAATTTTAACAAAATGTAATTGTAAACGTTTCAACACGATATATTTTTCAAAGATATTTGAAACTATTGAGAAAGGGGGAATAATAGCTATAAGAAAATTAAAGAAAATGCTAGTGTTTAAGAAGATAGTTTAATTATTCATTTTATACACGTTCGCTCCTCTTTACTTCCTTTACTTGTAAGCCTAAAAATATTTAAATTATATTATAATGACTGTAACTTGAGAGAAAAATTTCAATTATTATTTACACTTTTATAAATATATATATACAACGTTAAAAGCATATGAAGAAAGAAATATTGAAAGATACTATTATATCGTAAACATAATTTTTAGTTATAAAATATCGGCAATCTTATAGAATATAAATTCTTATATATTATACCTGGTGGTAAGGATTGCTTTAACTTTTCAGCTTTCTCTTTATCAGTAATGACAAGAGTATATAGAAATCTCGAGCAACGAACTTTAAATTTGACATTATCAGCATTCTTCTTAATTTTCACGGCTGAAGAAGAGAAATGGCGAATCAATTATATTATGCAAGAAAAAATATATATGAATTGATAGATATACTTACATTTTGCGTCTTTCCTCCTGGCTTTCAGAAGAAAGTCCTTGATTTCTTTGATTTCTCGCGGCTAGAAATGAAAAGAAAGATTATTCACTCAATTTTTCATTCGGTTACTTGATTAAAGTCCATGCTGGACTATACATTAGAAATTAAAATTTAAAAACAATTAAGGCAATGAAAGGACGATGATTTTAATTCTTCTTGTTTATATTAAAAATTCTAATCTTTAATCCCCAATACTCCTCAATAATTTACACGAATGTAACAATCAAAAAAATTTGTTTTTGAGGTTATCTTGTCACGAATATAAATATTTCAATCAATTACAAAAGGTGCAAATATTTTTATACATGTCCACAAAGAGGAACGCAAAACGCAGTCGTGTAAAACTGTAAACATATTTATTTACTCACCATATTCGGTTTATAAGTCTGTAATGTAACTCGACAAACTTCGTCTGAAACAAAATGAAAACTATAAGAAACATGTGATGAAACGTAAAATGATTCGGACGTATAAAATAGCGTCAACTCTCGAACGAACGCGAAATAACGTTTCGATGAAACGATAAACGATGACGAGCGAATAAAACGGATACAAAATACACTTTATAAGAATACTCGATGCTCACCCTGAGACACGTTCAGCGGAAGGAGAAGGACGACGCTACAACTACGATCAGTCGGTGTCCCTGGCAAATCGGTCAAATGAGCGACTAAATTCAAGCAAAAATGGACGGCGGAATTTAATTCAAAAATTCAAGAAGCAATTTTGACAATAATCATAAATAGAAATATTAAAATGAAATATCGTTGAAATTAAAATTTATAATTTTGAGTAGTTGTTCGATCGGTAAGTTAGATCTTTCACGCGTGTAAATAATCCTTTTACCATCTAAAACGTTTATCATCGAATTTCAAAGAGAAATTTTCGTCTCTGTTCATCTATTTTCCAAAGGTAGGAAAATTTAGAACGAGCATATATTCTTATAAAAAAAATATTCACGTTGTACATACATGAAACGTGTAAAAAAATTAATATTATCGATTCTCTTTCGATTTCAATCTTCTACGAATAGAAGAGTGCAAACGCGGAATAAACGCGCGAAACACCCTTTTAGGTATCTAGAAGGGTGTTTCGCGCGTTTATTCCGCGTTTGTACTTTTTGCACTTTGAATAAAACAAATTATACGGATATTCGGGTCTCGCGAGAGACAAAGAAACGTCAAACGGATACAAACGCAACGATTAAATCCTGCTTCCCGGATGTGAATCAATTCGATTATCTACGCGTGTGACATTTTATACATATACATATACATATCCATATACATACATACATATATATATATATATATATATATATATATATATATATATATATATATTTATCGTTCGAGGAAGATTGCCGGCTAATATCTAGTTATATTCTATCGATATCGCGCGTAATTGGTCGCTCGTTATTGCTGGACGTTAATGCTCGTCAACGGTGTCAACTTTGATTAGTGACATTCGGAAGCAGGAGTCAACGCGAGGTCGCGATATTTCACTTACGGAATTCCTCGCACTTGGCGAGGACGCGGTATATATCGGGCGTGCGTGTGGCGCGACGCATAACCAGCTCGACTCTCGACGCGGCGAATCTTGACGCGGATCAGATCGCGTGAGCGACTTGGCGAGAGAGACGTATGCGCGCGCGCGCGCGGCTCCGCATCGACGTCGTCGTTCAAGATCCGATTAGAGATCGCGAATCCTTCCTGGAGACCTAGAGACGGCGATAAACGGCAAGACGTACGGGATGGAGAGCGAACAGCAGGAGCAGGAACAACGACCGCACGGCAACGAGCCGAAGCCGAAGGACAGGTTAGTCGGTCTGTTGGACCAGATCGAGATGCACGTAGAGCAATTGCGGAAGGATGCCGCGAGGCTCGAGGAGGAGAAGGATACCTTACTGACGACCTTGGACACGCTTAGGAACAACGACATACTCATCGCCCTCGAGGAGCGTGAGTGTTTCGTTTCTCGTTTCTGTCAATCGTATTCCCGATGGAAGACTCCAGAAAGGGAACGTCGTTCTAGAATGTAACGGAAAAATCGGGAGATATATATGTATTTTTTATCTGCGTAATGTTTCTCGGAATAATGATAGAATGATGGTGATATTTGTTGTTTTCACATAAAAATATGTCGCATTCTCGATACTCGGTTTCTCGGATTTCAAAATCGATTCGAATTCTTCCATTTCTACGCAAACATAATTTAAATACAACGAATAGTGGACAGTGTATAATAATAATGTACTAGAATGTTAATGTAAAAATTTGATTTTGATGAATAATATACACGTGTATGTTTAATAATTAATTATAATATTTATAAACTTAGTATACAATTATTTTCTTAAAATAATACATTTAAAGAGACATTAAAATAATAAAATTAATGTACATGCCGATTATTGCGTTTTTAAACAGTAATAAATATGCTATATTATTGTGTTAATTTTTCAAATATTTCAACATTATATTCAAACTAAAAACTGATAATTCTGTTTGTAATAATATTAATGATATTTATTTTTCATACAGCCGACAGGGATGATGTTTTGAGGTATGCAGAAAGATTGTCCATGCGATGTTCAACCGTAGATGTATTAGTTACAGTCCAACGTGATCATGTGCAACGGGACGCACTTCATCAGGTATGTGAAATACTTGGCAATCGTATTGTATAAAAGTATAATTTTGTAACGAGTGTTTAAATGTCATTTTATTTGGTTTAGGTCAATGGTTTGATCGATAGTTTAATTATAAACTTGCGCCACGATCCAGGCAGCACTCGACAAAGATGCGCAGAATTTATGAATGCGTGCTCCTCCCATGGTTTTGGGCATTCGGATAAAAACTTTGAAACTGCTATTCTCGGATGTACATTGGATGATCAGAAACGAATCAAGAAGAGATTGCAAGGGTTACTTGACTATATCGACAAGATGCATATCTTGGAAATGACACAGTGAAATCGAGAGATTATTCGGCAGATAAGTCTGTCTCAATTCTTCATACAGATTTTGAATCAGAGTTTTGGCATTATCGCGATCATAGCGATATTAGGGAACACTTGGGAGAAATTATGCATTGTTCTCTGTGCTACTAAATTTTCCATTTTCTTTCGCGGGTAAATTAGACCGCATAGAATATTTGGCTGTGTAGAATATGTAGCAAACAACTTTAGCTTTATAGTGATGTGACATTGATTCCTGATAATTTCTTACACAACATTTCCAAACTTATTTTTTAAGATACTTAGTATTTCAGCATTTTTTAGAGAAAAAGGAATACCTTTGCTCGCGAAAGAAAACGCCGATCAACAGTTTTCAGACCTAATATATGTAACGTTTTGAAATAAAGAGAAATTTCTAAAAAGATGTGTATACAAATGTAAATGTAGAATCTTAAATGTTACATCAATGTTAAAAATGAAATGGGCCTCTCTTTACAATCTTATTTTGTAGGATTGTATATTTGCTATGTAAAGCATCAATTATCGTAAGAAATACCAGTTTCTAAGAACAATTAACTCATGTTATCGTCAAAGATAAATTTTTCTTTTTTATTAATTCCTTATATTCATTTGATGTTTATATCAAAATTTTTAAATATCTTTTATCTTCTTTTGTTTCTTCTTATCCTACAGATATTTCTTCTTTTCATAAATTTCACAGACGCGCTTATTAAAGATTTTGTTATATCCATGTTTTATTTTTAGCAAAATGTACAAAAATTTTATTTTGTAATATAACAAGTAAAGAAATATAAGAATATATAACACATACATTAGATATATCAAGTAACTTACCATAACAGTTGCCTTAAAAGATTGTAATTTATATTAACTTATTCATGTTTAAATTATATAGTATGTTTCAGAAATGCTTCCTCTTACAAACTTTGTTAAATTTTAATTTCAAATTTTTATAGCTGATTATTATTGATTATTATTGACGATAATAAATAAAGTATTTTTAACAAAATTTAGACATTGAATGATTGAAAATTTTTCAAATGTTAGTGTCTAATCAGTATTCGAAATAATAAAAAAAACGTAAAATTACGTTCATAATAAAATATTTTTCGCTAAATTTACACTAAATGATAAATTTTTCAAAATTTTGCTAATATAGTTTTTTTATACTTTCATGAAGTATAAAAAAAACAAAAGCTATGTCGATAAAAAAAAGAATATTTTTTATTAAATTTAGATTTTAAACGATAAATGTTTCAAATATTTTATTATTGTCAGACTTAGATAATCAATATCTTTGCGCTAATCTGTAAATCACTATTACATTATTGTATAATTATTATCATATATATTATACATGTTATAATTTAATTATAATATATATTTTATATATATATATATATATATATATATATATAATTTATATATTATAAATATTAAATTATTATATAATAACTATATAATATATAATAATTTATAATAATACATAATATTATATATATATATATATATATATATATATATATAATTATTATATAATATTAATTATTAATATTATTATAATTAATATTGTATTAATATTGGCATTACAATTTGACTTCACAGTTTGAGCTTTGAATGCAGAGTGCAATTTAAAAAAATATGATAATTTTTATTCAATATGATAATATATGGCGGTAAATTTACAAATTACGCGTCGTACTCCCATTTGCAATGGAGAATACGTATAAAATTGTACTTAATATTTACGAGTTATTTCTTTCTGTATTTTGTAATCTATTTTATAATCTATATTATTTGGTTCTACAAGATTTGAGTATAATTATTTCTATCGTATATAAATTAAATAATTCCCACAGGTGATATACATACTACTATGTATCCTTTACAGTTGTACCTCTTACCATTTAAAAATCTGATGAGCTTTCGCACTGTTGGACACTGTAAAATCACCCATCCACATGTTTCGCTTATTAAAATAAACTATATATATTTACAAGGCACACACATACCACATATACATCTCCGTGCGATATATCGAGCGCAATGTAACGTAACATTGTATCATACGTGCATACGTACTATGAGAAGAAGGCTATAAGAGTCTACAAGCGTTCTTGACGAAATTTCGTTTCTTATGACTCTTCGTTTTGCCACCCGGTCGGAGGATTATCGTTCCATTACCGGCATTACGGCCGCACATTGATCCATCCGGACTGAACGCACCTGTAAGCAAGGAAAGATGCAACGTCATCCACATTACAGATGAATATTGCGGACTTGTATAAGCGCAATTAAATCTACACGTACTAATGACGGAAGGCGATCTAGGTTCCGCGGAGTACAATCTCAGGTCGTCCTGATAGTCGTCGTCGGAGCGACGCATCTCGTGCAGACATCGCGATGCCAAGTGCCGGAAAACGCTCATCACGCCGATATCCTCCTTTACGGACGTTCGTAGGAGTTTGCAGCCTAAGGCACGGCCGAGCCTCTCGGCTTCGTCCCTGCAACATATATCGAGTGGTTTTCGGTTTATAGATACAAATTTATATCCTTTTTCAAGTTTGATGTACGCGCACTTACGGATCGACCACGCATTGCTCCACGAGATCAATCTTGTTTTGCACCAGGACCGTAGGAATTTCTCCACATTCATTTTCCACCTGCAAAATTTCAGAAAGATTAGAGAGGTATTTTAAAGATCGGCTATTTTTGTTTTAAATAATTCTCTTCGTTTTTTTATGATCCTCTATGTATTAATTTTGATGTTTTCGCGAATTAAATTTTAGGGAGAACTAATTCAGACAAAGCATATTCTTAGAGACTCATACTTTGAGTTTCCACGAGGGGATAGCATCGAAGGAATCCCTGTCGGTGCTCGAGTAAGCGAGGACACAGGCATGAGCACCGCGATAGTAAGCTGCCGTGATAGCGTCAAATTCCTCCTGTCCTGCGGTATCCCACAGCATTAGTCTTACGTCCTCGCCATCGACCCTGTGTACGTTATAAAAAAAAAAAGAAATATATATATATATATATAAAACATATATTTACAAACTTATTATCCATAATATTGCTATTAAAAGTCAATCGATATCGCGTGAAATCTTTTCAATTTTAATTATAGCTTTTAATTATATTACTTTTAATTAAGTTTATAAAAGTTAATTTTATCTCTTAATTAATCTTAGTTTATATTTTTATATTTTTTTATATTTTTAATTTATATTTATATATATATATACAATTTTTCATAAATTTGTAAATTATCATCCAAACTGGTTAGGTTACTGGTATTTTAATTACACGATTCCTAGGAATGTAAAAAATGATTAATGGCATGACGTTGATATTGAAAGATGGATCGCGCGCGCGCACAAACACACGCGACGAGACAAATATTTCCTTCTACATTGACCGACATTACATCGTTGAATATTCGGAGGGGGATAGAGAGAAATATCCCACGGTAGCTCGCGTTGGCATGATTAAAATCGAGTTTTTCTCATGCGCGTCGCGTCTCGAATCTATATACATGTAAGTAGTAATGTCATAATCGACAGCGAATAATCAAATATTGACGAGTAAGCAAATAATATTCGAATCGATTTAATTTATTATCTATATTAGCACACTCGCAGCACGATTATGCCTGAAAATGTTTTTGAAAATATTCGAGAAATACCTGCTTTCAGATTTCCTTTGCGCTCTAAATGTCACGAGTATTCTCCCGTTATTTTTGAAAAGTTTCGAAAATCCATACTTGATTATATGATATGCTTCTATTTTTTTCTCAATGCTCAATGCTCCCAATTGCGTCTCGAAGATTCTCAATTAAATATAATTAATAGATATAATTAATGCAATTTTCTAAATTGAACTTTCAGTTCGCTTTTCGCTCCAAATATCGAGCTTGTTAAATCAAGTAATTTTCAATTAAAATGATTCAATGTGCGAGCGATTACTTACTCGATCTCACGCTCCAGGAAGTCTACGCCGATCGTCTTCTTATAGTCCCTCGTGTATGTACCTTTGCAGAATCTTTGAATCATCGACGACTTCCCCACAGCGCCGTTACCCACTATCACCACCTAAGTAAGAAAAATGTTAGATATTTTTTTTACTTGCGGAAGATATTTCGAGAAAAAAAAGAATGCCAATAAAATCGTAGCAAGGATTATTTTAAATTTAATTAAATAAGTCTTGAGCAATTTTAATGATTTTATTTGTCCGTGAATAAATAAGCATCGACTCAAAGAAATGGATATTCAATTAAGAGTCCAAATATCAAGAATTTAATATTGTAAAAAATTAATGGCGAGTTAATTCGCTTATTTCTTGCAGACTGATCGAGGAATGTGGCCCAAATAATTTCGCCAAATACAACCGTTTATACGACGTGTCGCATAAAAGAAGTGGGTTACATGGATAAAGATGAAGACTATTAAAAAAGAAAACCGGTCGCCGAAAGCAATCTTCGGGCTTCTGCGAGCGGGCGATTTAGGTCTTAAAATTCAAAATGACATGTATGATTCGCATCAGAAACATTTCAAGAATGCTCGTGTTCGAGAATATACATATCTTGAAGTCGAATGCTGATGCGCTAAAAATGATGCCTACATAAGGCACATCAGAAATTTTCACAATGGCATCTTTCTTCCTGATTTAGCTTCAATTCAGTTGTAAACGATTAATCCAGTAATTGCGGAAATGAAGAAAACGCGGGAGGTCTCGTTTCAATAGTATCCCGGAACAATAGTATATCTTTTCTCTAACATTTCTAATTCGAAAATACCACGTGAGTAATTCGCAATGGAAAATTAATTACAAACTAGATAGATGTAAATAGCATATAAATAACGGTGGAACGGCATTCTAACTCGATACTCGTTTGCAAAAAATGTATAAAAAATGTTAAGAATTGAAAAACTGCGAAATGACATCATCCGCGCATTACTTTTCGCGAAGAAAAATCCGAGAGAGCGCTGCGATTAAAAGAACAGTATTTCGGCATTTTCAGAACACCGTGTATAAATATAATAATAATGAAAAAAAGGCGTAAACGTGTAGTCTCTCCGGCGACCGGCGCGATGAAAACGCGAGCAGGTACCGTTACCGGCAATCGAGAGATAAGCAGAGATCACTGGAGCAGCACCAAGCTCGTATGCGCGAGAGATCCTACATGCGCGCGCTTCCCTATTTCTCTTTTTTCTCTTTTCTTTATTTTCTACTACTCTAGCATACCTGCGCGATTGAATAGTTGGATGTAACAGCGTACGCGCGAATATCCCGCAAATGGACCCTTTCCTCTCATTAAATTTCATACTCACGCGTTTTAAATTGCAAGCTCATTTTTCTCCTTACATCGAGTTTCATGTTGTTATATATCTTATCTCTTAATTATATATATTAATATATGTAAATAATTAATATAATTAATTTAATTAATTAATTAAATTAATATAATAAATACATATAATATGTCAATGTGTAATTATACATAATTATATGAAATATTAATATATATATAATTATATGTAATATATATATAAATTTTTGTAATCAATCAGTCATGGCGGCAGATTGTAATTCGCGAGATATCGGGTGCAAAGTTCGAGTCAATTTCCGATAGAGTTGCGAATTTTTTTACGTCCGATTTTTCGCTCATGCTCGATAAATTTTGCGCAGAAAAGGAATCAGATAAGAGATTTTACGAGTGAGAATTTGTGTATAAATGTGACAGCGCCGAATGATTATCTTGTTAGTAAATATCATTAATAGTGTCATTCACACGTGATATCGGATCAAATAAAATAATTCAGAAGATTAACTTTTTCTTCTTCTCATTAAGTAAAAATGTAAGATAATTATACAATGACATTTACATTCGGTTTTGACATTGATAAATATTTACAGCGAAGAGTGAAAAATGAGATAAATAGATTTTCTGAATAATTTGCGTATAAATATGGCGGCGTCGAGTGATTATTTCGTTAATAAATATCACTGATAGTTTCACTCGCACGTGACTATATCTCGGATCAAATAATCCAGAAAATTAAATTAATTTTCCCTCTTTCTCATTGATAAAAATGCACAATTATACAATGACGTTTAAATATGCATTTTAACTTCTCTCTTTCTGTTTTAGATTTTCAAAGTTCAATTCCACTCTTCCCGAAATCGCGTTTAAATTCAAGGAATTCGTACATCGAAGGTCATCCCGTCTAGAGTCTACTACGTCTATTCGCCGAAAGTTGTTCGAGTGAAGCGAATTACTCATCGTTGGACGAGGACCGGACGTTTGAAAAGAAGGTGAATAAAAAACGCGGCGCGGCCGATCCGGCGCGATCGGCGAACTTGGCCTCGCCACTCGTGGAATCGAGTAATGACTCTTCGTAGCGTAACGAAGAGTCGCTTATGGAAAATCACGACGAAATTATGTAAAAATACGTACATTTCTTTTTTTTCGCACTTTTCGCGCGTAGAAACGATATGGAAATGCGTAACCGATACAGATTCCAAGGACGAAGGAGTAAAATGAAGAAGCGCAAGGAGGAGGAGAGCGCGATATGGCTGGAAACTGAAAGGAAATACATAGAGCAGACCGCGGTCGAGTGCCGCGATTACCTTGAGTGATATCTCGAGCTCTTCCTCCCGCATTCTGTGACCGTAAAGACGATTAACATAATATCCCACCGCAACGCGGATCCATGATCCTCTCCAGAGGGATCGATTGGACGTGTGCGTAGGAAAATTCCTTTCCCGAAAACGGCGTGATATTATATGAAGAAACGGAGAAAAAATAAATGAGAGAGAAAGACGAGAGCCTCGCTCGCTTCTCCTCACCACCTCGGTATTCCCGAGTCGATGACTTTGCGCCTCGGCCGAGTCATTATTCACACACAGCTCCGACACGTACGCGGCGTCGGGCCGCGTTTTTCTTTTCCCGTAACTTTCTCGCGAGGAAAAGTCTCACCTCGAAAAAAAAAAATTCCGCGCAAAAGAGAAACGAAACGGAACGTGGATCCACGTCTCGCGGATAGAGAGATAGAGGCGAGTTTTCTTCGCGACACACGAATGCCAGGGAATCGAAACAGAACAGAAGAGAACAGAACGGAACGGAGCACGCACGCATGCACGCAAGCATGCACGCACGCCAGGCATGCACGCACGCACGCACGCACGAATGCGCGCCGCTGACCACCACTGGCCGACTGAACGGCACACCTGTGTATGGCAGGAGACACCTGTCGCCGACGCGCGCCTGTAGGCCTGGTGATTTTACATGTGTGCCTAGTGAATGTCGTCGTCGGGTGCGAGACACTAGAACAGCCATGTCCAACTCCTCCAAGAGTTCCGCTCTCTTCCCTCGTGTTGCTACGCGCGAGAGAATCTTTTCAAATTTTATTCCCCTCTAAAAAAAAGATGAAATTTATTATTATTATTGTATGTTAGAGACGATTAAATCTTGGGATCAAAAGTTGAAAATTCTTCTGCAACGTATCTTTACACACAACAAGATTTTATATATAGAAAGAGTCTCATTTTAACGTAAACATATTCTACAAAAGAATGTTTCCTTGAAAATTCTTAGAAAAGAGACGTTTTTAAATTAAAGTATAAAAACTCTCTGTTCAAGATTCAAAACTTTCTTTTTCAAATAACTCTTTAATGTTGACGAAATTTTTCTAGAATAAATGTGTGAATCTCGATGGCCTTTTCGGGCCATCTTCAAGATTATATATTATAAATAATCAAAATCTATTATATAATTAAAATCTTATACTTTTACAACTATATTCAGAGACAGATACAAGTACAAAAGGTTGATATTTGCATCTGTTATTTGGATGTATTAAAATTTTGCGTTTTTGGATACAATTATAGAAGCGTAAGATAGATTTTAGTTATTTACAATTAAGTTTCTGAAAAAGGCTCGAAAAGGAATAAAATGTTTAAAATAAAGACAACTAATAATTTGTTCCTCTAAATTTGACTCTTTGTTTTCGCTTATATTATTTTTTATTTTTACTTTCTCGTGTTACTAATTTATATTTTCTAAAATTTTTCTCCAACACAGTTTTTGTAGAATATCAAGTTTATTTATGAAAAATTCAGTTGTTTCCACTAAAACGAGACATCTGGTATAAACTGTTATCTGGAATAATCCTTATCTTACACAAGTTTCGATATCTGACAATCGGAATTCGAATGATCTCATTTTCGTAAACAAAACTGTTGCGTTTATTTTGTCGATTATTTCTCTTATACATCTAACATATTTTTATTTTCACTCGCCACAGGTTTCTATTATACATAATTATTGGAAACGAAATCACCCCTTTCTCTTCTCCCATTATAAGAAAAAATTTTTGTCCGGATAAAGATTAACAAGTAGCTCCAGTAAACTTTCATCCGTTTTGTGCTTGTAATCGTTGCATTTCTTAATTTTATATATATATATGTATATATATATATATATATATATATATATATATATATAGTAATTTTATATATATATTATATATTAATATAATATAATATATAATTATATATATAATATATATATTAATATATATATAGTCTCTTTATCTTAATTAGTTCTTAATATAGTGTCGTTACAAATGATAACTCTGGATAATTTTCTGCATACAGTCTGGCGATATATGAAAATTTTTAAATTTCTCAAAGTGAACAATTATATGATTCAATCCGTTTTGTTACAATTTTCTTACAAATAATGTATTTTCTCCTTGACTAATTTAAAAATTTTTTTTCTACAACTTAGAGTAGTACTTATTGAAGGAAATCATATTTTCTACGACAAAATTGATATGAGAAGTGATAACAATATTATAAAAATTTATCGTATGATTAATGATACCGCCTGTGAGCACACCTCTTTGAAATTCAATTTGGTACTATTAACACAGCTCTGACCTCTTCAGAACAGAAGATGCATGTGTATAGAGTGTTTAATAAGAGATCTGCATCAAATCTCCGAGGCATATTCTCTGACGAAATTTGAATCGACTTTTCTAGAGTAGTTCTAGAATATTTTTACTAGCACATTATTTTGACATTTTATTGTTAAGATACTTTATTAAAATGCAACTTTTAAACCACAAAGAGAATCTTCACAATAAAATTTTTACTGCAATAAAAATCGACTTAAAATTCGTCGTAGAATGTATAGGCGAAAGGAATGGCGATGACTTTTTGGCACATTCCATACATATCTTTGTATGTGTATATGTGTGTGTGTGTAGGGCGCACGCGTGCGCACATGTATTAAAAGAGAGTAAGGTATTGCTAAAATATCTATATATAATTTTACATTATTTACCATTATAGATGCATACATATATGAAGTATATTTAATATCCACTTACTTTTATTCGCATAATAATTATTACTTTTAATTATTCGAGTCACGCATTCGTTAACGTGAAAAATCGCGCGATAAATGAGTATAATAAAACGTTTAAACACGATATATAAAAATATATAAAAATGATAAATTCGAGATAACACACATGGATAGCCGAATAATGATCAATTCTTTGCGGTCTGAAGCCAGCCGGTGGCATATTTCCCCTTAGTCTATTACATTCGCATGATGTGCAACTGGTTCATTTTCAATGTACAAAAATTAATAAATATAATAAATGTATAATATTTAATATATTTCGGGAAAATAAACAAATGATATAAAACCGGAAGAATCTAAACTCTTGTTGTAACAAACTATTTGCGATAAACTACGTTTATTTCTTATATAAACAGACAATTGTGTTGTGTCATCCAAGTATTTAGCATAATTCTACAGTTGATCTGATGCGAGTGTGATAATATAAAAAAAAATCATACTATACCTTCAAACGGGTAACCCGTGTGCCAGGAATATCCCGGCTTGAGACCACAAAAGATTAACAATGTGATGTAAATACATTTTCTTTTCGGAATACTTAAAAAATATTTGACAATATACTGATTCTCCACGTTTTCATAGCAAACATTCCCGATACACAGATATTTGAATGTGCATTTGCAGATGCATATTCTCTCGCGTACTTCCGGAAAGTGATCTTATACGTTACAAGTAACAAGTGTACTTTAGAAAACGTTAGCTGGCAGTTAGCTGAGTCAGTACTAATCGTTTCGTGACAAATAGACGAAAGAGCATAACGTCGTTCGACGCAGTCGCCGCAAGGACACAGTCTTCCGCATTCTCTTGGACGGACCGGTTAATAAATTCCCAATCTTCGCACATACATGCAAGCGCGAGATTATTTCGTCGGCGAAACTTTCGTATATCCGTTTCATAAAGATTCGTCGTAATAAATTCCGAATCGTCACGTTCGAGCGAGAAGGAATGATAAAGTTGTGCATCCGTGGTCCGTCATTTTGTCCTTTTAATTGTCGGTAGTTTTATCAAAAGATTGACTCTTGATCATCTCTTCGTAATGCATACGGGAATTGTAATACGGAAAGTATACAATATCGTACACATGAATATATTACATCGCTACTATTGCCGATTGCGCGGCATCATCATTCGGAATTGTCATCTCTACCCGAATGATCGAGGTCGCTACCTCACATTAACTGACACTTATAAACGATTTTACAAAGGCCATTTAACGTCTATGTGTGTATAACATTCTTACTGCGGTTTAAAACGATATCTAAAACCTCGTCGTCGCGCTCCTGATAGAGCATATCAAAATGCCAATGTATACGTCAAGTCATATAAGTAAAAATATACAAATATTAATCTTCGAGAGTTTATGGCAGATACAATGGGCGAAGACGAGAATGTAAAAAAAAAAAGAAAAAAAACAGAAAAGATAGAGAAAAAGAAAAAAATTATATTAAATAAAATCATACTATCATTTATCGTCCACAAAATAATCAAGATCCTTCGAGTATAAAAGTCACGATATTTTTTCAAAAAACTTGCGTCGCAAATAGATCAATGAAGATCATAATGATCGCCATCGATATAACAACATCGATCGCCGCTTTTAAAAAATAGGGTAATATAAAGGAAGAATCATTTTTGCGAAGAAATGTCCTTTAATACGCAGACGCTTCTTTGTATTCAGAACCTTCCATGGTAAAGAAGTCTTCGAGTTTCCACTGAAGTGTCTCGAACGTCGGTCTCTTCATAGGATCTTTGTTCCAGCATTCCAACATGATATTATAAAGCGTCTCAGGACAATTGGGTGGATTTGGCATTCTATAACCGTGCTCCACTTGATGAAGAACTTCAGCATTTGTCATACCTGAAGAAAAAAAAAACATGTTTACATTTTATTAACTTGACCTCATGATGCCAGGATCTTCAAAATTATAAATTGAGAAATGAGATGCAATTTTTATGATGATTTTATAAACTGATATTTTCTGAATTCTCGAGCATTCTCTTTGTAACAGATCTGAATATCACTAAATCTTAGAAATCTTAGAAAGTTTATATCTTTCATTTGTCTTTTTCTTTTAAATTAATCCAATTTTAAATTCAACTTTGTACAAATTCATTTACGTTACACAATTTCATGAAAAATGTATAGAGAAAAGAATGCTTAGGGCAGAGGACTCACCTGGATAAGGTATTCTGCCATACGTGACCAATTCGGTAAGGAGAATACCAAACGACCATACGTCAGATTTAATACTAAATTTGCTGTAATTGGCGGCTTCAGGCGCGGTCCACTTGATGGGGAAGCGTGCTCCTATTCTAGCCTCGTACTCATCTTCTTTAATAAGTCTAGCCAAGCCAAAGTCTGCGATTTTAACAACGTTTCCGTCTGCTACGAGAACGTTACGAGCAGCTAAATCTCGATGGATGTAATTCTGCGACTCCAAGTATGCCATACCAGCAGCTATTTGCGCGGCCATGTCGATCAGTTGTTGCAATTTTATACTTCTACCCTTTCCTAAAAAGTAAAATAAATTTATACATAATTGCGCTATAACGATAATCCAATAGAAAGACGTGACTATATATAAGTACTAGCTTTATCGATTTTGCAGTAATATTTTGGGACGGCACATTGCAGAATTAATGAAATATGCATTATATTAAAAAAAAAACGATGAGAAATAGATTTGTTCTCTTTAGAGGTAGTATTTTTCGAAGCTTTTTTTAAAGCTTTTTAATAAAGCTCGAATTTCTTTAGCAAGAATATTTCTAAAGAATAAGATGTTTAAAATCATCGATAATTTTTGAATAACATTACCTCACAGACTTTCTTGATTACAATTTAAGAATTTGCAAAGAGTTGCTCAAACTTTGTCATTTTGAATGACAACATTTAGTGAGAGTCAGTGAAAGACTCAATGAGGAAGTCAAATACGTACCTTGCATACCTTGTAGGTATTCCAGTAAACTGCCATTCCTCATCAGTTCCGTGATAATGTAGATCGGCTCCTCCATCGTACACACAGCATACAATTGAATCAACTTGGCGTGTCGGAGCTTTTTCATGATTTGCGCCTCGGCGAGGAAGTCTTTCGGGTCCATGGTACCCGGCTTGAGCGTTTTTATCGCCACTGGCGTGGTGTTGTTCCACAAACCTTCCCAGACTTCGCCAAATTGTCCCTGGCCCAATTTTCTCAGGAATTTTAGCGACGAACGATCAATCTCCCATTGGTCCCGTGTACGGTGACTCAGGCCCTCCGTTACGGGTTTCTCAACCTGTCGAGCAAAGCCAAATCGAGAATAAGCCGTTATTGAAACAGGGAACTCTGAAACTCAATTGTGCAATTGGCATTTGTATCTTATCAGCTGTTTTTAATGTGACGAGAGAGTTCTCGGTCTTTCCGTCTCCTTTTTAGATAAGAAAAAATCTATGCCAAGCATATATAAAGGATAATTCTACGCACACTGTAAAAAGAAAAAAGAGCACTAGCGCTTAACTCTTTTGCCTTCGCGAATACAAACCCATGTTTCTCCGTGCTCTGCAATTCTGTCAAGTAACAGTCAAAATCCCGGATATGAATAAATACGATCGCAAAATCGTTCCAACAATAAAGAGATATACGTTTTAGAGAAATGAAGAAAAAGACGAAGAGAGAGGAAAATGAAATAGTGAACGATATAATGATAATATGCAGAATGTCTCAAATATGTTGCGTGGCTAAGAAGCACGTTGTTATTTACGCGAATCGCATCAGAAACACGTATATACATACTTTCGGAGTGAAATCGATAAATTTTGCCAGTAATTTTGCCAGTATTTTTACACTACACATCGGTCATTATAAAATTAAAGCATAAAAATATATATAACTTGGACTAAGTAAAATAAACTTTCTCGATAAAAGTCGAATTGATTCATGATGTACATAAATTTGTTTGCTTAAAATTATTTTCCAAACACGCTGACAAAGTTTGCCGATCGCTACAACATACCCTGTATAATTTAAACGTAATAGCATGCTAGTTTACGTTTGCTTCTCAAATAAGAGATACGTGTACGCAAACGCTTTTGGGACATCCTGTATATAGATATAGATTTCGAGCACACACATACATTCGAGCTGACTCGCTTTTACATCAGAGATTGATTGTATACATGTATGTTTAAAAAAAAGATCTCGTATGTAAATTGTTATTCACAGGCGAGAGAGCGACGTTTTGCATTGGAAGAAAAGGCCGTCGTTTCTTTCGTGTGTGCTGCCAATCTCAATTCTGAATATTTACCTATACATTGCACCTCTCGCGAGGTGTCACTAGGATGCTAAGTGAATTGTGATAACTTGTTGTAAATATATGAAATTACATCGAATGTGTACAGAGAGCTTTTACACGATATCAGATATCTCTAAGTGAATGACAATCTACTGCTTCTGAAACATAATCCCGTATAAAACGGGCTTGTGCTTGTATGTACAGGCCAGACGCAATTAAATGGAGAAGCGTTTTTAAAAAGTCGAGAAAAAGAACAGAATCAAAAAACGATGTATTATGGCATATATTAGGACATTCAATTTACCAAGAAAATCCATCGGGAGGAAGGGCAAGCAATAAACAGACAAACAAACACAATCTATTCAGACACATTAAACTTTTGTAAATAAATTAGTTTATCAGTGCTTCTCAAAAATCTCTGATATATATATATCTCTCTCTTTCTTTTTTTCTAATATACAAATTTAAAAATTACATTTCATTTTTATCGTGTTATTAAATCTCATTTACTCGCGATTATTCAAAATCGAAGAAACTGAATTCGAGAATCACAGATAGTAATAGATGTTCCTGACGTATAATCGATATTGGAGAAACGTTTCTTTATATAAAATGTGTTATATCTTTAAATACTTCGTTTCAAAGTATCGCCAGTAATAACAATAATGAAAGACTGTAGAAAAATAATAATGAAAAGAATGGCAAAAATATATCAATCTTAATATTAATAATAATAATAATAATATACAGTTGATCGTGATTATTATCATAATCGAAAAGGGGGGGAGGGGACGAGCAAATATCGATCGTATTGTTGCTTTTGCAAAAATTGTTGGAGCTTAGACAGTTTGTATAATGTCATTATTATATAAGTAATGAATATAAAAAAAGATTTATCGAGATTTGCCTATAATAAAAGATCTCGGCTTTTAATTTCCGCTTCGATTTGTATGCGTGTGCGTGTGCGTGTATGTGTGCATTTAAAAAAAAGATTTCAGTCACAATTTAAAGTCGCATTGTGTGCTGCTCTTGTTGCACGTTTTAACCAAGACTTATCTAATATCTATCGATTCGACGATTCCCGCTCAATATCAGTGAATTCCAAAGTTGGCTCTTTCATGAAAGCGCGTTTAACGTTACATAAATTCAATTCATCGTTTCTTTATCGATAAAGACTTGCCTAACTCGGCAATAAATGATGCTCTCGCTACCACAGCCGAATGTACGATGTTTATAAACGCAAAGTCCTGTCTAAACTCCTCCTCCGTTCTCGTAACTCATCATTATTCATCAATTGTCGATGTTGCACCGAGAGACTCGATCGTGTGTGATGATCGGCTACTTGTTGAAACTTACTTGCACACAGGGCTTGCACAGATTAACGCACAGGCCGTCCGCATCCTTGCTGTAGTGCTCCACGAGATCCTGCAGATTCCTGAAAGTGGTTCGCCTGGCGATGAAGAAGCCACCCTCGTCCAATTGGCGGATACGATAATGCTTCACCGTGTCACCGTCTCGCACTGCAACGCAAACAATCACCGATACATCCCACTCTAGCGCTTTAAACGACCATCTCGCAATTTTCTAGTAGAGATCGCGCGCTACTTTTCACGTTCCCGACTCAATTATTATTCATTTATGCGATATCGTAGCGGTCATCCATTATGATACGACCGGCAGTTTCTATTATCGTTATCCTCGAATGACGTTACCTGAAAGGGAGTAATCGTTGTGTCGGCTCTCGGAATCTCTTATCAGAAACGCGCCATGATCGTTTTCCGGTAGAAGCAATTTTTTCTCGGCCTCAATTCGCTTAATCTTCCTGAAATACCATCTGCAAATGCAAATTAGCATTATGACATTTGTGAACCTGTCTCTCTCCTTCCTCTTAATCGCTAGCAATTCTCGATTGCGCGAGTCACCATTTTTAAAGACATTATTTGCAAAAGAATCATAGCAATACGATCAAACTTTCGGGGTTTCTGTTTGTCGACTGTAATAAAATATTAACCGCACAGAGAAAAATATCATTCTACTGCCAAGAAAAGCGATTACTCAGTTTATTTTTCTCTTTTTAAGTAATAGTTTTCTTCAACAAAGAATATATTCTTGATAATAGTCTTTAAATAAACTCATCGCAAGTGTTAGAAAATCTCATTATCATGTACTCAAAAGAAGAATTTATTTTCTCTTCAAGAATATTGTAAAATTGCATGAAAGAAAAATCAAACTTACTTTACGTCAACTCTTATAGTAAGCAAATTTTTGTTTTAATTTAATATTCTTGACTAAAATACTGCACTTACTAAAATTCAGAATATATTCCATAAAATTTAAATTCAATTTTTGTGATGAACTTATGATATATTTGCGGATATACAAACTAATGATACTTAAAATAAATAATATTTACTTGAATACAATATACATTCTTCTCTGTGCGTATACATAGTTACCGCGCACGCAACATGCGTATTAGTTTTAAAAATGATCTCCGTGCTACGCGAAGATAAAACGTTATCGCCTAAAGTGATTTAATTGAGGCTGCCAACGAGACTCACGGTTCCGCCTCGATCGACTTGAGTTTGGCGACGTAGTTACTAGGAATGTAGCCCTCCTGCCTGGTCCTCTTGCTCTTGGCGAGCCACCAGTCGCCCTGGGTATCATTGATTATCTCCAAGTGCTCCCCTTTCCTGAAGCTCAGATCTTCGTCCGTGCGAGCGTCGTAATCGTAGAGAGCGACGAATATCTTTGCGGTGGCGATGTCCGTATCCGGGATCTGCGGGATCGGCCTGATGGGATCGGGCGGCGGGGTCGGCACCGGATTCACCTGCGACGCGACCGCCTCGATGGGGTTGACGATCCTGTCCGGTTTATCGTTCTCCTCGATCGGGTTGCTGCAGCAGTTCCCCATGTTTGATTCGTCCTTGTCCCTATCCCGAGACTACGCGATCCTGCGAAGGTGATTTCTTGCCCACGATACACGTCGTCGTTCGCATTTAACGACGCGAGCGAAATCGCCGCACCAAGACTCGCACCAGGGAACGCGTTACAGTTCGAAGCTAAGTCTCTAGGCGTCGAACGGTCGAGAGGTATCGAGAGAGTCCAGACTTGTTCAGTCACCGTCGTAGATCGATCCGCGTGTCGGGCATCTCCAACGAGGGATCTACGAAACACAGCGGCAGGATTCGTAAGACCAGGGTACCATAACTGCGAGACGTATGTCAGCTGTGTCGTCCCGATGACAACAGAGCGCGGGGCCGCGGGGCAGGCCGCGAGATCGTCGGTCGGTTGTCGCGAAGGGGGATGAGCCGCGATGACGAAAGGATCACATCCGCGAGGAGAGGCCCCGAGGCGGTGCCGCACATTCTCCGGATATCCTGGACTCCTGGCGCGTCCTGTCGCGAGGCTGATGCATCGCCAGGGGCAGATTGCACGCGCGCACGTTTATTATATTCGGTCGGGAGAAAGAGGACTCTAGACGCGGACTCTTCCGAGCTCCGGAGTGTCTTCAACAGTAGGGTAGATTACGTGCAGTGTCCGACAATCCGGCTTGTGGAACGCGAGACAGATCGGCCCCTCTCACCGCGAGCTTAGAAAGTAGGCGAGTCGCCAGGCGCCATTGCAGGGCGAATAGTCACGGATCCGTCAAAAGCCCAGCGTGCGTGTCCCGCGGGTGTGTGTGTATGTGTGCGCGCGCGCGCGCGCGTTGCCTTCTCATACGCGACACACGCCCAATTCCCAGTCCGTGCTGGATCCGACAGACGATGTTGTTACGTTATCGCGAGCGTCCCGTAAAGACGAGATCTGTCGTTAGCCTTATTATCATTCGCGCCTCGTGCATTCCCGAAACGCGACAGACACGTCGCGCGAGACCTCGGTGCGTAGCGATAACACGTGGAAGTTTCCACATTCGAATCCCCAGGTCGCACAAACACACGCGTATCGGTGTCAGCTCGCGACTAGCGGAGAAAGCCACACGATTGCAGGACTGGACAGGACTGATCAGGAATCAGGACAGCGCTGCGAGTCAGATGCGCTTCTCGAGTCTCGGGGCCCACGTGGCGCGTCCCCCGGCGGACCTTGGAACTAACAATCGCGAAACGCGCACTCGATAAAAGGATTCGTTTGGCCTCCAAGGGTTTTCAAACTCTATGGCCGGTATTCATAGTCCGATCTTATATTTAAGATTGTCTTAAGTCTGGTCCGAGGTTGACTTAAGACCTCATTTAACCAATCAAATAGCTGCGTAGCATTCCAAATAATATCATACAAGTACTAACTGGTTAAAAAGATATTAAATATAATTTAATAAAGTTAGCCATGTATCTGTCACAAGGCGAAATTCTCTGCCAAAAGTTAATCATTTCGATTAACAAAATTCGGAATATTTCAGTAAAAACGCAATAAATATTAAAAAATACATCTCTTCACCGTAGCTATCAAATTGTAATATTCTACGCAATTTTTCAAAATACACCAAACAAAATGGATATTCGTCAATATTGATTTTCAGCTACTTTTTGCTGGGATTGTACATACAAAACATCCTTAATATAATTATAATTAATAATATTCACGTATCTAGCTTGCTCATGTAAAATGCAGAGGCTAAAGCTCGTATCAAACTACGCAAAAATAGAAGATTGGAATTTGATTCATCAGAACAAGAGAATTTAAAATTTCTCTCTTCTGACTGATTGAATTTTAATCTTCAATCTTTCAATCTTTCATTATACGTATATTTTTATACGCTAAGTAAATTTATCTAGATATACGTTTATAATCGCATAATGTGCATAGAAAAATCAACCAATCCTGGCCGATGAAAAAAACAATATGGCGTCCATTACATTTTATTATATTTGTTTGATTCATTTCTCTATCATATGTATTCTGCGGTTGTATATACAGGTTTGCCTATTTATTGGTTTTTATTTTCGCTGTCACTAGACAAATAGAATACGCGCATGAGACATTTGAAATTTTCAAAAACGATTATATAAATCAACAATATTTTAATAGCAATGTTTAATAGCATTTTGTTATAAAATGATGAATACTTTATAAAATATTTTATGTATTCGAATGTATCAAAATATAATGTAATAATGTAATATATTATATTTCATAAATCATCTCTCGATTTTTCGATAATTCATCTTTTTTATATGCAAAATAATGCAACAAATTAATTTATATAGTAATTTATATTTCAATTTGTTAAAAAAAAAAATTGTATATGCATTTCATTGATCGTAAAATTTTGATTCGGTTGAGCAACTGTCTATATTTTTCTTCAAGCCTTTTTTATGTTGAACCTAATTATCTAAATAGAAATTCAATTTTCTTTTTTATATTCTAGCTAAAATTATAAATTTAAAAATATTATAAATCTAAAATAAATTTAAAAATATTATATTATAAAAGAAATGTGAAAAGAAACACATCGAAGTAAAAACTTCTCGATTAAAAGAAATCGTATAGGAGGTAACTGTAAGCACTTAAGGTATTCAAGGTATGTTACACAATCTATTGTTTTCCATGCATATCGTTTGATGTATTTGCTTACTTCTCTGTGAACTTGACTAACAAGATCTCGACCAAGCCAGAAAAATACAGCTAAAATCGATTACAATCACCGCAAAATGGTCGTCTATTTTACGGGGTGATGCGAGAAAAGATAGATAGGTCTTAGAGCGTCGAAATGTCGACAAGTTTTATCAATAATAAAGGAGTAACAAATATGTCGTATTTGGAAAATTATCTTATTAAATAATGTTTCTCTTCTTCATCTTTTGTTGCTAATTTTTTTTGTTTTTTACTATTAATAAAACTTTCGTTGTCGCCCAAACATACATATAGAGAAAGAGACACGAAGGCACCGGGCTACTTTTCATGCATCACCCTGTACAAATTATGTACAACGTGTGTGTTATACGGCAGTGATATATATTTATATCTATACATATCCTTGCCATTCACTAATATATGTTCTACGATACGCGCTGCTTGAAACTTTTTTTCCTACGAATCCCGCGTCAGGACTTTTGTTCCTCGAGTAAACTTTAACGGTCGATTTACCACAACGATTAATCTTGACATTCTACTTTATTTGTCAAAAAGGAAACATCGACAAAATGTATTGAACAACGCTTACAATCGTTTTCGTTAAAGCGAGGAATGTGATCCGTCCTCACCGTCATCCTGTACAATATCTCTAAAAGACACGCATGTCTAGCGAAACGAGCTGGCGGATTGCAAAAAAGATTGCATGAATTTCACTTTTGTCATCATCGATCCATTATAGAGATCTATTATACACGACGTAATCTTTCTCAGGAATAAAAAAAAGAATGCGCGAGATAAAATCATTGTTTGATTGTGTTTTGCAAACTCGATATCGATGTTGCGATATAATTAAAACAATTTATTTATATTTCTCTGCTCTCAAAAAAAAATCGAAACCTATTTCTTTTCATTTTATTAATGAAACCTTATGAACGAAAACACGTAAATTACACGTAATATCGCATTCATTTTATAAAACAAAAAATAAAATAAAATAAAAAAAATAAAATGAATTTTGATCATGTAAAAAACTCTCTTTTACTCTCTTAAGAGAAAAATTGATAAAATTTTTAAAATATTATGTTTTAAAATATATATATATATATATTTCTCTCTCTTCTAAATATGTATCTCCTTATGAAAGACTTTAGTACATTATTGAAAAAAAAATAAATGTAAAGCTAAGGATTTTTTTACATGGTTAAAATCGTTTGTAAAGAAATTCATTTTTTTTTTAAATATGAGATAAATATGAAATCAAATAAAAAGGAAGGAAATATCGAAGCATCGAAATGTTTTTTATGACCGAAATTATGTATATAGTTATGTTTTTGATTACTATATGCTTATATATGATTATTCAATTGCTCCATTAGAAAATCACAATTGAAAATAGTCCCTCTTTATTATACGTACAACTGTTTTGTATCTCGTTATCTTACAATACGAACCCAGATAATTAAATGTTTCAGAAAAATTTGAATTTCACGCTTTCCCCATTGATGAATCCCATTGATGAATCAAGGATTATTCTATATTAGGATCAATTTTTCGGATAATAGAAGCTGCTTTTACATATGTGATGTCCAAAAAGCACAAACGGTAACGGAACTTTTATTCTCTTTTTCGGCAGTTCATTTTCAGCGAAATTCGACTCAGTTTGTAACATTAATAAGAAAAAAATATTGACATGTATATTTTCACCCTGTCTTTGATCAGTACGAAGCAATTGAAAATTATGCAATTAAGTATATAAATAAAAAGAGATATTATATAAGAATTTCATTGCAAAGAAAAATTAATATTTTTTGTAAAATATTACAGATGTAATTTTTTTGCAATTAAATTTAGATATTGCAAAAGAATTTTATTGCAAAATATTGCAGATGCAATTTTTTTGCAATTAAATTTTTTTGTAATATATTTAATTTTCATTATATGTACTTGAATGTAGATAAACATCATAATTGCTTCACGTAAAGCATATGTGAAAAATTCGCCAATTGAATATAAGCTCTCGCAACCATTTGCACATTTTTTTCGCGTAATCCACGTGGAACGTCATTAGAAAAATAAAGGAAAACGCGAGTGTCACTTTTCATTTGCCTTAAACGATTCTAAAAACGAACGTATGAATCTGGCGCTAATTAGTAAATTACGCACTATTATATTTCTTCGCACGACGTATTAGTAGAATCGATTAAATCTACGACATGTTCACTACGCAGAAATAGTGTTATTCCGTAATAATAATAATAATGATAATAATAATAATGATAATAATAATAATTATTCTTTTTTTATAGTCTATCAAAATATTCATCACAGTGCTACGGACACAAAGATTGTGTTCTGATTTATATATATATACATATATATATACATATATATATATATATATCCATATATATGTATGTGTAAATAACTATTTTTTTTTAATCCAGGGAAAAATTCACGAGTTCCGGTCGCTCACGTTCATTGGCCGGATTGTAAAGAAGAAAAAACAAATCACAATCATGTAAATCACAAAAATCACATTCGTTTTTCCGGGAAAAGAATTCCAATCCTTTTTTCGGCTGTTTCCTCTTTTCGTCGGAAATTACAATGAACCATTGAGAGAACATGAAGTAATGCACAAGTATACTTTGTACTTTTCATTGCACGTACCATCGATCACATTTAGTTTTGATCTCTCCTAGTATTCACATCCGAGCTGAACGTGGGACCGAATTCGTCGACATTTTTCCGCACTTATATCACTTCTTTTTTTTCGTTTCAACGTAGAGTGCTACACACAATGGCAGTTATCATCCTGCTTAAAAATTCTTACTCGACTTACTCTCTACGCGTGACTATATTTACAGCAATAAGTTGAGAAAATGGCCTCTCAACGAGATCGTCCAGCTTTTGCGATAAATTTCATAAATTAAACTGCCGGTCTGCAGCATGCACTATAGAATGAATATTATGCATAAGACAGAAATTTTCAGATAAATTGTGAGATTCGAATAGAACAATAATAATTTCCATAATTAATGGTTCAATTAGAAATAAAAGGATCACTCAATTTAGTATAACAGAATTTTTAAAATGTAATATTATAATTGCTATGGTACAAAAATAAATTTAAAACATAGATATTGTACACGAAATTATCACTGTCCTTATACGCAATATTCTATATTGCTATATTTCTATATTGCAAACATGAACCATACATCACAAAATGACACTGGGAGAGTAATCGCAATTCTGATTAATTTCACGAATCAATTGTCTTGGAACTTAATTGCTGGAACAATTTCACAATCTCTTAATTTTCGCTTGATTAACACTTGATTCTCTGCCAAGCAACGCAAAAAAAACTTGATGTTTTGAATTTATTACAATTATCCGAAAAAGGAAAAGGAAGAGATGTATCACGAAGAATGATGTTATTATAAATTATTCTTCCAACGTGAGCGGTTGATCTATTTGCATAATCATTCCGTATAATACTCTTGTGTATTTTTGATTCGTGACCACTCCCCTCCCTTATTAACTCTTCGCAATAAAAAAAAAAACAATTAAAAAAAATATTTAATTTGAAAGAATTATGTACATACATTTTTCGTCTTAATATTATTACAACTTTAACATGATAACTTATTCTTACAACTGTTCCCGGTGTTTTATAAATTTAACAGAACAATTCAAAAATAATAAATAATAAGAACAAATCTTTTGTTTACTTCTTTCTATTAATATGAAAAAAAAATCATCTTAATTGTCTGCATTATCAATCGCAAAGAGTTAGAACAAAAATCAATCTCCAATTTGGATCTTGTCCAATCATTTATCGCGATCACACTTCGACTTGAGGGGGACTGGGCGGGCGGAACGATTGACAGCAGCTCCATGGAAAATACCACGTGGCTCAGCACCTTGGTGAAAATTTCGGATTCGTAGGGCCGTGGATATAACTCCTGAGTTCTTTCGGCGGTTCCGAGCCCAAGTCCGACGCTGTGTCCACGTCGGACTTACGACAGATGATCATACGGATATCCGTATGCAAATAAATTCGACCCGATTTGCTGGACATAAATCTGAAATAAAAATTTACGCGTGCTGTCTCGTTATCATTCACATTTACAAAATTATCTCTGGTATAAGACAAAAATTCATTTAACATTCTTATTTTTCTCAAGTATCTTATAATACAAATTTTTAAAATACTAATGGAAAAGTTTAAGCATGAAACAGATTTTATCAATTAAAAAAAAAGCTGAATAAAAGTTATAAATAGATATAAAAATATTATATATGTTTTAAATATTTATCAATTTTTATATTTTTAACTTTTTTAAATGTAAATTGATGTATAATTTAAATATTAATTTCTAATTATTCTGTTTACTATGTTTATGACTTGTTTTTAAATGCTATTCAAATTAGAATGACACGTACCTAAGATGAACGAGGTAGCGCAGTGTTTTGTCCCGCAGTGTTCTTTGACGTAAAAAAGTATGAGATCGCGGCGGCATGTCAGATAGATCGTACAATACTACGAACATCTTAACGACTGTACCTAGTGGATTGAGAAGAGTTACTTGGATGGTGCCATTTCTTGGTACCTGATAGCCCTTTTTCTCAAGATTAATATGAGCCTGAAAAAATAAAAAGATCTTTAATATTTTGTTATCTTTATATTTGTTCAGTCATTGTTTATATATTAAGATTTTATTTACCTGTATTTATATGCTTAATATTTCTTATTTATAAATAATATACGCGACAAATATTATTTATAATAGCGTATTAAAATGTGTGTACTGTGAGATGGATTTGCTTCTAAAAAACGTACAAGGTATGGTGTGGAGACTTTGTCGTTGTCACCGAGAGTGTAAAAGAATACAGTGACTGGAAGCTTCTGGTGTTTCGGGCAGAAGGAACCGCTAGCTCCGAGTTCGGCTGTGAAGCCATGAACCGTAGATACCGGCTCGAGTCTGCCGTTCAACGCCGATTCCTCGAAGCTACCTAGAAGAGCGTGACTCTGAGGTCGGTGGCGGGAGCTAGAGCGTCTCTTGGGCATCTCTTCGCCTTCACCAACAATCTCCGTCTCACGATCAGTTTCTTCCAATGAGACTGCGCCTGGACTCGGCGGTGTGTTCAATTCAAATAACGCACTGAAACGCGAAACATTATTTTAATAAAAAAACTCAAGTTACATCAACTGATAACGGCATCAATGAAAAGTTTTATAACTGCATTTTTTCGCCACACTGGATTATAATCATTTCTTTTAACACTATTTTACCATTAATATTTTTCAAAATAGTACCTTGTATTTCTAATATGTAATTTTATACTTATATAATTATCTTTATTGTGCGATAAAAAATCTTTGGAAAAAGTTACCAAATAAATCATTGTTTTGAAAAAAAAAGATCACAACTTATTGCAGTTATATAATATTATTCATAGATTGCCGTCTCTGTACTCTTTTTCACAATATTCCGATAAATTTCATGCTTCGTACTTTCTTTTCGAGGAGACGGAATTCAAGCTGCTGTCATAGTCGAAGCAACAGCTACCTCTCCTCAAGGGTGCCGGACTGGAAGTTAGCGGCAGACCAGTTCTACTATGGAACACCATTGACGCCGCATTCTCCAGAGATCTACGAAATCTCTCTTGCTCGAGAGCGGACGGCACGCTCTTGTCGACAGTCTCATCGTCTCCTGTCATCGCTATATCATCCTTGTTATTGTTGTTTCGTACCTTGGAAGACGAGTGTCCACTCTGCGGAGTGGTCGGACTAGTCGTATCATTCTTTCGATGAACAGCAACAATGTCCTTCGCGATCTTGCATTCTCCATCCTCGACTTCAGAAGATTCCTTTGTACCTTCGAGCAATCGTCTATCGTGATGATTCTGCCGATTATTTAGGCTCGCAGAATTGTTATATTTGCGATCGTTGCTATTTGTACTATGTATTTTGCGTGAATTTTGATGTGCGTCTTTTGTACTAAGTCTCGGAACCATCGTTGCAGCCTCTTTTTCCTCGCCGATCTCCTCGTTCGCAAAGTCGATTCGCCTTTTCGCTCGGCTGTTTCTCCCGTTGTATATATTTGGCTGTTCGTTGTTATAGCGTAACGATGTAAAATTTTGCAAGCATTGCGGTAGTTGCGTTGAATTCGGCGAGCTCTCCGGCGAAAATGGACTCTCCTCTGTCATCATCGCGATTCTCTTATCCATTTCTTTCTTGAATAACTGCCGGAAACGATGGAATCTTTTGTTCAATGGCAACGATTTCTCGTCATTGGACGAGATGGCAGTTGTCCTATGGTCCTGCTGATCGGCGTTCGAAGAATGAAGATCATCATCACTGCTATCATCGTCGATGTTAATCGTTGATCTCGATCTGGTCCCATTGGATGAAATGTCGGACATGCTCTTTTCAGGATCCTTGGTAGTCCGCAGAATAGCTCCGAGCAACACGTCCGCTTTAGTGGAAACATTCTGCAAACGGTCCGCGTTTTCCACGCGCGGATCTTCGCTCAATCTATCAGTATTGTTGCCAGTAAGTTTCGAACGTGCTGGATGATAAACGTTCACGTCATAATAGACTCGATCCAAAGGGCTCGATTGCTCTTCCGGTACTTGGTGATCTATCTTTTTACATAATCCGTGGTTACAATCCTCACAAGACTTGAGAACTCGGACAGTTCCGATGTTGCGATTTACGGAGTTACTCTGAGCTATTCCTTCGTCCGAATTCGCGCACTTTGGCGAAACCTTCTCTACTGTATCATCACTGCCTCTCTCACTGGGCCGCTCTCCGCGTTTCTTCACATTCTTGACAGTAGTTCTTCTACGACCCGATGGTGTTCTCGCTCGCAGTACCGCCAATACTTCATCAACCTCTCGTTGACTCAATTCTAAATTGCAATTCTTGAATTTGACCTCCTGATTGGTGTCTTGTTGTCCAGTTGAATGCTCCCGCTGTTTTAAACTTGCGTTCTTTGTCTTGCCGCTATCGATATAACCCTTGGTAGTGGCAACACTCAAGACTCTTCCAGGTACCTTGCTGAACCAATCAAATAATCCTCCCTCTTCCCTCTTGTCTTTCTCATCGGAAGACGATAGCGTCCACATCAAATGATCTCGTTTACCGGCTTTTCTCTGATTATTCTTAGCGATATTGTCTTCTTTGTTAACTTCTAACTCGTCGCTCGATACTCGCACCTCTGCAACAATCTTATTGACATCCTTGGAACAACTCTGATGTACAGTGCAAGCGGAGTTATCTAGCTTCTGCAATAATTTATACGTTGACGGTCCGGGATTCGATTCATGGAAAGGGTTGGGCTGAGCATAAGGACCGGCTGGAGTATGACTGGACACATCTGCAAAGATCGGCGACTTGTAACTCTTCTCGGAATCATTGAAACGAATCTTTGCGCCGCGAAAACTCTGAAATTTACTATTCATATTGCTGTTTTGCCAAGAAGAGACGAAAGACCAGCTGGGAGTAAAGGCACTCCCGAGATTGTCCAATAGTCCACCACTTTTTGCCGTGGATGTAACCTCTGACGAGCCACCTGGCTCAGTTCCAGAATTATTGAAATTGTTAGCGAAATTATTGTAACTTTCTTCAATTCGAACATTGACCTTCGAGTTGACAATCTCCGGGACTTCACTAGTGTTTGTGCGCTTGCAACGTTTTTCCAAATTGCCTTCATCCTTCTCGATCTTCAACTGCATCTTGAACCAACGCTCCAAGTGATCTGAATTTAGGTTGTTACGAGTCCTCACTTCATCCTTGTTCTCCAATTTGTTCTGAAGAGTCCGCGTGACACTACGATTGTTGTTTGCCATCTCGATGGAACTTCCCGAGTTTAAGCTGGACGAATTGATGTTGTCTTTTATTTCTTGTAGAATGCATTCTTGAACGGATGGCAACGGTGCGGATTGTAAGGGGCTCTCCGCCGGGCCGCAGGGAAGCGATCGACGACGTTTTCGTTCACCGTTAGATCTGATGGTGGGCGACAAAGGAGACGTATCCTCCTCCTCGCAACGACAGTCATGCTTGCCCGATTTATTGCAGGTAGTCTGCAGCCTATCATCCACCAGAACTATTGAAAAAAAATGGTTTATATGATTATCGCTATTTAAATGATCTTTTGATGATTGGCGATTGTCTAAAAAAATATTAAAATCGATTTCTGCCGCTTAGAAAACTAAACTGCATATAATAATTCACGTTCTTGCAAAAATTCTTACAGGTTGACCTCAAATGTAAGAGAACAACAAAAGAATGAGAGATGATCGATACCTGTGTGCTTGTTCGCGAACATGCTTAATAATTGTCACGAGAATCAATTTATGAGACGGCGATGCGGCAATTATGGGATCTCCGCGTGAGTCGTTCATTACCAGGCAAGACGAGGCTCTCGAAGACATTTTGTACGCTGACAGAGCCCAACGGGATGTTCTTTGTGGGTGTTAACGCCCTCGCGATGTCTTCCTCGTCCTTTTCTTTTTTCGGATGCAGCGAGCACGTGAGAACAGGCACTTCCTCCATCCGTGGCAATGCCCAAACCGTTACCTGGAGTGAGTTTACATCGATCTCACATATAACATACTAACTCACATATAATATACTAATTACATTGATCGAGTCAATATAAAACAATAATATTTATATACATAACAATAATATTTATTAATAATAATATTTTAAATATGTAATATTTATATCATGTTTGTTGCAGTGCACACAATCTTATGATAATTCTTACAAGTTAATTCAATTTGAAATTCGTGCACGAAAAGCTTCTTTTGCGAAACTTTAAATTTTCATCATGTACCTTGATGGAATTTCCGTCACCGTTACCAGCTAAGGGGAAGGTATGCTCCACTGGCGTCTCTCGGAATTTACTGAGATTATCCTCGGTGTACGGCACGATTCGGGTGGCAATGTAGCTCGGCTCCGCGCCGTTGCTGCGCGACCACCATGCCGCGACTTGGCTGAAGTGTAATCGCGAACGTACCGCCTGATATAACCCTTGGAAATTCATTGGTTCTGGATTCCTGAAAAAAGCAACCCGAGGCAAGTGTAATATGGATGAGAAAGACATTTATTTCCTAAATAGATTTAGAGATATATTACCAAGACTGAGAGAGAATTAGATTGAAGAGACAAAAACAAATATGAGCCAATTCAAGAATGAATAAATTTTTATCAGAATGTAACTTTTCGGACACGTAATTGGAAATGTAACTGTGTTCTCTTCTCACATTTAGATCGATCATCTGCGCCACAATAGCTGCAATTGACTCATACTCGTCTTCATTCCTTCCACTTGATTTTCTAATCACCTTGCGGCAAAGAACGGAATATATTTGCGACTTACTTGCTCGGGACAACGCAGATGCACCAGTATTCCAGTAACATTTCCGAGGAACATTTTTGCCATGGCGAGATGGATAAGGATGGCACGGGGTACACGGGATATTTGCATGTGGATTTTCCCAAACCGCACGGACAGTCGTTGCACAGAAGCACTTCCACGCATAGATACGACGCGCTGAAGAGGCGTTCAGCGATCTCTTGAACTAGTACTCGGTATCGATTGCACTTGAAAAATTAAAGAAAAAAATATTATATTATTTTACCCTTTACTTTTTGCAATTTTTTTCGATACTATACAAATTTTCTTTTGCTCTTATTAATATCAAATTTTCTTCAGTTAACATTACAAGTCTCTTTCTAGAATCGCGCTTTTATATCATTATTTTATTCAATTGTCAAATTTACGCACAAGATATACATTATGTCATTTAATTTTTATTCCATGACACATGGCACTTGATTATTTCGTATAGGACCTGTAAAGATTCGAATCATTTCGCTTAATTGACAAACAAAGAAATATCCACGCTCGCTCTATAGCCCGCTGGGAAAGCAGCGTAAAAGTAGGTCGCCTAGGAACAACGGAGAGTAACGGGGGCACCATATGTTACTTACCAGATAGTTGTTCTCGTCGCACACGTGGTCGTTCGGAACCGCCTGCATAGGCGGTGCGCAGTGTGGGCCCTCTTTGTAACCACGCGGAGGGCCCTGGATTCTTCCTTCACACACAAGGACTCCAAGGGCTCGAAACACGTTGAGAACACCACCCCGACCGCCAGCCCCGTTCGGGCTGGAGGTACCACCTCCTGTCACCGCGCCTAGGCAGTGCATACCTGTAATCCAAGAGGAACATGTGATACGATATATCATGAATCTATCAATAGCTTCATTTATTTATATATCTCGGGTGCGATAAATAAATCGAGGAACGATATTTTGCAGAAATCAGCTGTTGCAAGGAAATTAATTAATAGCTTAATTTATTTATATATCTCGGGTGTGATAAATAAATCGAGGAACGATATTTTGCAGAAATCAGCTGTTGCAGGAAAATTAATTAATAGCTTAATTTATTTATATATCTCGGGTGCGATAAATAAACCGAGGAACGATATTTTGTAGAAATTAGCTGTTACAAGAAAATTAATTTAACAAAGATGCATAAAGGTTAAATAATCATATTTAGCTGTAGACTAATAATTTATTGTAATTTATGTTTATAGCAACGTAGTGATTTCGTATATCTAGTCTTAAATAAGTATTAAAGTTTCGAGACTTGTGCTATTATTGCACTCAATTCTTCAATAGATTTCTTCCAATTAGGACCAGTTAGAGACAGTTAATTAAATCTTCCTTCTTTATTCCCCTTATTAAAATGGTTTTCATTTAAATGGAAGGTTTTTTATTTTAAATATCGGCTACGAAAAGATGTTCGGAATTGAAAGTTAAAATAAAAAATAATGAAAAGATTTTTATCGTCGAAAAGTCCAAAATGTTGAAAAAACTGGAAGGAAAAAATTGGCATACAATTTTCACTGTAATTTTCATCAATATCCGAAAAGTGTCTTAAAAAATAGAATGTCGAGTCTCGATTTATATCACATTTAGCCAAAATCTAAGGGGAATAAAAAACAGGAGAAGGTGCGAAAAAAGATAAAAAGAAAAAAAAATTTTAACAAGTGCGTGCGCGAATCAGAAGAATACTGAAACGTGTGAAATTGGCAATTTTTTGTTGTAGATATACGTGAACGAGAACAAGAGTAATCCCACTGTATAACACTCTGTATTTTCAGTGATATCTACTCGACGGTCTTTCGATGGTCCTCGTATCTCGACTCGCTCGCGGAAACTTTATCGCCAAACGATCGAGATTGCGTTCGCGATCTTGGGGTGCGGGCCAACGTGCTCGAGACGGCTCGTAGGAGTGCCTCTTGGATTTTTGTCGTCCCTTTAAATTTGTTGTTGTGTCACGTCCGCAGGACTGGTTATAGTCGCAGTCGCGCGTGCACACGTGACGAAAGAAAACAAGGTGCAGTTCGCGGCGCGGGTTGTACGTTTCCCGAACGGTTAGTACAGCAGCATCGGTAAAGCCGATGCGACTTGCGCATCGCCGATTCGCGAGTCTTTTAGTTGGCGATTTCTGCGTGTAAACGCTTTTCGACGCTTCCTATATAAGCGTGTGGCGTGGCGCGTTTATTGTAATAAGTCACGGAAGTGGAAACCGCAGTCTCGACGAAGTTCAAATTTCGCTGCTGCGTACACGAGAAAACGAGCCGCGTGACGTTTCGTATTTTTTTTTTTTCACTTTGAAGATGGACTTTGTAATTTTTTTCTCCTCCCTGCGTTCGCGACAAGGAAACTTGAAGTTGGAGAAAGAATTATTAATCAATTTCGCGATGCCTATTTAATGTACAAAATTAATAGACGGGGAGAGAAATTGAAAGCTGGACTAATGTAAAAAGTTTTGCGAGGTTTCTTTTCTATTTTATCAGAAAATCGCAATTACATTAACTATATGTCATTATTTGACAATTTCTTGTGCTATCAATGAGATAGGCATTTTATACGTCGATATCAATGATAAGGCATACAATTTATAAAATGAACGGAAATTCTTTAATTTATGAAATAATATATTTGTGCAAATATAAATTGCTATCGAGCATTGAGATACTCTTTGGTGTTATTTCCCAAAATACTATCTTGATTTTAAAAACTAATTATCGCAATGTCGATTAAATAATCAATGATTATCAATTATGATTCAGATAGGCATATATCTTCCGCATTAGATAACGTTAATTGTTAAAGTATACATAAGTATAACGCAATAAAAATAAATATATAGAAAGAAAACAAAAGAATAAAGAGAAAAATAATAAATTCATAAAATAAACAGAGTCACACATATTTTGTTATATTTATTTGTTATGTGTGTGTGTGTGAAACATGAAAGAGAAAGATTCTCGTTTTTTACTTATTTCTTAAAATTAAAATTAAAATTTTGATCTACGTTTCTGTCATGTTTTCGAGAAATTATGACTGAAAAGCACACCTCCAGTCTCTCTAACTTTCCGGAGAACAGACATTATCGGAAAACATATATGAAAAGCGATATCTCGTGCATGGGCGAAAGAAAATTATTCAGCGTATAGTAGGTACACGCGATCGAACGTTTCGCGAACGCTGCTTAACGTCGCGTTATATAAACGGAAAGCTAGCACACGAGCGGAAACTCGAGGTCTCTTAATATCTACTCTCGCTACCCGCGTTACGTCAGCGAAACATACACGTTCGTGCGGTCTGGCTACCGCGGTATCTTTTTTTTTTTTTCGTCTTTCCGATTTTACCGAATGAGAGAGACGGGACGAAAAGCACGCTGCGACACGTGCGGAGCATGTTCGCGCAAAAATTCGACATCGTGCGCGAGAAAATTCTCTCTCATATAAGCATTTCTCTCTAGTCGAATTTGCGATCGCAGAATAATTCGATAAAGCGCAGTTCAAGTATTTTATAATTATTATAGTTGTCAGACAACATTTTTCATTTCTTGCTACATAATTAAAAAATGCGAAATGCAATATTTTATTTTTTTTTAGATGACCCGATCGAAAAAAGATATCATTATATCTCGAAAATTCATTAATTCAAAGAGAAAGTTTTTCGATATTCGCATACACAATTAACAATATACACAATCGATATACACAATTAACAATGAATTACGGATACACTCGGGCGTCGAGATACTCGAGCCGTACCTGAATGTTCGCATTAAGAGGGGGAAACGATTGAGCGTATTGTGAGAGAAGAAGGGAGAAAGAGGGAGGGAGGACGGTGTTTATCGATGGCGTCGTCAGCTGAGCGCACCGCTCACAGCTGGGCGCGAGCGACGCTGCTGTCGCCGAACAGCTGATCGCGTCAACGCGCTGTCAGAACATGGCGAGCCAGCGCGGAGCGCGGATCTCGCGTGAATGCTTTCCACTTTCAACTCGCCGCTGCTGATCCACCGGACCATCGTGATCTCAGAGCGGGTGTGGACGTATTTAATACGACCGCATTTATGAGTCAGGGAGCTCTGTGAATCACGCGCGAGTCCTCTGACTCAGGAAGTCTGTATGATTCCCTTAATCACGATTAATTCAAAATTGTTTTTTTTACTCAAGACTTCAAATTAACTGTCAACTTTTATTTAGATGCTAAAAAATTTCTCCGAGCTACGCTATCATAGTAAAAAAACCTTTGAACTATTATCCTTTTACTTTGAACTATTAGACTTGAGCGTCATTTTGAGCGTGCACAAGCAATATTCACGCTTATTGCGGATGCGGATAGAGTGAAGGGGTTAAAGGTTTTCTCTCTCTCTCTCTCTCTCTCGCTCTTTCTCGACTTTTATTTGAGGACATATCAAACATAATCATCGTCCTTCATTTATCTCTCCCGAGCGGCGTGAGTAATAAAGGGCAAGATGTGCCATGTACAGCTTGAAGAAAATAGAACTTGACAAGAAAACGTAACACATGACTCAATGTGCCGTGAGGATATGTTAATAACGATTTAATGGACGTACTAATTTTCACGTCTTTGTTTGCTTATCCGAACCTTTCTTATCTCTTTTCTTTGGTAGAATTGCGTTATCTACAAGTTTTAAAAAGAATATAATGCCGCGATAAACAAAAAAAGGCCTCCTCGACTTTTTGTTTCAAAGTCAGGAAAAACAGAGTTTTTGTAAATTAATTACTTGATTAACTTTTTTTTCAATTTTGCTCGTTTTATTGAATCTTTTTTAGGATGCCAGACAAAGATGGTAACGAAAGAATTGGCTTTGTTTGAGATATCACGCGGCGTACACGTTGATCTTGCTCGTTCTTCGACTGGCAAAGGAACGCTTTCAAGACTACCCAGAAATAAACGCTCTTCCGGTAGGTTTCTCGGCGTTTACGATGGCGAAACACAGCACTATCGACGAGAATATCACGCGTATTCGCGACGCATTCTTAACCCTTGCGCAGATAAAGTGTTATTTTTATCGTTTCAGTTTTAATCTTTAACACTATAAATCACGAGAAAGATGAAGTGTTGAGAAATTCAGAAACAGATTTTTTAGCTCGAGCACGTACATATTTGTTGTTTATCAAGATCAACGCATGTGTGTATTCGTGCGCACGAAAAGAAATTTTTCATGTAAGAAAAATTCGCAACAGTCGCCATTCGACTTGACCTTTAAGCCTTAATATCTGCGCGTGGTATGTCAGCTAATCGTAGGCTCGTAACTCGCGCTACGGTCACTTTCCCGCTTGTATGGAAAATTCAAGCAAAATCGATATCTCTTTTAGCCGGGTCACCTAAAAAAAATAAAAAAAATATCTGGAGCACCCATCTACCGGGCGTTCCGCATTTTACGAGCGCTTGGGAGCCCGAAACTGGGTCGACTGGCCCAAGTAACGAGGGGGTGACACGGTTTCCGGGCGAACCTATATCTCGATGGCAAATTTTGCAACAACAAGATAAGAGTATTTATTTGTCAGTTATCATTCTTCTAAAAATATCTGACACTTTAAAATTTTAGAAATTCCGAGTTCTCCTTTTTTGAATTGCAAATAGTGCTTTTTATCGCATGGAGTAATAATTATTCTAAAAGTAACAAAATGGTGACACTGGGAATATGATTTTTTTTCCTCTACGTAGATACATTGTAAGTGGTGGATCGAATTTGAACGTGTAAACCAACGAAAATAGACACTACCGACAGATACTACCCAGTTGTTTTGCAACGGAATAATTTAATAAAAGCAAAAGCAAGCGCGCCCGCCGCACAGCGTGCATCGGTGAAAGTGAGCTTCGATGGTTCGGGGAAAAAAAAGAGATCATTGATCTGATTTTGTTGGTACAAGTGTTGCCAAGTGATTTATTTATGAGTCGGTTCACCTTTCGTGTAGAAATTTCGCGTAGAAATACTCCTTTCTCTCCACACAAGATCAGCTTTATATAGGGCATAGTAAATTGACATAAGCGCGAAAATAACACGAGAGTGTACAAATGAGATACACAGATTTCACATTACACGCTTACGTCTCTTGAATTCAAGTTAGTCTCGAATTCTGAAAGTCTTGTGTGCTTGTTAGATTTCTGTTTAGATTCCCTCGAATCCTGCGATCTTTTCCGTTGCGCCACTCGCCGAGATGATTCGCAGAGATGCAAACTGCAAACGGCATCTTGACTCGGAATAAAGGTTTCTGCACGCTAAGGCAAAGACGAGAAGGGTAACGAGGTCAACAGTGGGAAGTAGTGGGTGCAGATCTAGGTTACCTGTATATTATGCAACCAACACTACTGTAATTTCATGATTGCGCGTGGTTGCACATGCCTACGTGCGCAAAGTGCGCGGCGCGATTAAAGTAATGGTGCGCGGCGCGATTAAAGTAATGGTGCGCGTTCGATACCTACTAATATTCCAATCGGTGCAATAGAAATGTTCGATACAAGCGTGAACTTTTAACTCGAGATTCAAATATTTATCTCCCGATTCCCTTGACAAAGTTATCTACCTCAAACGTTCTATCCCAGAGACTGTTAACTCACAATCAGAACATTATTTTAGACTTATCGCATGTTTATTTTTCCCACTGTTAATCCTGTCCTCTGTCTTTATTTAACTTTTTATTAAAATTCTAACACACCTTTTCCCCTTCTGGAATTTAATTTGCCAGAAAGATCCCATCCTGCTTGCGATTAATAATTTTTCCAACTATCCCGATATTTTGATCGAGGAAACCAAACTGTGGAAAAATTGGCAAAGAATTCGGGAGAGCGAAAAGATTCCACTTGTTACTTCTTTTTGAGAGAAGAGAGTATACCATTACTTTTGGAATATCCTGTACATCTCTGTTCATGTCCCCTGATATCGCGGGGCCTTACGTAATGTGTAAGAGACAGAAAAAAGAGACAGAGAGAGAGAGACAGGCGCGTTTCCTAACGGCAGCCTTGTCGAGGGACGACGACGACGACGTTGCAACGCTGCTGCACCTTCGGTCGCAGGTCGCCTATAAGCGAACCTCGTATTTATAGGCACTTGGCCACCAAGGCCGAGATCCGCAATTTTAACTCACGTGGACACGCGCGGGACCTCGCAGTCCTCGCGTGACGCTTTTTTTTAACACCTCGTGAGAGAACGCCAAACTGTTACTTTTATCGATGTTTCAGAAGGTTCGTCCACAAGAGTCTCTTTGTCTTGTCTAGAGAGAATTTTATGCGTATCTATACCCTCTGAATCTTAATAAAAGATACGAGGGTAAAATAATATTGATTAAAAAAAATAATCTCTCGATAAAAAAATTAGATATACTTGGATAATTTTATATATATATACTTGTCAAATTATAAGAAAGATATTAATAATGTGTGCCTACACAGAGAAAAATGTATAGTGTATTCAAGTAAATATTATTTATTTTAAGTATATCACAATTGTTCATCACAAGCATTAAATTTAATTGAATATATTCTGAATTTTAGTAAGTGCAGTATTTTAATCAAGAATATTAAATTAAAACAAGAATTTGTTTTGCTTACCACAAAAAGTTTGGAGTAAAGTAAGTTTGATTTTTCTTTGATACAACTTTGAAATATTCTTGAGGAGAAAATAAATTCTTCTTTTGAGTACATGATAACGAGATTTTCCAACACTTGCGATGAATATATTTGAAGATATATTATCAAGAATATATTCTTTGTTGAAGAAAACTATTACTTAAAAAAAGAAAAATAAACTAATTGCTTTTCTCGGCAGTAGAATGATATTTTTCTCTTTGTGCATGAAAATTAGCACACTTTCAGTCCCATTCACTCGTATTAGAGATGCGTGCGAATTTTCGAACGTTTGCACATCTCATCTATTATCGAATGTTCGCGAGATAAAAGTCGATGCGAGTTTACTTCTTCAAAAGCTGAAGATAATTGAAGATCCACGAAGAGGTGAGCGAGGTTAACAGATTTCATCTTGCCCGATTCTATCGGATCCTGTCCTCTCTCCCTCCTCTCCCTCTTTCTCTCTTTGACGAGGTTGAAACTGCACTTTGAGATTCATGTGGAGAACGATCATGGGAGCCAAACGTCTACCGCGGGCATCACCTTGAATTTTTTTAGGTGCACATCCAAAACAGTTGGGTTCAACGAACGAGCCGAGACGACGCCCCCGTGTTGTTTTGACACGCTCGGCAAGGGAGAAAGAGAAAGACGCGTGTATCTTTGGGCCGTATAGTCATAAAAGCTCAAGAGGCTCGAAGAAGACCCAGCCTCCGAATTACATTACGTTTCATCTCTTAAAAGGCTAGATAAACGATCGCAGATACGACTGTGATCTCTTTGGGATATGACTGATAATAAACTCGAGAGAAACGGAGAAGAAGAAGGAAAAAGATATTTGAGGTTTTATTTTTAAATTCCGTCGTAAAAAATATAATATCTGTTTATCTGCATTTGTGTATTTATTAATGGAAGATATAATTTTATTGATTTGTGATACGAGCAAATCACGCAATCGCTTCTCCCTCTGCCTTTGTCTGAAACGAGTCGTAATAAATTCTCGCAAATATTTTCTCGTCTTGAATGCAAATTGATATTATCAAAGCGCAATTGTTTATCACGTTCCAGTATCAAGTGGCACAATTTCGCATCGGCCGAGATAAAACGTCGGCCTATTACACGAATTTTAATCAAACATCGTTTTTTAAATAAATCACGATAATTCGATTTATTTTAAACTGCGCGGCATAAATTTTAAAACATATGCTAAAATAAAAATAAATTTTACATTTCAATAACTCTTAAGCAAATAACAAATCCTTGAATATACGCGAATAATAAATTATATAACTTATTATGCATATCTTTTGTGATATCATCGGGAGACACACATCATGCGCGAAAAAATTCATTCTTCAAAGGGAACAAAGATTAATTTCATCGTAGATAAATGTCCAGATGTTTTGGAAAACCTTTCAATTCGAGTCTACGCGTAACGCAAAAAAAAACCTACTCAAGTGTATTATAATAAACTCTCTCGATGTACAAGTACACTTTATATTCTTCTCACGCTAGAAAAGCGGCATCGAAAGGGTGGAAAGTATTTAAAATACCCGTTCTCTCTCTCTCTCTCATTCTCTTACGGTACGAGCGAAATCCAGTCGAGACACCAAAGCCGAAGGAGGGCATCGACGAGGGGATAAATAACAATTGGTCGCGCCAGGCTTGGCGAGCGACGAGCGGACAAAGGTGCCCCCTTCCGAGCTGTCACGAACAGCTGGAACACGACGCCGTGCCATTAGCGGCCCGAAAGGGCTAAGAAAACTCATTTTTGCAAAATACGCACCGACCTGTTTATATTAGACGATTATACTAGACGAAAGATGATTTCAAAGTGACGGAATCGGCCACAAAGGGGAACCTACCTGCATATAAAACCCCCTACATTTATAAAACAAGCGCGTTCGAGAAGAAAGAACAAGATTCCTGGTAAAAGACACGAGATGATATTAATTCTAATTTGAAACAACAGACATGCACCGACAATATAGTCGGTTTGGATGATGCAAGATGATGCACATCGAAGCTCATTGCAAAATAACGTCGGAGAATAAACGTTGTTGAGATTGGCATAAACTCCGCGATACCGATTATATCGCGCGTTTCTCAACCTTGATCGAGACACTCGCAAGCTTTCGCGTCAATTTCGATATATTCGGCGAATCCGGGAGCGCACTGACACGCTTTTTGCACAATCGGCCACGATTACCGCACCGTTAATCACGACGCGAATTTCGATCGCGAGGAAACGCTTTCTCTTCCCAGGAAGAGAGCATCCTTGGGGGGAGGGGAAAAAAAACAAGAGCTGTCACGAGGACGAACAGATGGGAGCCTCGCGCGACGACGAGGGGGGGGAGGAACTCCTGGAACTGGTTCGCACTTACCGATTTGCAGCGCTTACGCGAGACGACTCACGATCCCACCGACGAGCCTGGAGTCGTTCCCGTGGGTCAAATAATCCCGTCAACGAGCCCCATGGCAGCTGATCGTCGGCGCGACGTCGCGCGGATGATGACGACGACGATGGCACTCGCCGTTCCTGATCGGGGGACGCGGGACTCGCACCTCTGCGACGCTGACACGTCCGGGGACGCGATCGGATCGAGAAAACGCTCGACCGAACACGGGGACAGAGAACGCAGCCACCGACTCGCGCATCCGACCTGCTCGAAGGTCTGTTACCAACTGGCTCGTCCGACGGCGCTGCGCTGGATGATCGGCGCGAGGCGCACGGCCGCCAACTTGACAGATCGCTCGGTTACCACGGGCGAATGTTCCTTCGATTCGCAATTGTGCGAAATTGTCGTAAAACTGCACTTCGAATCACCTTTTCGAATCGTACGTAACACACCCAATCAGAGCGACGAGGGCGAAATGTCCGCGCTCTGATTGGACAGACTCGTAGAATTCGTGCCAATCGGAACGCGAATTAGCTCTAGGCGCGCGCGCATGGAAATGAAAAAACGAATCCGATTACGAACAATATATATGCATTCCGTCGATAATCTCGTGTTCTGTCAAAATTGCAATATGGCGAGTGAATAATGACAATATGAAAGCGCATATCATGGCTTTGAAAATATTTCTCTAAAATGAGGTATTTAACAAAGATTTCTCCGATTGCGATTGATTATGAAAAATGGAATGTTCGTTAATTCTGATGTACTTGTATCTTAAAATATATTCATATGAAATAAAAATGATGAGATTGCACGGAGAGATATAATTGTAACATCGATACAATGTGTAACGAGAATATAAATGAAGAAAATTTTTTCGAAAATTTTCATATTGTACTTCATCCAATTTGTCATTTAACCTAGCAATACAGTGCGATACAATGCACAATCAAATGCGTTTCATAAGACCACTTTCAACCATCATTTCATATATCTTCTCCCTCGATTGTCATTTTAATTAAAATCAATATCGCACGTAAAATGAGAATTTCTGTAATTAACGATACACAAGGATACGATTTGCGTGACAATTACATCGAATAAAATTTCACAGGCTAAATGAAACTCGAACGCGACAAAATGCAGGAAACGCGACAGAACGCAGGAGACGAATAATTGGACCGAAGCTTCGAAATAAACGCGTATTTTAAGCATATTTTGTGACAATTGACGTCGCGTCGCGCTGCCGTTTGGGACGGAGTTTTTCCGAACTACAGCGGACGGCGCGAGCGACGATTGGCCGAGGCGGCGGGCGACCGCAGCGCCGCTCGGGCGCGCGAGCGCGACAGACGATATTTAATTTCTCGCGAATCTCGGACGCGCGAAAAATTGGACGGAAAACGGCACCGTGCGCCTGCACCATGCGTGGGCGAGGAGAACGTCGTCGCGTGGGATCTCCACTCGGAGTCGCCGAGGCGTTTTTCCCCGATCGAGGCCCGTCCGGGGAGAAAGCCGCGGCCCGGGAAAAGCGACGGCGCGGGGCGGCGCGAAGCGAGGCGACGCGGACGTCCCGTCGCGGCGCCCCGCGGATTTTTCCCGGACCCGCGCGCGAGATTTTATTCTGCGCATGGAAAGCAATTTTGCCCAATCATAAATAGGGCTATTGTGGGGGGATGGTTGTATGCCCGTGGCGCATTTCATACATCCGAGTGTAATGGTAACCAGATAGAGAGGCGCCGCGCGCGGGGGCTATCGGCCGGTGTTAAAACCCGGTAAATACCACGCAATATATCCCAAGTATATATATTACACAAGACGGAATTTATAGCGGCGCGAAAAATTCTTCTCGCGGATCTCCATCCCTCGCCCTCGTCTCCTCCTTCTCTAATAACATCACGCTCGATTATCCGCCACATTTTTTCTCTCCTCTCTCTCTCTTCCCGTTTGCGGGCGTCCGCATCCTGTCCCGCTCGCATCCGCGCGGGATCTCTTTTCCTCTGTTTTCTGTTTTTTTTTTTCGCGCGGCGTAACGTGCCGTGCCGTGTGACGATGACGCGTGTGTCGATAGGATGTGCACGGTGGTGTACGCGAGTGCGATACACGGGTCCGACCTCATGCACGTCGCGAGTCGCGTAGTCTGTGCGTGCGCGTGCTCGGCCGAGTGATCTGTGACGTCAGTGGCCCGATCGGTTGTCACCTGTCAAGCCGATGCCGACGTGTCCCTCCCTTCCTCCCCCCTGCTCGCGCTCCCTCGTCGTTTTCTCTCTCTCTCTCTCTCTCTTTCGCCTCTCCCTCCCTTTAGCTTTCCATTCCCTTCGTTCCCTTTTTCTTCCTCCATCCGACTATCTCTCTCGACCACCCTCGATGCAACCCGAGGACGCAATCTGATCCGTGCTACCCTCTCCCTCCCGCGTTTGTCTTCGCGTAACATCCCCTCTCGGCTTAACCCATGCGATTGCCTTCCTCCCTCCTTTCTTGCCCGTTCCCTCGCGGGGATTTTCTCCCCTCCTCCGCACCCTAGCCGCGTTCGTTTCCTCTTCGTCATTGTGCCAGCTTCCATCCTCGACCCTCTCGTTTCCTCTCGCTCTTTTCAGCGGCGATGCCAATGGCGCGATCGACCCTTTTTCCGCGAATAGACTCCATTTTCCAGCGAGATTTTATCGCGCTCTCCACGAATGTCGGTTCCCGTCACTCTGTCCGCTAAACGACAGTCTTACGTAGATTCGTCGAGGGGGAGGGAGCGAATTCGATAGGGGGAGAGGAATTAAGGGCGGCAAGGTTTCGAGAAGCTGGGCCTTTGCGTCTACGCACGAATGGGGAATGGGGAAAAACTGAGAATATTTTTCGGGGGGGAGGGTCTCTCGCGTCCTACGCCGGCTACGCCACTGATTGAAACCGTGTATCTATCTCTCTTCTCCCCCGCTCGGCCCCTTGTCTCCTCGCTTTCGCGATCCCTCGCGATTCCCGCCCTCCCCCGTCCTCCGGCGGCAGCTTATTCACCCTGGTCGCCTCTCTGCCGGCCCGAAAACCGAAGCCGAGCCTTCGAACCACCACCATCACTACCACTACTACCACCACCGCTGTACCATCACCAGCAGCACCGGCATCAGCCGCACCAGCAGCAGCACCACCGGCAATCTCACCCCACTCGCCCTCATCCTCCCGCTCGCCTCCTCCGATATAACCCCGCTCACTCCATCCGCCGCGACGACCGCAGACACAAAAACAATAACAAATCGATTCGCGGCAGCGAATGGGGCGGCGGGGAGAGGGGGATGGGGTCAGCGCGAGGGGTAGGACTGCTGCCGGGGCCCCCCGGTGCGACGCGAGGGAGAGGATAGAGATCCCGCGCGCGAGAAGGAGAGAAAGGGCGAAGCCAATGGGGGTGAGGAAGAGAGAAAATCCTACCGTCGACGCACCACCTCCTCCTCCTCCTCCTCCTCCCGCTCCCCCTCGCCACCCCCGTGTCTCTTTCCCTCTTTCTGGATATTGTATAGAGAACGTTATGCTAAAGTATGCATGCACGAGGGTCGGTCCAATGGTCAGGAATCTCGCGAGTTCGTTCGTTCTACGGCGGCACGTATCCGGACCCGGTACTCGTTTCTCCTTGACTCCGGTATTCGCGGATCGCGGCGACGTCACGTCCTTTATCGCATTATCGCCGTCGTCGTCGTCCTCGTCTTCTTCTTCTTCTTCTTCTTCTTCTTCTTCTTCGTCTACTACATCGTTATCGTCATCGTCGTCGTCGTCGTCGTCATGAGTGTGGCGGGGGAGGCGGCGCTAAGCCGCGACGCGCGTGCACTTCCGGTCGATCGGTAAGGTGGAGATCGGCCCGGCCTTGCGGCAACGAGAGGGGGCTTCTGGCGGGGGATGATTCCAGCGTAATGACGATCGGCCCGAATTGTTGCGGTAGGCCACTACAGGGGCGCCCCCAAGGGACCCCCAATTTCTTACGATTTTCGCGCAATCGTCTCTTGTACATTCTCTCTCTCTCTCTCTGTCTCTCTCTCCCCCTCGGCGATTCGATTTTCGTGCAGCGCCGATCTCGAAATGATCTCGACGCGTTTGACCTTCGCGTTCGCGAGAAAAGAGATCTCCTTCTCCATTCCGTTCCTTGGATTATTTATAGGATAATTTTAATTAATTGATATCTTTTGCCGATTAATATTTTACTTTTAAATTAGAGTTATAGTCACGATTCGATGGGACTTCGACATTTTCGAAGAATGAAATATGTCTCTCTCCATTTGCTAAATTTGAATTATGTTAATAAGTCAAAACTTGCTTAGCTTTATCGCATACGCGCGAAAAACATGTGTATGTATGTGTGTATATATATATATATATATATATATATATATATATATATATATACATATATATAGTGTTTCTCGCGTTATAAAATATTTTTATTAATTCGTTATAATTTTGTTTTACATTATAAGGCTTTATATGTAAATATATATAAAATGTTATAACTTAAGAAAATTATAACGAATTAATAAGAATATTTTATATCAAATATTTTATATAATTTTATATAAAGTGGAATAGAGAGACAAAATAAAGAGTCAATTTTTTCATAATCAAATATCTCGAGTTTACTTTGAGGAATGATTTCTTTCTTGAATCTGTAATAAGCATACATGGACAATTATGTGGTTTATGTGGTTTCCCATCGAAATCGAAAGAAAATACACTGTAAATATTTTCTTCTGAAATATTTCGGGATTTCCCAATTTTTATTTTATTTATCTTTTGAATTGAATTTTTTTATATGAATATAAATTATATAAAATTATGATAAGAGAGTTATAAAATTCGCACATCCTGGGCTAAACGTATCTTTAATTTTTCTGTATGAGAGCAGCATCTTTTACTTCATCCGATAATTCTATCTTATGATGACCGTAAATGAATGACCCATGAAAAAAATAACGTATGTACAAATACACTTATTGCATGCGAAAATAAATTGCAACATTCCGAATATAAAAATATACCCGTATATAAATATTATTTAGCAAGAGTAATGTGTAGCAAAAATAATAATATTATCTAATCGATAAAAAGAACGTAATATATAAAAGAAAGAATAATAATAATATATAAGAATATATAAGAATAGATAATATATAAGAATAAGAATAATATATAAGAAGGTAATATATAAAATATTTTAGAATTGGGAGGAAGTTTATTTTAATATAATGATAGAGAACGTTCAGATGCGGAGGAATCGAAGAAGAGCTAAAAGACAGAAATAAACTCCATTTAGGAGGAGATAATTTTTCATCGTATACCTTCCTCTACATTTTTGCCGCAAGCATGCTTTAAGATGTTTGACCTCGCGCAACTCTGGGATCAGATTACTTTTGCGCTACCGCATATATTACTCGCGATCGTTCTTCTCTACATATTTCCAGAGTACTTGATATAACGAGCAAATTCAAGAATATTTCAAGGCAAAATAACGATAAAACATATATATAATCGTAAATATTCTTGAAAATATTAATTAATCATTACACAAATCAAGTCTTTGAAGACGCCTAAACATTTCTAATGACTTAATTAAATGCGCATGACTTGACGAAAGCAGCATTAAATGTAATAAATAATTATAACAAATACTCGGTTGGCTTGAAAATTGTACGTAAGTATTGATTCGAGGACCACTACTAATCTCTTCTCGTCCCCCTACCTACCCTACTCTTTTTACACCGTGCGGTCCATACAAACATAATGAGCACCGTTTTCAAGCGCGATTCAATCTCTCTCAAGCTTTGAGATATTTCTATTTTCAAATCCTGCACGAGTAATCATTATTAATGCGCTTTAACACGATTTACCTAATAAATATTTTATAAATGTATCAAGTAGGAAAGTAATTTTTTTCAAGTCGAAATCTATCCACAGGTTTATTTTAAAAACAAGATTGTATATTTAAAAAACAATTTTTTTATAAACTGGAATCATTTTTATTATAAACTTTATAATTATTATTATAAAATTCATTTTTTATACATGTTATATTTATATATTTATTCGTTTTTATTATTATAAATTCCTAAACTGGCGGTAAATTTTATCGAAATAAAAGTAATTACAAACTATACAATAAATATAATTGTTCGTTTCCAGGAATTCTCAGGAGAATTATTTCATTTATTATTGAATAAAGTACTTTAGGATATTTTTTTTGCGCGAAAAAATGATTCCTTTCGCAAAATAGGATGCGCAAATTCTCGCTCCCTTCCACTGTGAAAAACATTTCCGGATCTCCCATTTGACACGAATCGAAATCCTATCGATGGCCAAATTCACAATGTTTCAGATGGAATATGGGATCTGGAGTCTTCACGTCGCGGGTGAACTTTGGGGTGACCCGCGTCTCGCCCGAAGGCATCCGATTCTGCCTCCCGGTGCGACGCAGATCCTGCCGAGGGCCGCCTTCGCTCTGAGCGCCCTTCATCGGCCGGATACGCTGCCGCTGCCGTTGACGGCGGCGGGGCCGCCCTACGTCCCCATGGAACTGGTCACGAAACCGGCATCGGTCGCGTCCACCAATGCCGAGGACGCCGAGGACGGTGAGAAGAGTACGAACGCTGAAGATGAGGACTCTCAGCAGCGCGACGACAACGAAGGCAACATCGAAAAAACCGATCAAAACGAAAATCAGGTGAGATTCTTTTATTATTTTTTTGTTGTTGTAACAATTTGAATATAATGTTATAATAAATATATATTATAATTTTGCAGCACTTGAAACTAATTATTCTTATTCCCATCAAGCAACGAAGCGCTAATATTGATATCTAGTGTACAATTATTTTTTTATAAATAAATAAATTATTTTATGGAATTTCTCGTTTGCAAAAAATTTGTAAATTAATAATTTAAATTAGTTTTCATGTAAACTCGCATGTGTCTATTTTATATAAATATGCATACAATATATTAATTTTATTCTTCATATATTCCGATTTCAGACCTGCGTGCCAACCGAAAACAACGACAACGAAGATGCTGGCGACGAGAGCGATACTGGTAGCACCAATAGCTCGCACCGATCAGCCAACAACAATCTATCGATCGCGAAGCTTCCCGATCCGATGTCGTGCTTGGCCCTCGACAAGGTCGGCGATTATGTGAAATTATCTTCTCGCATATCGTGAATATAATTTTTAGCATATTTTTTTTTAAACATCTTTCAGCATATAAATGTGTGTGTAAATTTTGTCAACGTATTTGTAGAATTCAAATATTTTTTTTTATGTAATTAACTTCTTATTTGTAGGAAGGAACGGTGACACCAGTCCTCAATGGGTGGGTGTTGGGCGCTTACACGGCGATGCTGGGCAGGCTGTCGGCCGCCACTGCAGCACTCGAGGCAACGGAAGTTCTCAATATTCCCTCCGACAGCGACTCCGAGAGCGAGCACTCCTCCTATACTGAAAAGTACGTAGAGTTCGTTCATTTATTTGAATTACAACATATGTAATACGATGATTACGCTCCGCTTTTTCCTTAAGAATTATTTTCCTTCAGAAAAACTCTCGTTAGAGAAGCCATTATTATGCCGCGAACTATAAGGTGTTATACATCATTATTACGATAACAATGATGTCTAAAGATGTTTTAAGTGGCGGAAATAAAACTGACGGATGACTTCAAATTATAATAAATGACGCGCAATGTCTTTGTGACGTAAGATTAATGATGCAAACTGATATCTGTTTATGTAATTTAAAAATTTCTATGGCTTCGTTAAGATCACAATACAGCTTAATAGGTACAGTCATTGTAGCTACGGTACAAAATTATCTTGGGAATTTTTCTGTAATTAATTTTATAAAATGTGTGCTATATATTTTTCATCCAACTATCACTTTTTGTCAAATTTTAGTGTTTTGTAATTTGAGTTTTCGCACAATTAGATTGAACTCATCGTTTAATTAAGCAACATGGTGTAAGACTGATGATATATAATCAAGATATGATATATAATGATGATATATAATCATAATATTTAATCAAGATCGAGAGGCAGCAGCCCAAACGTGAATAGCATTCACGGCGGCTACTCGTGCGGCTCGTGCGACGTAATGGCGCCGACGAGACCGGCCCTGAGGAAGCACATAGCCGATTGCCATCCGGCACTATCCGGCACGGAGACCGGCGAGACCAAGAGGTGTCCGTCCACGGGCTGCGACTTCACGACGAGCAGCAGGTGCGAGATGGAGACCCACGTGGCGGCGCACGTGGCCCAGGGGATGACTCCTACGGGGAAGAAGCGCTCGCTGGCCTTGCAACGCGTCAGGTATAGGTACTCGAACAATTTTACATATCTAACTATCCTTTCTGGAACTTTTTATTAAATTTTTTAATTTACTCTGTGATGTTACAAAATAATTTGCGAATGGATATAAGAGAGAAATACGATATTTTCCGTTCGTATAAGATCGTTTTATATCATCTTCCGTTTCGCAATGCATCTAGATACGAGAGAGAGGAGTATCGGTGCTCGCTGTGCTCTTACGCGTGCACGATCGAAAAGGCGTTCCAGAGACATTTGCGGGCCCACGCGAGGGGCACCGCACCGGAGACTAGGGTGAGCTGCGCCGTCTGCGGCGCCGACCGATCCTCCGAGGTCGATCTCAGCAGGCACATGCGGAGGCATCGCGATGACCGGTACTTTTGCTGCGACATCTGCATCTTTCGCACGGTGCAATTGAAAAAAGTATGTAGAATGAAGCGTAAGATACATCTCATGGTGTAAAACAAACAATTAATATCTGATGATAACAAATCAATTAATAAAAAAAAATTTGATTGACACTATTCGCTTAAAATTTTATTCTTTTGTTAGTTTACGCTTTTATTACAGACAGTTCCGATCTTAATCAGACCTGTATCTGTCATACATGGCAAAAATTAAAAAGATATTAATTATCTTTGATGATACACTAATTATTTATTTTATTCCTAATTTTATCCCCTAATTCCTTTGCTTTCGCTCTTACAGCTGATACAGCATCGGCGCATGCACACGGGCGAGAAGCCGCATCTGTGTCCGCACTGCGCTTATCGAAGCGCGCGTCGTGACAATCTGCGCAGCCACGTACGACGAGTACACAAGAAGGAGAACCTATACTGCGACACCTTCAGCCCGCGCGGCATGCTGATAACCCCCTCGCTGCTGGCCTCCTCGAGAGACATCGCCGAGAATGCCGATCCGACGCAGAGTCCGGCGTCCTCGCCGTCCTCGAATCCGGACGCGACCAACTAGCGAAGATGCTCCCGGAAAACGCGGAGGAAAACAGCAGCCCGATCGGGAGATTCGCGGAGGAAGAGAACCGCGATTCGCAGGCTCTTTATACGTCCTCATTTTGTCAATACTGCGATCTAGATATTAGAATTCACAGGGAAGGCTTGTACACAAGTGCTGAATTCGGTAGACGATCGAAGAAGAATCGCAATCGAAAATTAAGCCCAAGATCGAGGCAAATCGACTCTGTTTGAAATTTTGCGAAAAAGTAACGATTCGAGAGGTAAAATAAAAAGAGTAAACAACTAGTAGAAGTAATTTGATCAATAGCAGAAATGTCGATCGAGCAGAAAGGATCTAACGAAACGCGATTGTTCTCCAAATCAGCCCCGACAAGGCTTCCCCTCTTAGGCGCTAGGAAACGTATAGATTATTGCATGCGAACATCGATAATTTAATGTAATCTTTGAATTCTAACGAGATCTTGTATTAACTATATAAACGTCCAGGTGTTATATCGCGTAGCCGATTCGACAAAGTATGACGATATCGGCTGTCCGCCCGTTCGATCGGTGATGGCGAACGGGGAAAGCTGCATGATGGTGCTAGAATTGTAGACTGGATCACACGGAGAAAGACTGAAAGTAGAAACGAATTCACGGCGAGACGTGATGTCGATCGTTTTTTACGTTCCTCCGCACCGATCGCCGTGACTAAAAAAATAAAAAAAAAAAAGAGAGAATTGAAAGAAATTGCAATTCAGCAAAGTTTAAGACTGCAACTCTATACTGTTCCGAGGATTCTCGTTTGTTGAATGTCGTGACGTTTTATTGCTTCTCATTAACTAATTATAAACTCGATTCGATTTTAATATTAATTTTAATTCTCAGGTTATAGCTTACTTACTCATTATATTTCTAATTATTATTTTAATTCTTAAAACTTTTACTGTAATTTTATTTTATTCACATCTACTTTGAATCTCGATTTTTCGTAGCCTATTGTATATAATATCAATTTAAGAATTTTTATTTGTTAAAAAAGTTATATATATACATATACATATAAAGAGACAAACACGACATCGACAAATTCGAGCAGCAACTCGTGATACTCGAGTGCACATCGGGACGGACGTACGAGACTCGATTGAATCAGGCCAACGGTTAATGAGATCAATAAAAGCACTGAGTCACGACACGCGGCATGTCGCGAGGACCCCGGCCGGAATGGAAAGGTGCTATTTTACGAAGATTCGTTTTAACATTACGTATCTAGATTATAGTTCGCTCTCGCTGCACGAATCGCCATGCTATAAGTGATCGTTAAGTACTTGTTAAATGCGAACACGTTGTTATCGTTACTTGGGTTGCCGTTATCGTTTTTATTAGTACTATATATTACGAATTAAAAAAAAATGCGATAACGATATGCTAATATAATTACGAAGTATTATAATCGCGCGAAAACAAGCCGCGTTTCATTTTGCAGACAGTGGCAACTTGAAAATCATCTTTAGAAAACCCTTGCATCATTACATCCATTTATGGATGTCTATATTTAATTCAGTAGATCTATAAATCCAGAGATTCATATATTTGAAAAGTCCTGATCAATTCTAATGTAGCAAAAACAAAGTTTTCAAGCGCCACTTTTTGCAAAATCCAAACGCTGGATATGCTCGCTATCGGTACAAGTGCGTTTCTCTCTTTAAGATCCACGGTCGTCTTCGACGATCGATCGATCGCTTGCTCGCGCAAGGAAGAGAAAACGGACAAAACTTATTATAACGAAGATATGTGTCAATTTTTAATGTACCATACAAATATACGTTGTAGTCGATAAACGATTTTTAACGATGTAAGGCGCGAAACGTTTCGTGCGCCATGATGATCCGACACGATGATCCGACATGTCGTCGAGAATGATATTCTCCATCATTACTATATTACGCTAAACTACGAGGTATACGAAGAATGTGAAGTCAAAGCTGCACGACATTGAAGAATTTTATTCCAGTACATTTTCATTTTTTTTTTCAAGCGAGATACTTTTTTCAAATGCATATTGCGCTCGTTTTGCTGAATATTGAGTAGATGTTTTTTTTTTTCAAACTGAATTTATCAATATTTTGTTAAAGCTATATTTTTTCCATGTGACTCACTTAATTTGTCAAACTCTTATTGTTATCATTGTCAGTATTATCTTCGCTAGAAATATTGCGAACATGACTCATTCCGTGCCAAGTAGCAAGTAATTGGGAGTAAGCCACAATTACGAGCAAATGTGTGATTTAGATTTTAATTAATATTATATTACATATAATTACATATACAAAAATTAAATATTAAATTATATTTTATCTTTTAGGTATATATATACAGATGATTACTATAGTAGCCGAGATTATGCGTGGAAGTTGGTAAAAAAAAAAAAAAACATTTATTGCACAGATTATAATAAGGACGTAGATTCATTCGCACCCGAAAGCGAAGGGTTTGACATGTACCGGGTGTGCGCATAGTTCATTCGCATCCGTGCCAACAGAGACTCGCGAGTTATATGTATACGGCCGTATATACCGCTATATATACTCTTTTGCTTTTGTGATATATATCGTGCATCGGAATATATTTTGTATTCGTAAAACACGCGTTTATCGGTGCAATAATCCACGATGATCCTCTTCAACGCGACTTTTTATATAAATAATTTTACACAAGACGCACCAGAGGACACGACTTACTTTTTCCATTTCTCTTTCACGCACATCTACACGTCGTTTCCGATACGCATCGAGTGCAATTTTCACATTCGAAATATTCATACGACGAGTGATATAGTTTATCGCGACGAGCGCGTGGTTTTACACAAACCTATGCCACAACGAAGGAGATTTACTCGTTAATTTACACGTCCGCGGTTATAGCGCGACTGGCTCCGTCCGCCCTTAGCATTTACTTCGATCACCTTACTTATCTTTCGTTTCGACTGAAAAAATCCTGGCGCATACGCGAACTCGAATCGAGCGTCTCGTTCGTGACAAGCGAGGAAAGCTGTCGCGAGAAGTCCACACGATAAGGGTGAGGTGGGAGACGAAAAATTTGGAGGAAACGACTCTGAAACCGGCGCGTAATTTCGACACGCCCCTTTTTCCCGACGTTTCTCGTACAGTTCGCGAAAACGTAGTTTTCCCCGAGGAAGTATCAATAACAAGGACACCTCATTTTATCGTATCGTCCGCGCGAATCAGTCTCAGGTTGCCGACCGAGATTTATTCGCATTATTATATTACGAGCTCATAACTGATAAGCAACGGTCGACACCGTGTGCCGACATTACGAGGAGAAAGAAAATAAATGCGTGCCAAAGTAACCCCCGATTATAAGGGGACGAACGAAGTTTTACGGAGAAAAAGGAGAGATGTGGAAAGCTGCTTCGGACGCGAAACGTGCGACTAATAAATCCTTCGTCATACTCGGAAAATCAAGAAACTCGTCTCGTGTTTTATATCAAATTTTTCATCTCTGTTTAATTCATCTACGAAGAAGGAAAGAAAAAAACATCTTAGATATTAAACATTTTTATCGGAAAATGTAAAATAGAAAATAGGTATAATTTTTATTAGAGATATAATTTGGAAATTCTATTTGCATCTTTTCATTTCTCAAGCAAGTTTTGCTACAATCTCATTTTTTTCAATCTTTAAATGGTTCTGATAATTCAATGATAATCGCGAGTTTCGTGAGAATCCGATGTCGAAGGACTTGAGCCTGATCGTTCGCTTCCACCCTTATCCAGTTGAATAACTCTTTCCATCACGGTAAAATAAAGAAAATGAATGTTAGAATTAGCAATTATATCCAAGAGTTTTCGAATTTTATAAATAGAAAATATTGAGCTCGTCAGAAATTTAGCAAGAGTTTCTTTTGTAAGGAAGCTGAAAAGTCTAAACAAAATAACAGTTTTTCTCTGAATGGCTCGAAACTTTTAATCTGCAGCCTTCGAAAGCTCTTAATTAAATAATTCTTGATTTTAAGATATTTATATTTTTTATTTTGCCGCACTGAGGGGAAAGGGAGAGCACAATTGAACAAGGGTTTCGCTTCCGTGTCCGTCGCGAGCGTGAACTAGTTGTTACAATCTTTTAACTGTTGAATTTTTGCTGTAGCAGTAAGTGTCTTAACGTATACCTTATATATAAACTACACGATAATATATTCTATATTAATGTTTCTTAGATTTAAATCTAATAATTCGGACGGACGTGTTTATACGACGAACGTCGTCCTCGTTTATCGCGCACTCGTAAATGCGAGTCGAGACGCTCAATAAGCTGGAATCTGCGAAACAAATCAGCTCGGCTATTTACGTCATCGCGAGATATTGTCGACGGTAACGGGAGGATAAAGAGGGTTAAATGTTTCAATACAGAAATATTAACCTTTAGATGACAATGATGCGCAATTAGTGGCACTTATTGAAAGTAAAATATTGTGAGAAACTTAGAAATTTCAAGATTTACCTCCAGCCAAACGACAAGTGCAATCTCACTTCATATTTAACAGGAGATGTTCATAAAATTGAAATGCTAAATTTATTTTCTAAAGATTCTTAGATGTATATAATATTTTATTTTTTTAAACTCTAGAGAAATTTTATTCTTTTGCTTTTTTTTACTCGCAAACGGCTATAATTATTATATTCTTTTTTCCATCATCTATTATAGGAAAGATTAGATAGATACTAAAGATGTCGTAAAAAATGATTGGGCATTAATAGGCTTTCTCATTCGGCGCGAAAATTACGAGGCGACGAAAAATTCGTCGTAAAACGTCCGGCCGTCGTCTTAAAAATTAATACAATCTAAATGTGATAATATATTTGCTATTGAATTATGACGTAACGATTACATTATAATTAATTGACACCGCGCGAAAAAAACGTACGAAGAACAAAGAGAAATGAGCAATTTTAAGAGTCCGTCTATACGAATAAAGCTGGCGTTACACGAGCACGGATGATCTGAATGTTCGCGATCCGAGAGCTTTTCTTAGCAAAATATTAATTGATTGAATAAATATAAAGATTATAAAATCTCGATATTGTCGAAATCAATAAGATGAATATTGGAATCAATTACTTGCGCTCCTCTAACATTATTATTTTTCAAATGTCAAATTTTATATTCGAAGATAATTTTATTCTCAAAAATAATTAAGAAATAAACGACATTGTATGATAAATTAAGATAATATATTAACATATTAAAAATTATTTAAAAGACAACAGGAAAATATCTCTCAGAGATACTTATATTCTTGATTTTTGATAAATTATTTATGTTAATTAATTTTTTCTTATCTCTAATTAATATTTCCAATTTTCTCCCATCGCAAGCCTGACACTCAACGGAAAGTCGAACAAGTCACATCACCCTGACTCCGGCGGAAATTCGAATAAAAAGAGAAGTGCGGAGCCGCATTTTGCTTGCCAAAGAATAAAGACTCTTGCGCTCTACGCATATATAATATATACACACAAATATATAATTATATAAATGTACGTGTATGTGTGTGAGTGTGCCTAAAAATTTTTTCCTTGGACTAATCTCTTACACTTTCTATGTCACTGTCTCTCTCTATCTCTCTCTTTATCTTGCGCTCTTGAATCACACATTCCAGTCATAAGCGATTTCGAAAGACTATTATAGTAGTTTGACGATTTCGAATTACGACAGACTCGAGACACCTCGTATCCATCGCCATATGATCGATTAAAACCATTTCTATTATTACAAAAATTTTTTATTTAACACTTTGTCTTATTTACTAAAATTCTAATAATTTGTATTAAGAGCATTTCGAAAATTATTTAAATTATATAGATTTTATGGGGTTAATAATTTAATATGTTTATATATTTTTTTATTAATAAATTAGCTGATGTATTAAAGAATTTTATTGTAGAAACAGATTTTATTATTACTTTTTTCACAAATATTATTACTTTGTTTACATTTCCTTTTCGCAAAATGCATCGGTACGGGGTGTCAAAAACCTATTATTAATTTGGATAGTAGCGAGGAAAAGAAGTTGAACCGTTTATCTCAGCCTTTACCCGATAAACTTCGCCAAATCTTTATTTCTATCACCAATTACTAAAATTACGCAAAAATATGTCGAATTAAATAAAAAGATATACTTTTGTTGTACATAATTGTCACGCATTTATTATAAAAATAAGCGAGAAATAATCGAAAATGAGTCGAAGTAATTTGTTTTTCTTTCTATCGCGGCGATGTAAAAACATATATATATATATATATATATATATATATATATATATATATATATATACGTATGCAGATATATAAAGCTCTTTTTTTCTCTCGATCGAAGAGGCTTTAAAGCGAAGCTGCGTTATCGGTCGAAGGCTGACTGCATTGTTTAAAGATTGTCTCTCTGTGTTCCGACATAAGTAGTAGATATTCCGTCGATCGTTCCTCTTTATGAAAAAAAAAGAAAAAGAAAAACAAAAAATATAAAGCACGCGGCCAGCGTACGCAGCGCACGCATTCACGATGACTCCTGACTCGAGATGACCGCGAGCGATCTCACTCCTTTCCGCAAAGTATACGACGAAAGTAAACGCGCGTTCCAATCTTTGCCTCCGCAGTCCAAAAAGAGGAGAAAAAAAAGAGCAAAGAGGAAAAGGCAAGAAAAATCGGAGGTGACTCGACATACCAGGTACTCGCATCGCCAACTCGCGCGCGCTTGAATATTTTTTTACGACTTTATGGCCTAAGCGTTCGGCGTCGCGCCGAAAAAGTAGGTACTCTTTACGGGTCTGCGCGTTTCGAATCTCAAATCGATCGCGATAAATTAATCTTATACGACGATAGGGGGAACTGTAATAAAAGCGAGTCGCTCGCGGGAATATAATATATTATTTCCTTTGTGTGTGATTCTCGGCCGATGAGCACCGATGATCTCGAACGGAATCGTTTGGCCTTCGCGCCAAAAAAAAAATGCTTTAATCTTACAGTAAATATTCCTCTAATCTCCCTCCGGATAAAATTATAAGTATTCAATTTATATTTATATATAAATTTTGTAATTCATTATCTATTCTTGCTTGTCTCTTTTTAATGATAATTTTAATACAAACAAAAATAATCTCGATACGCAAGAAAATTAAGAAAGACACCTCTTATACAAACGCTATCTTTTATAATTACTCTTCCAAAAATCATCGATTAAACTTCATTAATTGCTGCATCTATTTTTAAATCTATATAAAATCATCCCGTGTTATTGAACCTTTTATCAAGAGATTATCAGCGATCATTGGACGCATTTCGTCACGCGTTTTTACGTATACGACTGCTAACACATGCGTGCATGCGTGCATGCGTACCTGCTTCCATATAACGATCAATCTTAAGGAACTAATTAACGAATAAATAGTTAAACTTGTCGTCACCATTGTGATTTAAGATAGTAGAAATACCCGCGCAAGTCGTTCGACAGTGCAGGTGCAACTGATGACATTTCGTATAAAAACGATTATTTGTCGAGAGAGGAAAATTGCAACTAGTTTTAAAAATTCTTTCGTCGATTTTATCTAATGTAATTAATTTAATGAAGTCGATTAAAATGAAACATTGTAATTGGGAAAATGTCAGTGATATTTATACGATTGTGGCGCGACAAACAAGCTGCCATTTAGAAAATAGAGGCACCTCGTATTTTCGTTATCAGTAGAAATATTATTTTCATCGTAACACATATATATATATATAATTCAAAATTATATTTGTAGCATGAAAGAATAGTTTGCGCGATTTTATTGTATTTTTTTAATATTAATCTTTAAGACTCTATAGTGATATATTATATGGCTTGCACCTGCATGGAAGACTCTCAGCGGGAAAACGTTTACCTGTTTGTATAGCCAAAGTCGTTATTTGTCTTTGGCACGATAAAAATCTTAATAAAGGTTTCATTAAAATATTCTTCGTAGAATCATATTCTCACATTCCATTATTCATTGATATTTCAATTTTTAAAAATTTCAGTAAAAATATTATTATATATTCAATCTTTTATTTCAAAAGTACACTCGCTATATTAGTTATTTATTTTCCATTTATTTCAGTGTCTGTTTTTTTTTTAGTCTTAAAATTCGAATTGGTTTTATTTATTATTATTGTACATATATCGCTAAAGTAATAATTTTAATTAGGCAATGTATTTGTTTACCATAGTCGATGATTGTGTTATATATATAAGTACAGTTGCTATTTTTCCTTCTCTGATTGATTTTTATTTGAAACGATTTGCAATGTTCTGATTCGCTTATTTGATCCATAAATTGCATCTATTTCGATAGGATAATTTATCGCAACTAAATTATTATTTTTTTAAATTGAAATATTGAAATATTTAAGTTAAATAGATGTCATGTTAGATTTAACATGTATTATTTAATTTAAGTAGTTAAATATTTCAATTAAAACAAATAACAGTTGTATGGTTTAGGTCAAGTTAACAACTTTTTTCCTCAGTGCAGTTAAATTACACGAATTTCAAGAGAGAAATTCCAAAAAAATTCAAAAATAAAAAATCTCTAATCTCACCAGGAAGAAACTAAATTACTTGATTTGTGCCTACTTCTTTCTTAGTTGAATGAGGAAAAAAAGATGGTTCAATTCATTATTAATTCTATCAATTCTGCCAATCGGGCAAGTAATTCAATCTTCTAATCAATAGAAGATTAAATTGCTTGCCCGATTGGCAGAATTGATAGAATTAATAACACGTTCTTTTTACGTCCAACGACTATTAGTTTTCCAACTCCGGAGTAAAATGAAAATAACACATTCCACGTGCAGTTGCAGCGGCAGCCGTTGCAATTGACGCCGGCGGTGGCGTTGGCCTCCCCGTCACTCTTCCGCTCTGACTCTGGTCGCACCGAGAGTCGAGAGCCGAGAGGAGCGATGGATACGCGTCGGCTGTGCCGTGTGGGCGACGGGACGGGAGCTCTCTCTTAGCTCCGCTTAGCCGAGTCGCGTCAGTACGAAGGCACGACTCGCGCCGTCGAGTCGAACAATGACGTGCCGCTCCCGCCCCCGTCCCCGGCCGCTTTTTATATCTTATCGCCGCGCGTCGTCTTTATCTTCGCGACGCGAATCTTCCGACGTCGGTGCGTGAGAGGCTTGTGCGCGTAAAAAAAAAAATCGTACACCGAAGCCATCAATTTTGAAGAACACACGAGGTCTCCCGAAAAATACGAAACGCCACGAGAAGAGAAAGGAGAGAACTGCGCTCGCGCGAGCCGTAGAATCTAGGGTCGCCTGTTGACGCATTGTGCGTGGATGTGCGCGCGTGTCGGTGCGTAAAGTGCGCGCGCGCGCGCGCGTCTTTCTCCGCTCGCGATCGCGCATGCCGAGTGTCTCTTTAATTCATCAACGCTCTCGGTCGGCTCGTACCGATCTCCACGCTTTGTTTCATTCCTGCTACCGTGGGAAACTCGCCTTCTAATTTCGATGATGAAGGGAGCGCTATTTAAATAGCGTGCGTTGACCTTAAGCGAGTTATAATTGCCGGATGCTTCTATTCCCGGAGGAGATTCGATGACTGGTTTTTCTTTTATGATTCGATGAAAATATTTACGGCCAGTCTCATAACTTCGCATAATTTTTACTCAATTTTTTTCCCCAATTTTCACTCGATGCGCGAGTTCCGCATAGATAAACGCGCGAATTTAACAAGACATGTGTGTGACAGTGTACGCGAGCGCGCGAATAATAATGAGTCACGTGGCGGTGAAAAGAGGGACGTGATGAATCCACATCGCGAACGAAACGTGGATGAATGATCGAGAGACAGACGTTGACCCGCATAGCTCCGCGTAGCCTTTCGATCGAGAAAAAAAAAGGGACGAAATAAAATGCTGCTGTAATTTCGGTTAATGTGGGTTTATTGCGAGGGAACGGAAGCGGTTCTTCGAGAGGAGAAAAGGAAGGGCCGCATAGGAAGGGACAGCCGTACCGTGACGACGACAACGACCCAGGTAAGTTTCTGACCTGCGTCACTAACGGAGAAGAGCAGCGGGATTCGTAGCCTCCGGCTAAAACGTGATTCTCTCGAGCGAAATTGCGTATGCTATTCTGAAAAGAAATTTATTAAAAATCGTGCCATTGGCAATTTTAAAAGAATTGTTACTCTGAAAATTCACCGCTTTTATTTTATCTGTGATGGTAGACAGAGAAAGATATCATTCTACTGCCAAGAAAAGCGATTAATCAGTTTATTTTTCTTTTTTTAAGTAATAGTTTTCTTCAACAAAGAATATATTCTTGATAATAGTCTTCAAATATATTCATCATAAATGTTAGAAAATCTCATTATCATGCACTCAAAAAAAGAATTTATTTTCTCTTCAAGAATATTGTAAAGTTGTATAAAAAAATTAAACTTTGCGCCAATTCTTTGTGGTAAGCAAATCAATTTTTGTTTTAATTTAATATTCTTGATTAAAATACTGCACTTACTAAAATTCGGAATATATTCAATTAAATTTAATGCTTGTGATGAACTTGTGATATATTTGCAGATATACAAACTTATGATATACTTAAAATAAATAATATTTATTTGAATACAGTATACATTTTTTTCTGTGTAGCTCTGTTAGTTACACGTGTTGCAATATTGAACAATAATATGTTTTTTATAAAAGTTGTTATATTTTGTTTTTCACGAAAAAAAACCTTTGTTTCTGCACAAGCCTTTTTTCGAAATTTTTTTACACAACTTTTCAATAGCGATTCAACGATTGAATTGATATAGTTATTTTTTAATTATTTACAGTTTTTCTTGAGAGAGATTATTATTTTTTTCCTTCGATTTGATCTTAATATTAAAAACATTACTCCGAAAATTCGTCACTCTTTTATCTATGGTGATAGATCTTTATGAATTCACGTTGCAAACATTAAATAGCGATATGTATTATAAATTGATAAATTTTCATTTTTCTGAAAGATACCGTGTATTTATTCAAAATTTTTCTTAAAATTTATATTTTGCAGAATCAATTTTTTAACAAGGATCGACCGATTAAATTGATATAATTATTATCTCTAATTAGTCAAAAGCTTTTTTCTTCTCGAGAGAAATTATTTACGATTCTTACGATTTGATTTAATTTTAATATTAAAATATCGTTATTAAATTTTTTTCTACACAAAATTTACTTCTCTAAATTGTTCAAGTTTATAATAACGTGAAATATATCGAACTTAATGATATCTTAGTGATATTCATTCTTAGAAAAATATTTTTTTCGTCCGCGAGATATGAGAGTATCTAGTTAAATATTTCTGATAATAATTAGTGCGCATGAAGATTGTCCGCGACTCGTTTATCAAGTTCCACTGTAAAGCCCGCACAACGTTAATCGGTTGCAACACTTTCTAAGTGTTTCGTAACGAACTATGTGTCTCAAACAGTGACTCAAATGACAAAAATATCCAATTATATAACCCGTTATCTACCTAAACCGTCATAACATCTAATGTAGCGCATCATCAGTCGTTCAATTAAAATTTAGGGATTTATTGATTCACGCTTGTTTCGTTTGGACATTTCCACGATTATTAAATCGCTATTAAAGCTGTTTTGTTCCTTTTACCTTCATTAGCAATCTGTCGCTTCAGCACCGTTCCCCGCCCGAAATCCTTCTTATCTCACGGAAGTTTCAACCTATTAAATGATAACGTCCCATTCTTATCGTACACCGCAGTTCTGACAAATAATTCAAGAAGTTAGTGATGATTCGTTGATGCGTCGATTGAACATGATTCATTTTCGTTGGAACAAAGACGTCATAGGTACGTTGCATTTTTTGCGTTTATTCCTCTTGTTTCTAAAAGATAAATTCATAATATTAGAAAAATATTAGAAAAAAAGCGAATAATATACGTAATAAAATCAGCGACATATGTAACTCTGTATTTTAGACACGATTATTCACAACCGCTGCTTGTGTAACGCATGCATAATTTTTGCATAAATTTTTACATACATAATACAGATTAATATCCACAATTTATTTCTACGTAGTACAAATTTATTCCACTTGAAATGGAAAGTTCAGGTGATAGACCAAATAGACGTGGCAATATATTAGATGCAATTCCGGTGCGAAATTAAAATGCAGATATTATGGATGCGACAGTCGTTGAAATAGAAGCCGGAAACTATGGGCGTCGGTATCGGCTTTCGGAACGATGACTCACTCTGGGACAATTCATAATTTCCTTTCTGTTTGCGTCGCTCGTTTGCTCTGTCATGCGTCCAGCGCGGAGAAATAACAATTTGATTAATCCTGGAGGCGAACAATAGACGAGAGATTCGGTTAATAACGGTATTTCGGAAACCCAATTCCCTCGTGTGAAAAGTACCTTTCTCTTTTATGAGAACTAAAATTTTGGATAATAAAAAAGAAATGAAAAAAAAGGAGAAAATTTGCTTCATCACTTGATTTCTCATGTCATCCCTTTATCTACACAATAAAAAGTTGTACGTCTATAAGTTAAAATTTTCTTGTGTTATCACGTTTTGATTAGTACTTCAATGTAAAGTTAACATACAACTGATAAGTTATTATTTTTATAACGTTTTCATGTGTTACATTTATGTCAACTTCATAACTTAACAGTATATGTCTCTTAGAAATGGAATATTATTTGTTTTATTGTCTCAAAGTCAGTTTAACATTCTAAGAAAAATTAAAGTAAATCTTCAAATAATCTTGAATTTTAACATACAAAATAATCAAATTTACTAAAATCAAATGTTTCTATTACAAATAATTTAAGTCAAAATAATGACTATTATATGTTAATGTCTTACAACAATTCTTACGAGTTATTGTAACTATTTTTTCATATAATTTTTAATTAATATGTATGTTATCTTTACACTTAAAGTCACGATAACAAAAAGAAAAAAGGAAAGTGTTGCGTCAATTATTTAACATTTTTAGTTTGTTGATAAGTATACGAGTTTAATTTAAAATTTAGAGTGGCCTTTCTGGGACATGTGAAAAATATTATAATTAACATTTTATTTTTTACTGTGTAATAAAGCTTGTATTAAAACGTACATCAGTTTGAATCACCTAGAGATTAGAGAAACTCTCATATGTCTCAGGATCAATGGGTTGGTATCGGAAAAAACCGTAAACTCTCTATGAAGCCGCATTACGCCTATTGAAATAACCGGCCACCGTGATGGAAGTGAAACCGATACCGAAACCACGATCGATCCTGACCCAGAGCAAGCCGGTACCAGCGCCCCGGAGGATTCCGGCGCCGACCACTTCGCCGATGGCGCGTTCCAACAGCCCGACCAGCGAGTCCGGTCAATCCGAGAAAAGCGACGACCAGAGGTCGACCAGCGGATCAGTCGGCGAGAGCACTCGCGGCAATCACGAGTTCTTCCGCAATCTCAGCACGAGTTCGCGCCAGTTGAAGGACGAGATTTCGGAGAAAGTGACGGTGAAGGGACGCGCCGTCATCTCCAGCACGCGAAATGCCAGCATCCGGTTGGAGAAATCGGTGAAGAATCTGCTGACGCGACGACTATCGTCTCTGAATCAGGACGACGTAGTCGGCCAAGGTAGCGTCCAGAAGAAGCTTAAGGACCCGGCCGAGGAAGACAGATGCGTATCGATGCCGGCCGATGATATCTTCAGCAGCATCTCGTTCTACAGTCCGTTGAGCGGCAATCTGAGGAGTGTGAAAAACGAGGAGGATTTATCCACCAGGCACAGCCCGCCGCCGCCGATTTATCCGCCGCCTCCGCTTCCGGACGAGTCTATCTACGACGAGCTGCAGTCCGTCACGTCGGGAAGTAGCGGTCGATATGACACTCTCAGCTCGACAGTGTCGGATAAAGTCGAGCGGGATTTCCCCGAGTCGTTCAATCTCCTCAGCTTCGCGCGAAATCAGGTACAATCGCCTTAAGTTTCTCGTGATTATTTTTTTTAAGTGTTTCTGCTCACAGAGGAAAATATTCTATACTGCCAAGAAAAGTGATTACTCAGTTTATTTTTCTTTTTTTAAATAATAGTTTTCTTCAACGAAGAATATATTCTTGATAATAGTCTTCAGATATATTCATCACAAGTGTTAGAAAATCTCATTATCGTACACTCAAAAGAAGAATTTATTTTCTCTTCAAGAATATTTTAAAGTTGTATCAAAGAAAAATCATACTTACTTTACGTCAACTCTTGTAATAAGCAAACCAAATTTTTGTTTTAATTTAATATTCTTGACTAAAATATTGCACTTACTAAAATTCAGAATATATCAATATTCAATTAAATTTAATGCTTGTGGTGAACTTATGATATATTTGTGGATATACAAACTTATGATACCTAAAATAAATAATATTTACTTGAATACAGTATACATTTTTCTCTGTGTTCCCATGTTGTTACTCAGATATTTGATTATCAAGCGAAAGGTTCACGAAAATCGATTTTATTTCGTTTAATCAATAAATAAAAAATATTGTCTTACATTTATATTTTTCTACTTTAAATAGGATAGCGATTCCGACCAAAGCCTAAATTTATCCGACGTCAACGCAAGTCAGTCGCTTGACCGACCTGAAAACTCTGCCAAGAAACTATCGAGATCGGATTCTTGGACTTTCTACGACACCACACCCGGCACTAAAGAGAATGCCGACGAGGTGGACAGAATATCCTGGGTAGAGGAGGAAAATTTGGTAAAGTCTATCGAGAAGGAGATCGACCGTTTGACGTTGGATCGAACCTCTTACGCGTCCAACGAGAGCCACGCTTCCATTCAGAATTCTCTCTATGAGAATTTGTCACCGAAGGTCGATTGCCAGCAACAATCGACAATAATCTCCACGGATTCCAGACAGCAGAACAGCAAATCCTTGCTCTTCGAGTTCGATCCATTCGCGAGAACATCCGAGGATGAGAACGTTTACAGCAACTACGAGAACAATGATTTGATGCTGTTGGAGGCTCTGTTGGCCACCAACGATTCGTCCGGCAGCGCCGATAGCACACTCGAATTCCGCGAGAGCGCCGAGGAAGAGCAGGAGGACGAGGACTTGGCGCACCCAGGTATTAGTTCGACCCCTCCAGAGCCACCCAAGAGATTCGATTCTCTTCCGAAGAACGAGTACGATGTGCCAGAAGGCACGGAACAGCCCGACAAGATCCAAGCGTCGAGTAAGAATCCACCTCTCTTGCCGAAACTGGCGCATTTAGTCACCAAAAAGCAACCTGCGGTTCCTCCCAGAAAACCTTCCGTAAGGATTCCTTCTGCGGATAATCCTTCGATTCCTCAATCGACGACGACAGCAACGACGACGACAACAACGACGACGACGACAACGACGACGACGACAACGATGACGACGACGATGACGACGAAGACACCTGCCAGTAACGTCGAGGATAATATTCCTAGTCCTTTGTCGAGTACGCCGAGGATCGCCGAAGAAAATCGTAAAGTGAGTGTGATACAAAAATTGAAAAAGCTGCGACGACATGAGTCTACCGTGCATGCCATCAAACCAAACGTGATCAGTTTTGTGAAGAGCGGCAGTAAATTGTTGTCCAGAACTCGCGAGCACATCGGCGAGTCCGGCTCGAGGTCGTTGCGAATGGAGAGGCCAAAGGTCAATGTTCCGCACAATCCAGTCACACACAGAGGAATGGTATACAGGTGAGAGACAAGAGATATTTAATGAGCTTCTCTCTCTCTCTCTTTGGCATCAGATTTTTTTTTATCCAATCAAACCGTTGATAAGCTTGCGAAAATTAGAAAATTAATTTAAAACATTTTGCAACTTTCAAATTTAGTAAAAAACTGTATTGATAAAAACTTTCTATAAAATGATTAGAAAAAATAGATTAAATAATCATTTATAAAAAGAAGATTCTAATGCGATTTTATCAATCGGTTGCGATTAATAGAAATGCAATTTTAATAACACCAATGCGATTTTATCAATCGGTTTAAATCGAACACAAGTGCGTTAATCAGTTAATTAACAATATCGTCGTATTTCCTGCGGAGGTCGGGAATGGGCATCGAGAGGGCCAAGGACCTCGTGCCGAGAGCAGCTGTGTTACTCGATCGGAAATTATCATTCTATACTGACAAGAGCATGTCTACGCTGAAAGAGATTATGGAACTGGACACAGTGCATAGTATTCATCTGCTTCAGGATGTCAAGTGAGTGCGTTATTTTATTTTATAAACACGATATGCAAAATAGAATGCGAGTGTGCTTGACGGTGATAAAAATTTTTCGCCACGCAATCCTTTAACAAAACGAGAATTAACTTTTAAAATTGGCCGACTTAGGCGTCCGAAATTATTTTACCCGGTTCATCGAAAGTGTATCTGTTTATTCTACATATCCCATATCTCACGCTTTCTCTCGGTTACAAATGTTATAGATATTAATCTCGATGCATAAATATAGCTTTTTACGCGTATTCGAATAATATAACGTGTGACTCATTCTCGCTCGGCATACATTTACATCAAATCGACTCCAAGTGTTAACGCCGGCCAGACACACATATATTCCCCTCGCAGGCGTCGCTCTCTACGAGAGAAGTCTCAAGGTTCTCTTTGTTGAACGGGAAGAAAAGGATCTCACGAGAGAAGCTTTTCTCGAGCGTAACTATCTGACCTTGCGTTGGTCGCGCCATCGAGTGATAAATTATTTCTCCTGAAACGCAGAATCAGCACCTCTTTTCCATTAAGCTTTTTCTAGGAAATTGTCAATTCTTGCCGTAATAACGTGCCACGGAAAAATATTCTCGAATTAACCCCAATCTAATTCACTGATCTTGATGAATGAGCAGTTTTCGCTCCGCGTCTATCCGTGTATTGATTAAGCCTATTAAGAGCTCCATTGGTCCAGATCTGATAATCTAAGGTACTCTCAACTACTAAGTGGCTCGCGTATAGATACATTGTCCATCTCAGCTGTTAGCTACGCGTGACTTGGCGCTAGACACGATCGTGTCTATTGATTTTAGCGCTGCGTATCTTTACGTTCCCTTTGGCTCATCGCGCAGCCATGACTTGCTCGTCATTATTTCGCTCGCAATTACTTGATGAAGGTAATTTTGAAATATGTGCAGAACCGTGGACGGAGAGACGGTGCATTGCGTAGCGATTAGCGGCGCGGGCAGATCAAGCGTGCACGTTTTCTACGCCAAAGGCATCGCTGAGAGGCGGATCTGGGCGCAGAGGATCCTCGAGGCCACCACACCGGTCTTCCCCACGAAGTACACCGCCGAATTCACTAGAACAGGTTGGGCTTACTTAAAGGTATGTATGAAAGAAGACAAGCAGTGTAAAAGCTTTCAACATTGAACAGAATTGTGCTCCCGATTATTAATCAATAAATCATAAAAATCCGGAAAATTGCAAGAGCTTAAATTAAGCCAAGTCGTAAAATAAATAATGGTATGCAGAAATGTATTTTGATTACTCTTTTGAATCTCTCATCTTCAATCTAAATAAATATATACATGAAAATTAATAATTATAATTATAAAGAATACAAGGATTTATATTAATCATTAATTAAAATAATAAATGTATTTTATAGAGGAAAGCAGAAAACATTTTTATTATAGAGCTTTTTCTTATTCTCTTCCTCTTCCATTTAATGTAATTCAAAATGTAATTTATTTGAAAGATGTTAATATATAAAAATGAGAGAACAAGAATTAAGAGAAATACAATTAATAGAGTAATGTACATGGAAATTTCTATATAATTTATTTTTCCATAATTATATATTATATGTATTACATATGCTGCAGTATTTTATATATTAATTTAATATAATATAACTTTACACAAGCCTACCTCAACCGTCTCTTAAGGTAGGTCAAAATCCTACTTCTCATTCATATTTATTCTTGTTCACAATAGTAATTAATAAAAATAAAAAAAATAATTAAAAAATAAATAAAAAATAATTAAAAGCCATTTTAACGCAGAACAATGTGTAATAAAATTTCCATTACTTACTTGATATCTCGCAAATTCTAAATAATTTCTGTTGCTAACTGTTCGTGTTTGCGAATGCAGAAAACCCGCATATGCTGACACGTAAATTCCTCTTCTACAATTTCGCGAACATTGCGGATATTCGTTGGATTTTGTAATTGTTCCAAATTTTTTCCATCATTGACAAAAATAAAAAATGTCAAACGCATTTTTTCTCTTTTTTTTTAATCTCGCGACGATTACAATATCCTTATATTTTTTCAGGAAGGCGTAACAGGAACGTGGTTCTCGGCTTGGGTTCTTCTGCAACAAAGAACCTTGGTTTACACGAAATCCTTGGAATCTGCTTTCGCTGTGAACTTTGAACATGTGGACTTACGGAAAGCGCGTTGCATCGGTAAGTTATGACCAAAAAAAAAACTTTCAACATAAATACTGATTGACATAAATACAGGATAATCTCAATTATATACATATCAAAGATAAAAAATAATTTTATTTAATGAATTCACATTGTTATATTGTTAAATCTCAGAGTATTTTTATTACATTTACTTATTGTATTTATTTAATTCATAATTAACATCAGGGACTTGCCTTGAAATCAATCTTAATTATTGCAATTATTGCAACTCTATTAATCTCGCGATTGAGATACGAAAGATGCGATACCCTAATTATGATAATAAACGAATTCGATTGTCTTATCAATGAATGATTCAATGTAATACAAGTTACTCGATTAAAAATACAGAATCATCTTTTAATCATACTGTATGACCTAATTTAGATCAATGTTATTAATATCATTAACACCATTCAAGAATCATTATTACCAAGGAAGGCTCGAAAAAGTTTAAATTGCATTATTAAAATTATAACTTCATTAATCTTTTTATCCTTTACATAAAAAACAAATTTTTAAACTATAATTACAAAATATACAGAAATTACAAAAAAATCACATATATGTATATATGTGTATGAGACAGAAGAAACTTAATTATAAAGTAATTTATGAATTGATAAAATCCGCAAAATGATATACATGTATTCGAGTCTTTCTTCATGTTGCCATTCTCAATGAACAGAAGAGTATAGTTATTTATGTTTAGAATTCCGCCATAAATATTAATCGATTTACGACATTGTAGTGCTGCGGGAACAGGAAGGACCGATTGCCGGATGCGGAGCTATTCCGGTTGTAGTTGTGGATGCCGGGGGTAGCGGCGCCCTGCACATCGCTACACCAGGAACCCACGAGGCGACCGCTTGGCGACACGCGCTCTATCAGGCTGCCACCAACTGCGGTCCAGCCTTGGAACAGCAGCAGATCACGCAAGACAATGTGCCTGTCATCTTGGATAAATGCGTCAACTTTATCTATGCGCATGGTAATTAATGACTCATCAACTTGTAATTACCTCGAATGAGAATAATACATAACAGAGTGCATTGTGAGAAACGTTTCGTCTGAGGGTCGATAACTTATTAATTCCCAAGACTGATCTTCTCGAAAATGTCTCGTATTTAAAAAAAATCCACATTTTTTATTTATTTCTTTTATATAGAATTATATTTTCTTTATTTATAAGAATACTGTACAGTCGGGGGACACCCTGTATAATATACCGCAATGAAATTTAAATTCGCGTCACCTCGCTATCATTAAGATTAATGACACTTGGGAAACATCCTGCACGATAATTAAGTTCCTCCAGAGAATTCTGATTACGTTACTGGACGTTATTGAACGACGTTGCATTATTGTAATTCAAATGAACGTACGTTTCACACAAGACTTTTATTCCCCAGGCATGATGTCGGAAGGCATTTATCGTCGCAGCGGATCGAGCAGTGCCGTAGTGAAGCTGCTGGAGGCCTTCAGACGAGACGCATGGGCCACGCAAATTACGCGGAATTCGTATACGGAACACGATGTTGCCACGGTTCTCAGAAGATTCCTACGGGACTTACCGGACCCATTGTTCCCCGCCAAAATACACGATCGACTCTGCCTCACTACAGGTGTTAAAGAATATTTATCTAAAAAAGAATATTTATCTTAATACGATTATCACTGTAAAATATCTGAAATATCAATTGACAGCGTTATTTCCAAAAAAATTAGTGTCAATGTTAGAGAAAAAGTTTTTCTTAATTTTGTAACAATTGGTCTGTCATTTCGAAAATTGTATAAATATTGTATAAAATTATTGCTATAAATTATGAACTTTAAACAACTTATTTTAGACAAATGAGATGAAAAATATTACTCAAAAGAATTTATATATTATTAAAAAAATAAGCTTGTTTGTCTAGAAATATCTAATTGTCAAGTTTTGCCTTTTCCAAGAAATCTCTATCATCTTTGATAAAGCAACATCCGTATTTGATTCTACAGACTTGACTAGCGAGGAAAATAGGGTGACGACTTACCGAAAATTACTATCCACGCTCGATCCCGTGACGTCGGCGACTCTTCGTCGGATCCTAGCGCATCTTCATGGTCTTAGTCAGCAGAGCGCCAGGAATCTGATGACCGCTGATAATCTGTCGGCTGTTTGGGGCCCGACCTTGATGCACGCCGGTGAAAACAGCGCCGAAGAATGGAACCGCGCGGAGACCAAGGTCGTCGGGGACCTCATCAGGTTGTATCCGAAACTCTATCAACTGTCGTCGGCTGATCTGGCCAAAGAGGCAAAAATGCTGGAGGTCTTGGAGAAACATCACGTGTCCAACAGCGGACCTCGAGGCGCGCCTTCGGGAGATCTCAAGATCTGGATATATATCCTATCATCAGACGGGGAATGCGTAAATGTCACTGTAAGAATCTTTTCTCAACTTAATCAGTACTGTCCACTTGTTCCTCATTTATTCGTCCAACTTTCTTGATTTTCTTGTCGATTGATAATTTTTCATTCCTCCGATTTTTTATTAAAATTTAGCTATGTATACATAATATAGTCTTTCGTTTATATACATGTAATTAATTAATCAATTTAATTAGATCGGACCCCAAAAGACTGCGTTTGACGTGTGTCGCGAACTTGCTGAGAAAACCAATTCGCCAGCTCATGAGTTGTGCCTAGAAGAATATACGCTGTCCGGTGCGTTGGAACGGCCCTTGCATCACAACGAACGTGTCCTGGAGGCGGTGGCGAGATGGGGGTACTGGGACTCGGATGATCGGAAGGATAATGCTCTAGTCCTCAAAAAGGACCGATTATATAAGGATATCATACCTCTGGTGCGTACAATATAAAAAAAAAACCGGATATAAAGCTCACAATGAAGTTTACAAAGTTCGCAAACACGAGACACATTCGCAAATACTGTTTTGCGATTCTCACGACCTAGATTTGTAATAGCTCTGCGTGAGTTCAAGGTATGAAATAAACTCTTTTATACAGATTAAGTTGCATGATTCCAAAAGCGGAAAGATACATTCGTATGCGCGTGAAACAGTATACGGTTTAATTGACATTAATCATGCTTCTTCAGCTATATGTGGTGTGTATAGGTGAAGCCGCCTATGACGATCTCCGGAGAACTGAAGTTTGCGGATACTAAAACGAAGAACCTGAAGAATTACCTCTTCGAATTTAGTCAGGCGAAGCTCTGCTGTTATAAAGACAAGGTGTGTTCCGTGAAACTTTACGAGTGGAAAATAGAGGATATCATTTGGTACTTGGGACACGAACCTAAACGCAATCCACAAATGGGGTAAAAAATCCAAAAATTACATATTTTGATATGATTATAAAGTGCGATTCTTGAAAAACACTTATTAGAATGTATTCTTTTTATCAGCTGGTCTGTCACATTCATCACGAAAAACAAAAAGCCTACGAGGTAAGAATCAATAATGAATTATACATTATAACTTGATAGTAAATGTACATTTTAAAACATTCATTACCCCAATACAATAATCTTGATAAACGAGACAGTATTTAATTATCTTTCTAGATGTAAGGATAGTCCATATTTCGGAAACATCTTGGCAGGAACATCGCAGGACGAGCAGTACAGATGGTTAGCAGCCATGCTCTTTGGGGAGTATCAGTTGAATCTTCGAGCTTCCGCGGTGAACCTAATGGATCCATAATCGATTAATCCTGCCACTAGTCACTTAGGTGGCCTCCAAAGTGATACGTGATATTTTCTAATAATGAATCGCAGATAGAGACTTTAAATATAGATATATGTACAATATATTCCAGTAAAAAAACTAACTTAATATACGGTGTCCTAAAAGTGTGATCTCTAAAAAGCGTATATATACATATCGAATTGTTCTTTTACGGATCGGTTAACGTGATCAGTGTGGAGAATTTCGCCGTCTTCATGAATTAATGATGTTGTGAAAGACTGTCGTTGTTGTAACTTTATGAAAAAATTTGTTAATTATCGCGTAATGTATAACGAATTATGTAATAATATACATTTTTAAACAATCAAATTAACAAGATATATAAAAATCAGCGATACAATGTTTTATAATAAATGGTTTTTTACAATATTTTATGTAGACAATTTGCAACGTTATTTTATTTTATAATTACATTTGAGTATAAAAAGCAATTATCAATATATCCCAGATAGTCAACTGCCTATAGAGTTACTATCATGTTGCTCACAATTGTTGACAATAATACAATTGTTGGCGACATGACAATATTAATTATATTAATAACAGTAATGTGATTAAATGATATGATTAATCATGTTGATTATGTTGAAAACAAAAATAATATTAAAAGTATTTTAAGTTATTTAATAATATAAAAGTATTTTAAGTTATTTTTATGTATTATTACCTAAATTAAACCCTGCGCTCTCTTACCTAATGCATATATATTATTTATATAATATATTCAGATTTTACATTTGTTATTTCACATAAAGATAAGTATGTTGGAGATGGTACAGGGGATGAATAGGGCAGAGACGAATTGGATGATGGATTAGAGGCGAATATGCTCGCATCATCTAAGTCGGCGATACGACATATCGCTTTTCTAATTTCACTTTTCAATTTTCTTTTGTTAATCTCGGAACGTAAACTTCGTAATTCTAATGCTACCCACTCACAAAAACGATCATCTTCATTTGTTACTCTGGATAATGAAATTTGTGAACGAATCGATTCTTCCTCATTAATGATATCTAATGATTTAAGATATTTTATTTCCTTTTTCTCTTCGTATTTTTCTGTAGATATCTGTTCATCTTCCATTGTATTTAATATAGTGTTCCTTTGGTCATAATTTTTCTCTTCTAATATCATTTGTTGAATCTGAAAAAGATAATAAATATATATTTAATAAAAATATAAATAGCCTCTATATTATATTATTTACTAATCTACTAAATAATAACAAATATAATCATTTTTCTGAAATTAAAATTATTATTAGAGAAATAATTATTTCTCTAATATAAAGAAACAATTACATACATCTTTAACTTACACTAATGTCTGGACTTCTAGATCTACTTATTACACTTGGAATTAAAAATTTCAATGCTGAAAAATAAGGCCAATTGCTGGTACATATTTTCTTACTCTTACTTCTTTTCTTCTTTAATCTGTGTAATTCCTGACATACCTAGAGAAAGAGCAAAAAGTAAGTTAATTTCAAATTTTTTAAATAGAATATATTTTAATATAGAATATAATTTTTAAGACAGAATATATAACAGTAATATACTCTATTCTATTAATCTCTAAACAATTTTTTTAGCATTTTAAATAAAAATATTTTCAAGTATTCCGATTATATTGTTAATAAATAAATAAATAAATATATATATATATATATATAATTAATTTAAAATAATTAGTAAAACATCCCTGTATAATATCAAAAAACATGATGTCTTGCGCCGAATCATGCAGCTAAATAAAATAATAAATCTTTTAATTACCTGATTTCTCAGATTATGAAGTTTTCTATGAATCTCTGCTGTCGAGACGTTCATATGTTTTGCGATATTGCTTATTATTGTCTCTTTAGCTTCTCGATTTCTGTAATTCTCATTCTTCGTGTCCCACAATAGCGCATTCCTTTGGTAAAGTCTAATCAGCTCGAACGTGCTTTTCATAGACCACACGTGCGGCGACATGATGGATATGTCAAGAGCAGCAAAGAGAGAGAAAGAGCGAAAGAGAGTGGCTCTCGAGAGCTACCTCGTTTGAGTGCGCTGATCAAAATGTTCCTTGAACATTTATCCTTTTTAAAACTCCTCTTTTTCGGAATAACGATAAATTTGGAGAACCGCGTCTACGAGATACGATTTTTTTTTGTTGAAAAGTGCGGAGAAAGAACACGCGAAATGTTGAAAATTCCTCTTGTCGACTGCTGAGTCGAGCAGTGGCTCTCAGTTCACTTAGCCTTCGAGAACCACTCTCGAAAGTTGCAGTTGCACAAATATATGTTTGCGCATGTCCATTGCTCCGATAATTATTTTATATTTTTATTTTAATGTGAAGAATTAATTACAAATATAAAGATATTTGTCGATATGTAAAAATATGTATATGTAATTCGAGAAGTAATTTAAGAGATCGTAAATGATAAGAATAAATAAGTGTAAATCACATATAAATAAGTGATAAGAATTGATAAATTTAGTAAATATTTATGGATAAGTAAAATGAAATGAAAATGAGGAGAATAGGAGATGACAGATGCTCTTGAAATTTCAAATCAAAAGTATCATAAATGATCTGAATATATGCAATATTAATTTACTCCTTAAACGCTTACTTCACGCAAAGTATTTCTAATTGTAAATTATACAAAAATATTGGTTCCTAAACAATTGAAAGTTTGAGAGAATTGAAATATAATGCCTTATATAATTATGCCTTGTATTTATCAAAGCTGTAAATATATTACAATGTCATATAAAATCTTTTGAAAAAGATATATCGATAGAATTGGAGTAAGAAACATATACTGTACATCTCTAATTTCTTTTTAATTCTAATTAACTTAACAATTAATTTAAATTCATCACTAGACTATTATTGTCTCATCCTCCTCCAATTACTTCTTTAATTTCTTTTGATCAAATAATGATATTCAATATGCGCGAGAAAAACATTTGTTAGGTGAATTAATAAAAAAATAAATTGTATTTTATATATATTGCATACTTATATTCTATTTGGTTGAATAAGTTTATTCCTGTACGTCACCTATACCATCCGCATTTATGGCAAATGTCGCTTCGCTCTCCGGTAAACAGGGTGAATCGTATATCTTACATATCCTTGTTTCTCCTCTGCCTTTACGCAAGTATAATCTTGTTGTGCTCGAGTGCGCTAAGATGTGACCACCAATCGGTTTCTTCTGATCTCCACCAAACATACTAGCAGCGCCGTCAACTTGTGCAACTACCTGATTTGTTATAACAACGGCGATCCCGTGTTCGTCCGCCAGTCGCAGTAGCATCCTGAGAAATCGTGCTAAATGAATCTGCCTAGCATTTAACTCACCCCTGCCACTATAATCAGTTCTATAGAGACTAGTCGCACTGTCAACTATCAACAGAGCGTATCTCGCTTCTGTCATCATGGCACTGGCTTGAACTAGTAATTGCGTCTGATGATCGGTATTGTAAGCTCTGGCATAAGCAACATTGTCGAGAACAGAACTTCCACTGATCTTGTATCGCTCAGCCACCGCTACCAATCTTTCTGGTCTGAAAGTATTCTCTGTATCTATATAAAGACATCTTCCTTCCGCACCACCCATACAAATTGGTAGCTGACAATTTACAGCGAGGGTATGACACAACTGGGACTTTCCCGATCTAAATTCTCCAAAGATCTCTGTAATAGAGCCCGTTTCTATTCCTCCGCCTAACAGTTTATCCAATTCCTTGGAACCAGTAGTAACATAGACAATGTTTGCACGTGTCTGATGTATCTCCGTAGCGCTTTTAAAGCCCATCATAACGATCTTGGATGCCTCCTGTAGCAACTTGTCCGCTTTGGCCTCGCTGATACCCTTGATCGTTATAAGATCCTTCCTTGGTGCATATGCTACCGATTCAACGGTGTAGTAACCGGCGTCCTGCAGCTTTTTGATATCTCCGGCTGTGATACCATTTTTCTGCGCGGTGACAAAATAAAATAAACATGATAAACGTGTTCAAACATGCACAGACCTGAAGGCATTTCGTTGGACACGTGTCAAATTAAATTACTCACCTCTAATGCTTTGATCAATTTTGCTGGAGTATATTCGTCCAATTCTTCCTCCGTTTGTACATTCACCGTTGATGCGGTGGATGCCATTTTAAAATACTATGTCCAAGTGTTGTAGACGAAAAACACACTGCTTTACCGTCAAAAAGTTTTAACACATTCCCGCTGAAAACGGTTTGAAATGTCAGATGGCATGCGCAGCATGAATCATGAAATTGACTGTGTTTCGGGGTCGCATCGCTACCGTAGCGCTACAGCTTTTTCGCTACAATTGTAGCAGAAAGTCCTGAAACGTACACTGCGCGACAACGATTCGTATCGCGGTCCCTCTCGCGAGGCAAGGGGAGCGTAGCCACTAACCAATCAGCCATTGCCACGCTGCCAGCTGATTGGTCACTTCTACGCTCCCCTTGCCCCGCGAGAGAGGGGTCGAGGAACGAATCGTTGTCGCGCAGTGTACTTTTATAGCGCTATAACACAGTCAATAGTCTTCTCTGTTGAACAGAACCCTGTCAACTAATCAGAAAATAATCTTGGCACTTTACGAAAAATGGCGGCTAGATAAAAATCTGGCTCACGAATTTTACAACAGTTGCAAAGCAGCTTTTCTGAACGCAGCAATTGCTTTAGTCGTCTCTATTTCTTTACAATCAAATAAAGTACACTATTTCGACTATTTTGACTATTTCTGTAAAAAGAAAATTTTTCTCGAAATTATACTTGCTGTTTGATTTATTCCCTAAGGTCGGTATTCATAGTCCGATCTTATATTTAAGATCGTCTTAAGGTGCAATTTCATTGACGCTAAAAAGTAGCGTCAACCATTGGTTGAACAAAGAAGCAACTACTTACTTCTTTGTTCAACCAATGGTTGACGCTACTTTTTAGCGTCAATGAAATTCCACCTTTAAGATGCGGCCTCATTGACGCTAAAAAGTAGCGTCAACCATTGGTTGAACAATGAAGCAACTATACTTACCTCCTTGTTCAACCAATGGTTGACGCTACTTTTTAGCGTCAATGAGGCCGCATCTTAAAGGTGCAATTTCATTGACGCTAAAAAGTAGCGTCAACCATTGGTTGAACAAAGAAGTAAGTAGTTGCTTCATTGTTTAACCAATGGTTGACGCTACTTTTTAGCGTCAATGAAATTGCACCTTAAAGGCCGCAGCACACACTTTTGCATAAGCGCATAACCAGAAGCATAAGGAAATTGATTGGTCCCCAAGTATATGCATAAGAAAATGAACCAATCAATTTTTTTATGCTTATGGTTATGCGCTTATGCAAAAGTGTGTGCTGCGGCCTTAAGTCTGCTTCGAGGTTGACTTAAGACCTCATTCAACCAATCAAATAGCTGCGTAGCGTTTCAAGCTCGAACTTAAGACGATCTCAAATATAAGATCGGACTATGAATACCGGCCTAAGTATTTTATCATTCTATTTTGTGTCTTTTTAAAGCATTTTTTTTTAAGAAGAATATATATGTATGTATATATGTACTGTTTACAAGTAGGAATCTTGAGTTACCATCCTATTTATTTCTCTAATATAACTGCCAGTCTAAAATTCGGTTACTTTGCTATTGCTTAAATCGTCGTTTCAATACGTTTCATATTACAATCAGATAAAGTACATACTGTTTAATATTTTAACTGTAAGAAAAAATCTTTTCTCGTAATATATATTTTCTGTTTGATATCTACTCTGTAAGTACTTTACCTCCTACTTTGTGTATTTTTTAATATTTTAAAAAGTTACGTTAGCAATATTTGAAACCATTTTGAAGTTTTATATATCCTACACGTAATATATAAAAAAACGTTTCATTTAATTTTTGTAAATATGATCATAGCCCAGAGATTTGAATAACTTGATGCGAAATTCGCGATATAATTTTGAATCATATAATTTTCATTTTGTAATACTGCAATTTATTCATAATTATAAAACGTGTTTTTACTTGTATATGTATATATATTTCAGTTTTCTTCCGTAAATTCGTAATGGCTACACTTAGAGACCAAATTATTGCTTATTTCGAAACAAAAGATAAGATCATGCCAACCGTAAATCAAATGTATAACACTTCTACGGAACTCAGTGATATATCAGTTCAACATACTGCAGTTGAATTAGAATTAATAAAACAGCAAATAACAATTTGGTTAAATAGGGAAGAATACAATATAACTAGAAATAAAATCGAACTGGCAGTAAACTATTATTTTGCAAACAGCCTAATATGTAGTATAAATGATGCTGCAGCAATGTACGGAGCTGATCCTGACATCGTAAAAGATGAAGTCATAATTGCTTGTTCTCAACTCTGGACAAAATATCATTTTGATCGGCCAGTAGAGACACCGAGTGGTACTTCTTTGACATATAAACAACAATATAAACTTAATTCGGAATTACATTACGAATTTGTGACCACCGCATATTGCCATTGCAGAATTTGCTACTTACTAAAATTATCAATATTTGCTCACGAATTTGTCAAAAAATATAATTACCCGTATCCTCTTAGTTGGGATACAAACGGGGTAGATTTCCAATGGTTGCAAGAGCATGAAATGATATTTCAACAAGAAATTTTCAGAATGTACAAGAAGGACTGCATGTTATATGAAGAATTCAAATATAGCTATGATAATTAAAAATTAAATCAGAATTGGCACATAAGGCCACAGCGCGGTAGTTGGAGTGCAGCGAAGAAACTTCCTTTTTTTATTGTTGGTTTATTTTAACAAAATTTTATTACTGTAATTTTGATGTTAAAATAAACTAACAACAAAACAATAAAAAAGATAACAATAAAAAAGAAGAAAATATTGTTTCTTCCCTGCGCTCCAACTATCGCTCTGTGGCTTTAATGTCTCGATTTAATTTTAGATATTGCAATATTGCCATAATGTTACTGCCATGTTGTGTGCCATATGAAGAGCCTTATATTATAAAAAAATAGATAAGTAATAAACAGAGTTCGAATCTCAGTGTCATTTTCCGCACTCCAAGTGCGTACTAGCGCCGAGCGCCGCGAAAAGCAGTACCGTCTATACCGATCTAGTGATGGTAGTAAAAGAAATATGATGGCAAAGGCCCTCTTTATATTGCTACTATCACTAGACGAGCATAGACGATACGATACTGCTTTTCGCGGCGCTCCGCCGCTAGTATGCACTTGGAGTGGATCGCCCGGTGACAAGACTGAAGAAGAAGAAGAAGAAGCACTTGGAGTGGAGAAAACGGCACTGAGATCCGGGCTCTGATAATAAGCAATTTTTCTCGATGTTTAATACAAAATTTATTTTCGATTTGTCTAATAGTTTTAGCATTTTGTGGCCAATACATTTTCATCTCCTTTAGAATTGAATTGTGATAAAATATTGATATAAACATCTCGACATTTTTCCAGATTTAGATTTATGACTTAATGAATAATTTTGAATAAAAAAAGTAAAATATTTGGAAAAGAAACAACATTTTATCGTTTTTTATAAATGATGACTATTCAAGTCTAAGATATTTTAAGATTTTTTGCCAATAAAAGGAAAATGTCGAGAAATGTGATGTATCTAATATCATTTTTTATGATCAGAAATGATCAGAGATGGACATTATATCTAAGCATATACAAAAACGTATGCTCTTATAAAATCATATGTGATATTATATATAATCATAAGACTGTATATAAGTCTGTATATTTTTTTTATATAAATAGACATGGACTTTTTTTTCCCGGGATATTTTATTATTTTTAAACAATAATTGTTGTTAAAAATGTGTGCGTATTTCTTTACGTTTCAATGTTTAAATAAATCTTTATATATTATAAAAGAGAGAATAAATGATAAAGATGTAAAATAACAAAAAGCATGAAAAAAGAAAGAAAAAAGAAAGAAAAAGAAAAGACATAATAGAAGAAAGAATAAGTTTGCACAAATTAATAAATTGATTTTCGGGCATATTAACATTTTCTATAATAATATTTGCTTGTATCAATAACTCAAAATATTTTATTTATCCTCTCTGGTTTAGTTTATCTTTGTAAAATTTTATTAATGAATGTATTATTTATCAATGTTTATATTGTAAAATAAATGTGAATAGATATTTCCGCATATGTAAGTTACAAATTTCAAGAAAAGACAAAAAAGAAGAAACACAGATTGACTTGTACATATTTAAAAAAAAAAAAAAAATATATATATATATAATGCATCTCTTTCATATTTATTTAGCCATATCGCCTTATGCATTAGATTGACTATGCTTTTTGAATATGAATTTAAAAAAATATATATTTATTTAAATAAAATATATTTACTATAGAATATACTATAGAATAAATATAATAAAATTCATCACGTTTACTTAAACGATTACTTTCACATATGTATATAATATTGACATTCATATAAAAGAAAAATAAAATACATTCTATTTCTTTTATATTAACAAAAAAGATTCTATTTTTTTATATTAACAAAAAGGATACAATTTTGTATAAATTTGTTTAAATAACTTTTGTATTGACTGCGTTTACATGTCATCCTTAATCGGGTTTAATAATATCCGTAATTCTAAGACTAACCAATCACAGTCATTCTATTCTTCAGAGGAATAGTTGTGATTGGGCAGTTTTAGAACTACCGATATTATTAAACCCGATTAAGAGTGACGTGTAAACGTAGTTATTGGCTTACCACGTCGAACTCTTGGTCCTCAATATTGCTTTAGGCCGAGTCTACAATAGGTAATTTAAGCCCTAAGCCTTAAAAAATTGACCAATCACAGTCGAGCATTCTCTTCATACTCGACTGTGATTGATCAATCTCTTAAGGCTTAAGACTTAAATTGCCTATTGTAAACCCGACCTAATGCGATACGGAACACTTTGTGCCCTTAAGGCCATTCTACAATGGCCGTAGCATAAGATTGCAAGGCGTAAGATTCAAGAAATTGACCAATCACAGTGGAGTATTCTTTTAATACTTGACTGTGATTGGTCAATTTCTTAAATCTTACGCCTTACAATCTTATGCTACGGCCATTGTAGAATGGCCTTTAAAGGCTATAGCACACACTTTCCATAAGACATAACAGTAAGGTTTCGACCAATCGCGTTGCTCAATTTGGCCGTCCTTAACCAAATTGAGCAACGCGATTGGTCGAAACCTTACTGTTATGTCTTATGGAAAGTGTGTGCTATAGCTTTAAGGCCGCAGCACACACTTTTGCATAAGCGCATAACCATAAGCATAAGAAAATTGATTGGTTCATTTTCTTATGCATATACTTGGGGACCAATCAATTTCCTTATGCTTATGATTATGCGTTTAGGAAATATAATATGAAAGTTGAAAGAGTTGAAAGCAACGAACAGTGAGAATAGAAAACAGAAAGGAAAACCAGTTGTTGGCCTGAATATACTGATCGTCCCTAGATCAGAGGTGGCCATTAAAATTCGAACAAGAAGAAGATTATGCGCTTATGCAAAAGTGTATGTTGCGGCCTATAGATAGATAAAGTACATACCGTTAGTATTTTAACTGTAAGAAGGAAATCTTTTCTCGAAATATATATTTGCTGTATGATATCTATTCTGTAAGTACTTTACCTCCTACTTTGTGTATTTTGTAATATTTTAAAAAGTTACTTTAGCAATATTTGAAACCATTTTGAAGTTTTATATATCCTATACGTAATATATATAAAAACGTATCATTATATATAATATATAAAAAAACGTATCTTTAATAAACGTATATTTAATTTTTGTAAACGTGATCATAGCCCAGAGATTTGAATAACTTGATGCGAAATTCGCGATATAATTTTGAATCATATAATTTTCATTTTGTAATACTGTAATTTATCCATAATTATAAAACGTGTTTTTATTTGTATATGTATATATTTCAGTTTTCTTCCATAAATTCGTAATGGATACACTTAGAGAGGAAATTGTTGTTTATTTCAAAAGAAAAGATAAGGTCATGTCATTAATATCTTATATTTCTGGTAAATTTATGGAAGTACCTATGGAAGATATACTAGAAGGAATTGAAAAAGAATTAATGCAACGGCAAATAACAATTTTGAATGATAAAGCAAAATATCTTGAAGATAAAAGAAAAGTCGAAGAAGCAGTAGACTTTTTTATGAAAAACAGTGGATTAATTAATCAAAACGATGCTGCAGAAATCTACAGAATGACCAGTGGTCATCCATCCTTCCTACAAGAAGTTTCTAATCGTAGAGCTCAAGGGGAGGGTTATCGATATAATAGGAAAGTAAACAAAAATAATACAGGCCTCACATATTACGACGAAGAATTACTTTTGATGGCATTAGAATTCGAATTTCTAGATAAACCTTGCTCTTGCAGGATTTGCTGTTTATTAAAATTATCAACATTTGCTTATGAATTTGTCAAAAAATATGATTACTCATACCCATCTGATTGGGATTTGAATGGGAGAGTAGATTTAAAATTTATAGAAGAATTTGAAATGAGAAATAATAGTGAAATTGCTAACAGTTTCAGCAACAAATGTTTATTGCAATAAGTAATAAACATAGAACATTGCAGAAAATATTGCAGGTTTATTTTAACAAAATTTTGTTATTGTAATTTTGATGTTAAAATAAACCAACAATAAAAAAGAAGAAAGTGTTGTTTCTTACCTGCGCTTCAACTACTACTTTGTGGCTCTTATGTGCTAATCTCGATTTAATTTTAGATATTGCAATATTGCCATAATGTTACTGCTATGTCGTGTGCCACATGGGAAGAGCCTTATATTATAAAAAATAGATGAGTAATAAACAGAGTTCGGATCTCAATGCTTCGTATCCTCGTTTTCTGCACTCCAAGTGCATATTAGCGATCGAGCGCTGCGAAAAGCAGTACTGTTTCGATTTGTCTAATAATTTTAGCGTATTGTAGCCAACAAATTTTGATTTCCTTTGAATTATGAAAAATTGATACTAACATCTTGACGTTTTTTCAGATTTATGGTTTAATGAACAATTAATTTTGAATAAAAAAAGTAAAATATTTGAAAAAGAAACATTTTATCGTTTTTCTATAAATGATGACTATTTAAGTCTAAGATATTTTTTGCCAATAAAACGAAAATGTCGAGAAATGCTATTGTAATTTATAAATATTAATGAGTTTTTATGTATAATTAATTATGTACAATATTTTATTATTTTTGAACAATGATTAAAAATATTTGTGTATTTCCTTATGTAATGTTTAAATAAATCTTTATATGTTATAAGAGAGAGAATAAATGATTATGTGTATATAGATTAAATATGTAAAATAAGAAAAAAGAATAAACTTGTACAAGTTAGTAATAGATTTCGAGGATATTAACATTACATAACATAATGATATTTGCCTGTATCAATAACTCAAAATATTTTATTTCTTATATTTTATTCTTATATTTTATTTCTTCCTCTGTGTTTTACTCTATTTTTGTAAAATTGTATTAATTAATGTATTGTTTATCAATTTTTATATTACAAAATAAATATGTATAGATATTTCCGTATATATATATTTAAGTATACTGTATTAAGTATACTGTATAAATATAAATATTTAAGTAATACCAGTTCATTAATTAAAAATTTCAAAAAAAAGAAAAGGAAGAAAGATTGACTTATACATATTTAAAAATATAATGCATTTTTCATATTTGTTTATCTATGTTGCATTAGATTGACTATGCTTTTAAGGCCCGGTTCAACAGTGGCCAGTTAGGGCCCTGGCATACGATAAAACGTAAAGGCTATAGCACACACTTTCCATAAGACAGAACAGTAAGGTTTCGACCAATCGCGTTGCTCAATTTGGCCGTCCGTAACCAAATTGAGCAACGCGATTGGTCGAAAATTTACTGTTATACTGTTAGTTTTTCCGTGTGCCAGGGCCCTAAGAAATTGGCCATCAGGGGGCTACTTTTGATTGGTTTGCTATTTTTAGGCAACTCTCGCTCATATTCAAATTTTAATTATCCCATTTTGAATATAAATATTTATTAATAATAAATACTATAGATAAATAGTGAATTTTTAATAGTGATCTATATATATTCATTATTAACAATGAAATTTAAATTATTATAATAATAAGTATTATATACATATACTATAAATAAGAAATAAATAAATAAATATATATATATATATATATATATAAATTTAAATAATAATATTATTATTATAAATAATAATAATTAAATTATAATGATTAATTATATTTTATTTAAATATTAAATATGAAAAATTATTTTGACATATATTATTTAGAAAAATTTTAAAAATTAGTATTTGTTAGTATTTCTAGTAATAGTAATATAAATATTATAGAACTAAAAACTAATTTAAAAAATTATTTTATATAATATATATGTGAATAGAACATGCTAATCTAGAGTCTAGAGATCAGTAGCGGCCCTCCCTCTCCTTTCTCCATCATCTGTCATATCGATATAAGCAGCTGACGCTGTCTATATACTCTTAAGTCGATGGCATTGCAATTTATGAAAGACACAATCACGTGTCCTTTGCGAGCGCAGTCGATCGAAAGCTCCAGTCGTAGGGAATAACGGAATATGGCAACTGCGTTTCGCAAACAACACTATCAGCAATCTCTCTCGTCCTTGAGCACGATCTTCTTCGACCTGGACAATACGCTGGTGGAGACCAGGAAGGCGGACAATCAGACTTGTCGCAAGGTACAAGAGAAGCGTACTTCTAACCTTAAATCCCTTTCCCCTCTCCCTTCGTTCCAATTCCCCCAAAGTCGTGATTCGCTCTCGACATTTTTTAGCGAACGAAAAAATCCTGCTGCTGCGAAATAACGTGACGTGCGTGTATCGTGTACTCGCGGATCGTGTGCTTTACACGAGTCGCGCTCTCTCCCACGACGTTTATCTACGTACGCGAACTCGCATCGTAACACGTCGCAAGAATAGAAGTCGTATCCTTCCCTCCCCCTTCTCCTCGCGTGTAATACGAGCCGACTCCCTGATATAGCGCGCTTTCTCTACGGTGCCACGGCTATTTTCGGCACCGTGTCGTCTCGTACCCTCCCCGAAATTCTCGCGGAAATTATCCTGGGATAATCTTCGTTTTTAGCTGCACCTTTCTCGCCGCGTCTCCCTCCCGCTCGCGTCTCCGGCGCGAAAAGTGCAGAAAAGTGCAGCTAAAAGCTGACGTTGTACGACTCGTGGAAATTTCCACGTGAGCCAAGTTCGCGGAAATTCGATGACGAATCATCAATGCCCCGTTCGCTTTACGCATGAAACGATTCGTATAACCTATTTCAAATATCGAAGAGGTCGAACTCTTCCGATCGCGCGAGAGAATATTTAGCTCCGCCGAGGACCTTTGGAGAAGAGAGAAATTTTGAGAGACACGTGCGAGATGTCGTTCCGACATCGTTTGATCGGGGGATAATTTTGAGGTTATCCAGCGATCGGAATTCTCGGCATCGGGTGCTCCGAGGGAGTTACTTTGAACGACGGGAACAACTGCGTGTTCCACGCGTGTGCACTTTTTCATTCGGCGGTTATTTTCGGCCGCCTCGGTGAGTGTGTCAAAGGGCAAGGCTAGGCAGCCTCGAGGAGACTGTTCTGCGGGAGCCCTGCCAGTTGGCTCTCGACTGCGCTATGTGACGGGTGACACGCGCGACAGCCGGTGACGCCTAGAGCCAGAGAGCGACAGACGTTTCGGAAATTTTCTCGCGACGTCCAGAGACACCAGTGGTATCACGATACGTCGCGCTGGAACAGTGATATAAGAGGAACCCACGTTTGCATCTTGAGTTTTTCAGTCTCGAAGACAGGCGTCCGTCGTCCTCTTCTTCCCTCTTCCTGTAACAATCGACTACTGTAATAATCGCTATGAATATTCCGGAGGGTGTTGCAAAATGCGTGGCCGTATTGAAGGCGGTGGACACTGACTCGGAGAAGTTTGCCGCGCTGTTCATGGTTACCAAGCTCGTGGACGGCAAGGATTGCACACCGGCTGCCAAGAGGATGCTCTTCGAAGCCATAGGAGCCAAGTTCCTCAGAAAGTTGCTCTCTACCAAAAGCGTGCCCATGGACTGTCCGCCACAGGTGTACAAATCCGTGGCGTTGTCCGTCCTTTCCGCCTTCTGCCGAGAGGCCGAGCTAGCCTCTCATCCGGATATGGTGGGACATATCCCGGCGCTCCTCGAGATAGTGTCGCAGGCCGACGAGGATGCACCGGACGACACGCTCATCATCGTCAGCGAAGCTTACACTTGCTTGCAGTGCATCGCGCAACATCTTCCCGGGCAGAAAGCGTTGCTCGAGCAGAAAGCGATCCCAAAGATGTGCGACATTTACGCGGAGAAGAGCTTTCAGACGGACGAGGCGTTGAATATCCTCGTCACGTTGGTCAACAGTTTCGGATCGGAAGCCTGGGACTCGACGGACATCGCACCTTTCCATACGATAATCAACAAGATAGCCCTGGACTTCGAGACTGATCATACGGAGAGAAAATTCGAGCTGTGTATCATTCTGCAGGCTCTGTTACAATCTTGCAGGAAGGATATGATTTCTTTCGCCACTGCAAAGGAGGAATCTTGGCCGCTAAGTATTCACAAAGGTCTGAGTGATATTTTGGGATCGAAAATAAGCAAGAAGCAGCGCGATCCAGCCTTGAAACTCACGTCCGTGATGATGGATTTGCTGGGGGCTGATTGGGCCATGATCGATAAGGATAAACCAAAGATTTATTTTCTATTGCTTATTCAATTAGCGTCGATCGAGGTCAGGATGCAGTTGGAGAACAAACAATTCAAGGATGTGATCGCCAACGCCGATTTGATCACGGCATGCTTCATCATTCTCGAGGTTTCAATCAGCTATATCGTTACGGATCAATTGGAATTAGAACAGAAGGAGAAACAATCATTGTACACGGCTCTGAAAGGCGCTTTCGCGACCGTTATCAGTATGCTGAGCTCCGTGTCGAAGATGAAGGCGTTGACGGATGTGAAAGAAAAGATCTTTGTATGCGCTCTCGTCCGTGTACTTACAGCCTGGCTGGCGCAAGAAACGAGCGCGATGCGTCCTCAGGTTTACGCCGTATTGCCATACGTGTTGACGATTGCCAACGATACTTTTTATGCGCATCGAAACAGGAAGTTGGCTGAAAAGGCCAAGTCTAAAGCTAAAGCGGATGAGGGGACGTCGACCAGCGATCCGATCGTTCACGATCCAATGAGCGAAGTGGACATACTGAGACTACTGTTGCCCGCTTTATGTTACCTGGCCGTGGAAGAAACCGCCCGAAAAATTCTCCTTCAGCACAAACAGGACGAGGTTCTGTTCGAGTGTCTATCCTATCACTGGACCATCGTACATTATAAGAGGCCACCGGTGCCGAGGTCGGAGCGTTTGAAGCTTCTGCAGGATGGAAATCGCACGGAGGAGCTGGACTCGCATGTTTTGGAAGAAATGAAGGATTCGAGAACCGCAATGGTATCCATCTGTAACGTCCTGATGAATATTACCGTGCTGGAATCCAAGATGGTAGAAGAGTCACCGACATTCATCTCGCTGTTAAAATTCATCTACAACAATCTACCGGAGTTGAAACAGATCCCGGAGAATCTCGTCCTGCACGGCCACCTGGCGGTCCTAGGTCTGTTACTGATGAAGCAGCAGGCAAAACGTATTAAGAAGAATGATTTCTCGATACATTGCCGTTACATTCAGGCCATCATAAGATTCTTGTGGGACGCATATGTCATCGATGAGGGCAACGACCCCACCGAGCTGGTGGTCTCCATGTCGTACAAGGAACATTGGATGGAGCTGATGGAGCTCTGGTTTCTAGGTATGCAAACGATGGCCGGGGTGTTGCAAGTGATACCTTGGCTGTCGCAGTTTACGGTAGAATCCGGCTGGGCGGAGGACATCATCGAGACGCTGAAGCGAGTGAAGATCGGTGGTTTGGAACCGAACGTCAAGTCCGCCTTCGAAGATCTGCTATGTCACTTGGCGAAGGCCGACGATAGCGTCGCGACGGTGCTGAAAAAAAGCGGCGCGTTAGTCGTCTGTCGTAATCATCGCATGATGGAGCTTGGAAAGCGTCTTTTTGGGGATTAGGACTGAGAATGTTACTATCCCATAGCTTTTACTTGATTTTTGTATTGCGCGAATAATGTAAAGAAATTTGATATAAAATTGAAATTGATCGAGAGACAGGATAATTAATCCAACTTTTGTACAAAAAAAAAAAAGGTAGCTTTGTAAGTAGCTTTTCTAATATTTTACGCGTTTACTTGAGTTTATTCTTATATCTATCTCCTCTCTCGCATATGTGATATTCGAAAAACGTATGCACGCGTAGTCCAGTGTAAATTTAGACGGCATCACGTCTGGAAATAGTTTCCTGGCAAGCAAGAAAGAAACGTCTCGTTTGACTTCGCGCATATCACGAAGGTATTACTTGATTTTACACGATTCTTTACATATTGTACACTTTGCTTTATCTACGAGTTGTAATCAGGTGTACTTTTTTTTTTTATTTTGCTATGTACATTGCGAAGATTGTTTGTGTTAATATTATTATGATTTTGAAATGCCTCGATGTGACAAGAGATTTTGTAACGACAGAAAACACTTTCCTATTAAACGGAAGAATTTTTTAAACGTTTGCTTAATTTCATTATTCCATCGTCCACTCTATCACTGCCTTTATAACACATTTTCTTTTAATAAAGTTATTTTTAACGCAGATGTTAAAGAAAGATTACTGGATACCAAAGACAATTTTGTAAATATAAATAGCGACAATTCTATACTATCTATGTAGATGTATTAGTTTATTAATTGATTTCCAAATTCATGTTTCTTAATATCCAGAAATCTTTTAATCACAACTTATAGGGTTTGAAAATAATCTGTGATGTTGTTGTTGTTGTTGGCACAACTCATTTTGTTGTGATTACAGCAACGTGTCCGCGGGTGCCACTTCGAGTGTCCACTAATCGGCTCGAGTATTTCAATGAATCAATGCATTTTCTAGGTAATCATTAATAATGAATTAAGTGCCCTAAATATTCCTATACTGTATCCTGTCGTCCTGAGACCTTCGTTGATTAATGAACTCCACATTCAATATTCGTCTCTTCACACTTCAACTACTTTGTATACTTTATCTATTAGGAAATCGCTTCTTCTCTCGCTCTAACATTTCTAATTTTAATTTCTTTTCCTTTAACGGGAAGGGAGACTTTGCGATATAAGTAAAAGAGTATACGTTGTTCATGCACATTTTTATTGAGTGTGGAAATCTCATTCTTTCATCTCTTTCTTCACATTTTCAGTTCTTCATTCTCATCATTCTTTATTATCATAAAATGTCAGCCTCGGAAAGAAAACTAACGATTTTTCTTGCGTGTACATTTACCTGCAGCTTGCTGAGGAATTGACACGGGAATATGGCATTCCGGAAGACACATCTGCCAAGATAACAGCCGCATATCTGAAGCAATTTAGAAAATGTCCGGACAATGCAACTCTTAGTCTGGATGCTTGGCGCACTATTCTCTGGAGCAAGGCGTTAGGCGACAAATACTCGTTCTTGGCGAAAAAGATTTACGAAAGATGGCTCTATTTGAGATACCATTACATGGTGCTAGCGCCGAATACGGTTTCTATGCTACGTCAATTGAGAAAGAAGTATCTGCTAGGCTTAATAACCAACGGCCCATCGAATGCTCAGTGGGAGAAAATACACAAACTGTCTCTGCAACAGTATTTCGATGTCATCCTGGTGTCCGCTGATTTACCGTGGGAGAAACCAGAAGTGGAAATATTTCAAAAGGCTTGTCACTTTCTTAATGTGAGACCCAAGGAATGCATCATGGTCGGTGACAAGTTGGAGACGGATATTTTAGGTAGTAAAATCTGTTTTATGTCATTTTATAATCATCTAGAAAAAGACGAAGAAAGAATGATAGCCTGAAAACACATTTGTTAAACAAATAAAAATGTGCTAGATTATAACAAGCTGTACGATAATCAATATACAGGTGGAATCGAGGCTGGACTACGCGGGACTGTGTGGGTGCCCATTGCAGATAAACCTCGCCTTTCGGGAGACGATCCTAAACCAGACTTTACAGTAAGACACGTTACAGAACTCGTACGCATATTGGACAAAGGTCCAAACGCACCTGAACTCGAAGACTCCTCTTCAAATGCGTCCGATGGTAGCTAATGAGTAGATGCACGTCATTTATTAATTTTTTTTAATATTATAAAAAACGACTCGAAGCAATTGCTAAACAAAATTTAGTTATGTATAATGGGATATTTGATATGTGTGTTAACACACATATATACATATGTGCGTATTGTTTTTTTTTTTCCGAGTATATATTTTCATGTATTTTTTTGTAGGATAGATAAAACTTTTAGGCACTTTGTTGTTAATTTGAAGAAAACGCTGTAGTATTAATCTTTTATTACAGAGTCTCTCTAATCTGTTAATTTTTTACAGAATTTCCATAGAATATATTTACTTGTACTGAGAGTGCATAGTACAATGCATAGTACAAAGAATTCTCAATTCATATAATTAAATAGAAAAATATGTAGCTCGAAAATTATTGCAATTTATTTTGATAATGTTATAATATTTAACATTTTATACAATTTATTTTTGCATGTAGGTGACGAAAGAACCACCGTCGTTATATTCAGTTATATTAGTTGACATTTGAATTCTATCGCAGATAGATATCAAATGAGATATTTTTTTAGTTACCTTCTCGAAGTTAAATAACTGTAAGATACCTCAGTTATATCGGATAAAAAGAATGCTCATGTACAAAAAGCATAAGTAGAGCTAGTAGCTGTAAACAAACGAACAAAGTGCATAACAAATATCATATGCAACTATTTTAGCCTGTTTCTCTTTAGCAGGAAAAATTACGCTATAATATATATAATAAAAGATATGACGTTATAGGATGGATATATAAAGATATATCCAAGCGATGTATCATGTAGAGGTCTCCTGCTGTACAAACATGCGTTAAATTTGTATATCTGTACATAGATATGCGTAATAGGGTTGTACATGTACGAGTATAAATACATATGATGTCTATTTTTCAACTGTGTGTATATTTTTCCTCTGTTGAGAATTTAGTTTATTGGAAATTAGATTCTCACACAAACGCGAAATTTGATATGAGAAGAGGCATATGTATACAAATAAAAAGACATAATTAAATAACTAATATGTATATCTTGATTTCTGTATTATATTATTAACATCGTAAAAAAAACCGACAAGCGAATCGTATTTTTTGCATGAACTAAAAAATTGCATATCTAATATTTATTTCGTTGCGAATGCAATAAATTACTCAAACATTATATATGTACAAAAACGATATAATGATTATTGCATAGAAAGCAAATGTTTCTTGGCAACAGAAATAGAAACGAATTTCCGGTAAAACGCAAAATATCTAATAATTTAGTTTACGAATCCATCTTGTCATTTTCGAGTATAATTTCAGATTCTACCTTCTCTTCCACTTCAACTGTTTCTTGTTGTTCGGGCACTAGGTTCGAAGAATTAGCTTCCTGTTTTTCTAAGGACTTGGGCGAATTATCGATAGAATTACGGGCACTTTCTGCTGTTTCGACCTTGGGAGAAACCTGTTTATCATTATCTTGCAATTCCTCCAGGTTGTCTATTTCCAAATCCAAAGGATATGAAGGATACGCCTCTGCATCTGTCGTTTGCATCTAGATAGGAAAGAGATGACAAATGTTATTTTGGTAACGCGAGAGATTCGAAATTATCTTACCATGTCTACTCTGCTCTTGTGACGCAGGTTTTTACATATATGTTGAACTTGTTTGGGATCGATGCCCACTTCCACTAATGACATTAGTACGTCTCTCTCCGTGACGAATAAATCGGGATTTGCATCGACCAGCGTCACTGTTCTTTGGCTGCGCGATTTCTCAGTCATTTTCCGATAAGACTCCAGCTTTTCCATTATTTTATTGTCATTCAAAACCTTTGGCGGTGTAGGCGGCCTAATCTCCGATACAGTCAATAATTTTTGCGCGTGAATCAGATCCTCTAGCTCATCATCTGTATCGTCCGTCATGTTCAAAGAGATCTTTAATTGATAGATCTCGTATAGCATTTTATTCTGAAACAAAGGAATTTGTACAAAACTTTTTGCTGAAAATCTGTATATTAAAAATAAAATCGACTTAAAAATGTATTGAGAGATGTCGGTAACTTTTTTTTAAGTTATAAGATATTGGAGAGACGTTATTTTTCATATAATAACACATTATTACTCATACCATGTTTAATATCCCTTTATATCGATCTATATGCTTCTTAAATACATTCTGCAGTTCCTGATCTGTATAAAGACCTCTCTGTATTATTTCTTTGGTAATATCATAAATGAATTTGATATATTTCTTTTCTTCTTCCTTTTGAGATAAGTGTTTTTGGGATAAGAATTGTTTCGAAACGAGCTTCGATTCGACAGATTGATCATCACAATCGTAATCGTAGCACTGCGAAGTATTCGAGGATATCGAGTGACGGTCGTTCGTTTCTTGCATCACGGATTGAGAGCCTGATTTAAACATTGATGAATTTAATGTAGTAGTTGTGTCAGGGACGAAGATCGTATCTTTCTCGTACCTGCATTTTCTATGGAGAAAAGAGATAAACAATTCGATTACAATTTAGAATACTGCAAATTCTTAAAAGCGTGTGGAAAATTGTGAAGAGTAACAAATTTTGAGATCCAAAGCACGCGCGTAAATAGCTACTATAGTAACTAATTAGTAGTAAAATTTTAATGTTTAAAACGCGATTTTACCTTCGTTGCGAATAACATGTCGATGGACCAATTATACGAGGGGTCTCTCGCACGTATTTCCATCCTTTTCCGGAAACAGAATTCGGTGTAAACTTTTTACGTTTCGACGAACATATCGTCACCGGTGACACCGTTCTTCGATTCTTCGAGGTCGATCGATGAGCTATTCGATCGTTTTCTTCATAATATGTTCGGCCACTGCAAGTTCTCGATTGCAGACGATCTAAATTATAATTGCAACATTCTAAATGCTTCGGATTTAAATTCATTCTTAATATATCCTGAAACCAAAATTTATAAGTATCAATTTAAAATTATGACTTGTTATTATATGGTTTATCTCATAATTTTCGAAATTATGCAAATTAATGATTGAAAAATCGTTGTGCGTGCAATCGTTTGTCACACATTTTTTTCACATTATAATTTCTCAGAGCTTGCTAATTATGAGCTGAACTTTACCACTGGATGATGCAGAGTATCATAGGTCAATTTATTAATCACATCGTCTATCGTTTCCGGACATGAACAGGCTCTCTTATCGCTGGTTTCTTGTACCTTGCACTGTTGTTTTTTTTTCAAGTAATTTTTATTTCTCGTATCGACTACGCTCTTCGCCAATAAAATCCGTCGTAAGTGTATGCTCATCGAATTGTACGCCGCCAGTTGTTCGTAATATCGCTGTCCCGTTTGATTGTAGGCTGCAAACAACAATTTATAACATTAACAACTGTGCAAATCAAAATATTCACGCGACATGAGAAATACTCACTGCTGCTTTTTAAATTAATCTTGTTTCTCATGCATCTTGTCATTTCTGATGGAAAATTGAAATATACAATTTTCAATAATTATGGTCTAATGAAAAATAATAATTAACACATCAAAGTTACTTTTTCTCTTAAAAAATTTTGAATATAAAGCGATTCGGTAACGTTAAAAATTTTCCATTCCTTCCTTAGATTGATAGGTATGCCATGTCTGCTCATTCACAAAGTTTTTTGTTGACAGTTTGTCACTAAGCAACCGACACGTGTTAAATTCCCGCCATTCGTTTATATATTCTCATTAAAAAATATCGAAATACATATATACAATTTGATAATACGTTATATGTAATTTAATTAATAATATTTAAAATGTTGAATATATATAATATATAATTAATAATATTTAATTTAATGCAATTAAATGTAAATATTATAAAAGGACAAAATATATATATATATATATACATTCTTTTAATATTAGACTGTTATCAAAATATTAACTGCACTTTGTTTGGTAAATGTTAGAAAACTCGTTCTACTTCAAATACACCTCCAGTCGAGGTTAGCCAATATAAAAATATATTATTTTTAGACTTTGTTAAATCTCTGTTGGTATTGAGGAATAAAAAATCTACATCTATAGATCTACATGAGGAAACTTGTTAAATAATCTTCAGTCCGATCTTATGGGAGCTCTTGTATGTAGATTGTTATTAGTCTTATAAAGGTACACTTGTGCTAAAATAGCAACATCAATCGTAACTTGGAGAGCACCGCACACCTGAAATTGCACAGGAGTATCCCTCAAAACAAAATAACACGTTTTGAAAACATCTCCCACAGTCCACATTGCCACCATAATTATACTAAAATCAAAATGGAATATATTAATTTGACTCATAGAGGTGAATAGTACAGATATATTTCATTCTTTCCTGTTTAAATCTCTCATTTACCTCATTCCTACAGTTGATTTATTAGATGAATTACGAAGAAATTGCGGAACTCCTAACATAGCTTCTATCAATACTGCTAAAAACCCAATAACTTCCACAAACACTGGTATATCCATAAATAAATACATTAACAAACCACCTATACTGGCAAACAGAATCATAAATCCCAGGTAGGACTTGAAGTCTGTCCATTTCCAAAAATATCTAGCCTCAAAATCTGCGAAATAGAAAAAACTATTCGTAAACGTGTATATATTATTATATATCCAATTTCCTCGATAATAGAGTTTCACTCACCCGTAAGTACACGCTCTTTTGATTTGATTATCTGCGTTCTGTTTTGTACATTAATACAAAGCTTAATCATAACAAACATCGCCACAATCATAAGTAAACTTTGTAATAAAAGTGGAAGCTCATAACGCTTGCCAAACCTGAAATAAAGACATAAGCGATGTAACAATAATTAAAGAACATCTTATTCGATACGCTTTATTTTTATCAGGCGATCAAGATATAGAAAACGATGGAAATACAAAAGATACAGTATGTAAACAAATGTACTGATAAAAAAAAACACGCGTCTCTCAAGTATACGAACCAAAACATTATTCGGAGCGTGTTGGCGATTAGAAGAGTGAGGCAAACGTAGAGGGAAAATCCTTCCGCATCTTCCTTCCTCTTGATCTCCTTGTATTGCGGCACGTAGGGTATAACCGCGCCGAAAATTAACGCGCTGGCCGCGACCCAGCTAGTTATATTCTTCAAGTTCAGCTCATACGTGTCGTCCATCGTTACTTCGACATATCGCTGCGCTCCCTCGCTAATACATTACATGACGAAAATAAGGCGGTAATCGTATACGCGAATACGAGACCGTAGGTTACAAATTGACCATTCGTCGTCGTCGTCGTCCTCGTCGTCGTCGTCGTCCTCGTCCTCGTGGTATCGCCAATACGTGTCACATCGACACGTATCCATATCTGATATTATCGAACGACGTCGATAGGCCAAATCTTATCGCGAGAATGAAGGCTAAATTTTTATGACATCGTTTTGAATTTGACGTTTCTCTGACATTTACGCTCGAGCGCGCGAAGTGTTTTTTTTTATAATTTATATTTCTCTCTCCCTTTCGTGTTTTCCATCAAGACTGGATGAGAAGTTTCACAAATAGTCGACGGAGGTCTCCCCGATCGACATAGTTTTTTACCGATTGGTTCGAGATTCACTTCGACCAGAAATGGCGGAACCAATCGGAGAGAGATTTCAAAATTACAAAAATTATATAAATTACAAAATTATCAGATCACACGAATTACATAATCGCAATTACGCGCATAGATAAAAAATGTCACAAATATGCATAGGTATATATATTTACGAAATGTAGAGATTATATCGTGAATCGTGAGGGATTTATGTAACGGGTTAAAAAAAAACTTATCGTCATACCTCGCGAGTGGCACTTTTTTGTCTTCGAAGTCATTAAAGCGCAGACGTTGGATCGTCAATACATATTTCGTAAAAAGAGCAATTACGAAACAATGCATTCGTGTAAGATATTCTGCGACGCGTAGAAGGCGTGATCTTCCGAGTGCGGGCTCGCATTTGAACGTTGACACATACCGTACATAAACGGTGGGTACATATATATGGTCTCCGCGCGTGGAGCGGATAATGAATCGCGATCGTTCGATAAACTGATAAGAACGCACACGGTCGCCCTCTTTCTCTCCCTCCCACCCCTCCTGGTTTATCGCTTAATTGACGCACTCGCGCGCGAATCAAGAAAGAGAGAGAGAGAGAGAAAGTGTAATGAACGCGCGCGAACCCTCGACCGAGCAATCTTGGTTCATCAACAGGTCAACCCGAGCGACCCGAGCGCGGTGGCTGAGTGACCGCGGTTAAACGAATTAATTCGTTTGTGCGCACCCGATAGTGCGAGGCATCAAGTCTGCGAATGTAATCGAGTATGATCATTAAATTATAGCCCGTGAACGGGGAAAACACGCTGTTGCATTGCGCTAATTACACGGCCCTCTCTCGTAAACGACGCACCGCTAATACATAGAATAACGCTCTGCGCAAGCTAATTTATTAGGGAATCGTTAGCTTTGTAGCGGATTACACGTTGAAGCGATTAAAGTTAAGGGTAAACTATATCGTTCTTGCGCTTTTATATAAAAACAATAGATTAATTATTTAATTAATTATTTAAAGCTGCAATTGTTTGACAATAATCGATGGTATTGCGTATGCAGATGCAGTGGTTAGCCATGATAATGTGCCTGTATGCTGGAGTAGCCAGCGCACGTACGGACGAGGAAGATCAACAGCAGACATCGAGCGGAGTCTCCAGTTCTCTTCCAGAACAATGTTTTTACAGACCGCCAACAGACTGTCCCGATTCGAGTAGATGTCCTTGCAAGAGGATCACTCTCGCGAACGAACCCGAGGGCAATGCTGCACTTTGCTGCAATACAGATGGGCAAGCTTTAGAGTATGGTCTTTCTTGCATAGGTGGGCATTGTAATGCACAAGAAATCTCTGTTGAATCTCTGTAATTTGAATAGCTTAAATTTACATATACGACATTTGGCATGCAGTTGAGCATTGTTGTTACTATTTCAATCTTATCTCTTAGGATTTGCACATTCAAATATAAGTTATGTACATATACGCAATGCAACTTTGGATGTATTTAACGTATATGAAATTCGTTGGAGGATGCTGAAATCTCTGGCCATAACCGATGGCAGGATTAAAAAGGTGCAGGGGCAATTTCGCATGATGACGCCCACACAGTGCCTGAATCTCTCGAATAATGCGCTGATGGAGGTAGAAAATAATTCGCTGATACGATTAGCGCAACTCACCACTTTGGATCTATCTTATAATAACCTCACTCATCTTCCAGTTTTGAATATAATGAACGGTCGGGAATTCTGGCTAGATATTTCCGGTATAAATGGCACAATGTATTATATCTCTCCATTAAACGATACACTTGTATTAATATCTCTTTCCTTGTAGGAACAAATACACTTTCGTGCCATGACGTATATCAATATATCAATAAAACAGGCGAAAAACAAATCACTTTTAATCGCGAAAACGAGACAGTGTGCTCTTCCTTGGCAACATGGCATTGGTTCAATACCACCGAACGTGTACCTCTTACACAATTGCTTTACCTCAGTTCTGTACGTATCAATAAATATATATGTATAAAATATATATTGTAAGATTTCACACAAGATAATCTCAATTAGTTTCAACTTTCAGCTGCAAACAGAATGTCCAAAAGGTGATACCTGGCAATGTCAATGTGATATTAGTAGAATGGATATTATTGATGGCAAACCACCTACTCACGCTGTAAATGTAGATTGCAGTGGAATGCAATTGACAGAATTACCCGAGAAATTGCCACAAAACACAATACTTCTTAATGTTTCTTATAATAATGTATGTTTATTACATTCCATGTTTCTTTTATTACACATCAGTTAATTTTGGTGTAATGCTAACAGTTTCCTGGATTTTTTTCCAGATTACTGTTCTAGATGACTTAAGTACTAATCCGTGTTACGAAGATCTACGAGAGTTTTTTGCAGACTATAATAACATTTCTTCGATAAACAAGCTGGAAGGTTCAAAATTTTTGGATAATTATGCTCTACTAAGTTTACGATATAATAAAATTAAATCAGTGAGTATAAAAAAATGTATTTAATTCTCGAATTTAACATCAAGTGCACATCTGAAATACATGTAATATATATTTAGCTGCCAACATATATATTAAGTCCAAGTGCGCATAATAAAAATTTCATGATCTCGAGAAATTTGGTCAGGCTAGGAGGCAATAAATTGCATTGTGACTGTAATACTGCAAAGTATTTAAAGGTATGATATTTATAAAACAAAAAACTCGCAAGATGTATATATAATCCTATGAAAAAAAAATGTTTATTTCCTTTCATTTTAGGCATGGTTGCAAGCACGAATATTGGATTCTGATGAAGTAATGTGTGAAAATGTAAAGGAAAAAGTCATTGATCTAGAGCCGTCAAAGATGTGCGTGTATCCGGGAGACTGGACGGATTATATATATTATATTATTGCTATCGAGGTAATACTTTTAATAGGTTTAATAGCTAAAGTAACATATGACTATTGGGTATTTAAGACAGCAGGATATCTTCCATGGCCAGCAAATAAAATGCCGAAATTACCATGTGATTGGTTGTTCGAAACATAAACCGCGTTATACAAGTGCTAGTGAGATTTGCTTACTAACATGCAATGAAATGAAGATGCTGCAATAAAAAAATAAAACAGGTTGTTGGGGTTGAACATTGATTCGTGCCTTCGGACAAATGGACATTCTACTGTGTTAATTATAGTTATATGCAGTGTGATAATATTTCTAGATCTTCCAAAAAACAGAATTTCAAAATAATCTCCGCATACAAGGCCATGACAAAGTATTTTGATAAAATTTATATTATTATTATTTAAAAAGTATATATGATTATTAAAGATTTGCAATAAATGCAATAATGTATATTTAATAGGGATTTATATGTAAAACTATTACATAAAATCATAAATATTATGATATATATGAATAAATTATTTATATAAAGTTTTAAAAATTCCAAGATCCTTTACATTTATACAGATTTCTTTTTTTTTCAGATCGTTTTTTAAATACTTTTTTTTTCCAGAAAGATCTTGCATTTATTTCACAATGTCTTGTGAAAAAAAACCATATAATCGTACTTACATTTCTACATTTCCTTTTCAAGCTTTGATTTCTTTGTAATTTCATGTGATTTCCGCTTACGTTGCTTATACGTAGGAACAGTTAATATCTTTTCTCGTGCAGGTGCCGTACGCTCGAGCTTGCGCCGTTCTTTCTTACTGTGTTTCTTCATAGCCAACATATAATCCGGTACATCGCATCCGGACGCTCGCATAAGCGCCGCGATACTAAAAGAGAAAAAGAGTGCATAGTTACATCATTGCCTCATTATAATACATATAACACAGATGTAAAAGGCAGAATAATACACGCACCTTCGTAAGTTCAATGTATCCTGGCGAGTAAAGAACGTTATAGCCTTTCCCCTGTGACCGGCACGGCCGGTACGACCTGTTTCGTAAAAAGGAATTCAAAAAAGAAGATCGCCGCAGATTAACATTGTCCCGTTTTTCTAACAATCGCGACAATATTATCTTACTACTACAGTGGTAGCTATAGGTGAGCCGATAACGATCGTTCTGTCCATATGAATACTTGACTGTGACCTTTTTCTCTATTGTTAGTACCACCAATACGAAAAATAATTTACGATAAATACGCCACCAATATGATAAATAATTCGTACATTCAAAGGAGAAGTTAAAGTTTGGTAGTATACGCTTAACAACAGCAAGAATAGAAGGGAAAGGGGGAAGAGAATAATTTCAAACGCGCGTCAATTTCGTAAAATTCAAAAAATGGGACAATGCTTTCCTAAGTTTACTGGATATATTACCTATTCTGTGAATGTAAGAGATGGCGGACGGCGGGAAATCATAATTTATAACGAGATTTACACCTTTAAAGTCTATACCTCTGCTCATTAGTTCTGTACAGATCAAGACCCAAATCTGTCCTTCTCTAAAGCAACGTACGATATTGTCTCGCTGGAAAAATAGTGCAATTACAATCTTGCGAACACAGAACGCACAAGAGTACTTTCTCGTTTACTATACCTGGGTCGTCGTCCTATCGGCGTGTATAACGTCTACGTTAATTCCATCATATATAAGCTCATTGAAAAGTTCTTGAGCCCGCTCTTTACTTTGCACAAATACCAAAACTGGTGGTGATATACCCTTTATTGATAATATTTAAAAACTGTATAAATACTATTCTCAAAGTGTAATAAAATATTGCAATTAAGTAATTAATATATAAGTAATAATAAATTGAACATACCTTCTGAATCATATTTCTAAATGCCAGCAATTTACCTCTTTCACTGCCAACAAACAAGATTTCTTGATCTACCATATCTGTAGCTGCATTTCTATAAGTAAAAAAAGTTATTTTAATAATCTTCATTATTTTTTAATCAAATTTATCAAGATAAATGATATTAATCATTATTACCTGTGTCCGACTGTTACTGTTATGAGTCCTTTCATATTACGGCGGCACCATTTTGAAACTGCAGGAGTGTTGGTCGCACTAAACATACCCCGATGTAAATTTGTATTAGTGCAAGCTCTTGTAATCTCATCTAATTGTTCCCTAAATCCGCGTATTCCTTCTTCAAAAAGCTTATCAGCTTCATCCACAATCAACCATTCTACACTGGAAATGTAAAAACAAACCATTATTGCATTTAAAAAAAATTTAATTATAATAGATCAATGGATTATAACTGTTTGTAAAAGGCATACTTGTTTAATGAGATGGCTGGAGGATCTTGATTTAAAAGGAAAACTAATCGCTTTGGTGTGGTAATTAAAATATCTGTAACAGATTTGTTAAAGAAAAATAAAAGATCAAAAGTTTCTATCAAAATCTTTATATTTATTTATATTTATTGCACTCACCAAACTTTTGCGAACTTGAAGGTCCATATTTGGTAAGAGCCTGATTTATTTTACCAATTATGTGAATTCTAAAATCATAACCATCACTCAATTTTAGGCATTCTCTATATGTCTGTTTGGCTAACTCTCTCGTAGGACTTAAAATAACAGCACGAAAACCTTTTTTTTGTGGTCCCCGCAAACTATGAATGATAGGTACTAGAAATGCCGCAGTTTTCCCTGAGCCTGTTGGAGCACAAGCCAGTATTTGTCTGCCCTATTACAATAATAGAAAAAAACACTGAAATATTTGTAATTTAGTTCCAAACTTGTTGTAAAAATGTTTCTTTACCTCCAACATAATTGGCATTGCTTGCATTTGTATTGGTGTTGGCAATATATATCCACTGTCTGTCATATTCTTTAACAAGTTTATTGGCACTTGATAACTTGTTCTTAATTCATCAAATTCTAATATTAATTTAGGTACATGACTACCTGTGACTGAAATGCGATTCACATTTCTCATTTGATTTATCTGCAGAACAAAAAAAGAATTTTAGATATGGTTATAGAGGAATTTTCTGATTATTTATATACATCCATTTCAAACCTTTTCTTGTTCTAGCTTCAATATTTTGTCCGCAGTTGCCACCTTTTTACGTTTTTTAACTGACTCTGTACTTCCATCTGTCGCTACTGACAATTCATTTAATAATGTTATTCCATCAACATCTTCGTTTTCATCCTTGAGACGTTTTCGTTTTACGTTATTATCAGGCTTTAATAATTCATCGTCTATCTTTTCTTTTTTAATGATCACGTCATTTTTGCTCGATTTCACCATCTGAAAAATAGTACAATATAAACTCACGTGTGTGTACTTGAAATTAATCTCTAACAGAGAGAATCTAGATATATGTAAGATAATTTCACAGAATTGAAAGATCTCTTAACAATAAGAAAAAAGGGAACAAATAATCAATTACCCGAAATTTTTCTGCATCATGTCGAAAGCGTTTTATATCGAATTTTGCGCCGGCTGAGAGTTTTTTAAAAAGATCGTGAGCATCCATGATGCGTTTAGATTAGAAATTATTTATATGCGATCACATGGAATATGGAACATGGAAAGCTAAAGAATTCAGATTAGGTTAGATAAGTTTAAATTGACCAATCAAGCAAAAGAAGCTTTTTAGTCCTGATTGGTTAATCAAATTGACCAAAAAAAATTTGCATGCTACCATAGATAACAAAATCTTTGCATGATCAAAAATACAATAATGATTTGATACAATAAAATGGTTATTCTTAGACAACTATATAAAAGATTATATCCCACCATTTCCTGGTCACAAAAATTTACCCAGGGCCGTCGATCTTTAATAGTATCTCATCAATGATCAAACACGAAGATCGACAAGATAAGAAAGCAAAAGAAAAAATAATAGAAAAGAGAGTTTAGATATTTAGACAAGGAAGAAAAGGAAAAAAGAAAAAGTAAAAGATATTATAAAGAATGAAATGAATGTTTGATATGAATGTAAATACTAAAATAGATGATATGGAGAACAGTTTACAAGAAAGGTCCCATGGTGTAATGGTTAGCACTCTGGACTTTGAATCCAGCGATCCGAGTTCAAATCTCGGTGGGACCTGAGATCATTTTTTTTATCAGTAATCAAAATTTCTTCTCGCAATAAAAATATTTAGGATGTTTATATATCATTTTATTAAAAATCAAACATTTTATTATCATTTTATTAAAAATTTTAATACCTATTAAATTTAATATTATCAATTTTCTGCTTGCTTTTTATGATTACTGTTTGAGTCAATATCTACAATATGTCATACGGTTTTAAATAAAGATTAATTAAATAATAATATATAATTTTTATTTCCAAAAAATTATTTAATATCTTCCAACAAAACTTATCCATTTAAGATTTAAAATAGAAAAAAATTAATGAAGATTACTTTTGTTATCTTTGGCAGATTTGAAAGCAAATTTTATCCTTTCTGTTAATATAAAAGAAATAGAATGTATTTTTTTTTATATGAATGTCAATATACATATGTTAGAGTAATCGACTAAATAAACATAATTTTACTATATTCAGTTCATTATATAAATATCTTTTAAATAAATATATATTTTACTAATTCATATTCAGAAAGCATAGTCAATCTAATAGCAATATGGATAAACATATACGAAAGATGCATTATATTTTTAAATATGTACAAGTCAATCTGTCTTTCTTCTTTTTTGTCTTTTTTTGAAATTTATAATTAAGGAACAGGTAGTACTTAAATATTATATATATGCGGAAATATCTATTCACATTTATTTTGTAATATAAACATTGATAAACAATACATCGATTAATAAAATTTTACAAAAATAGAGTAAAACAGAGGGAAAGAAATAAAATATTTTAAGTTATTGATACAAGCAAATATCATTATGTTATGTAATGTTAATATCCCCGAAAATCTATTTACTTGTGCAAGATTATTCTTTTCTCTTTTGTCTCTTTTTTTTCTCTCTTTTTCCATACTTTTTCTTATTTTACATGTTTAATCTATACATATCTAAAATTATTTATTCTCTCTTTTATAACATATAAAGATTTATTTAAACATTGATAGGTAAGGAAATACACACATATTTTTAACAATCATTGTTCAAAAATAATAAAATATTGTACATAATTAATTATACATAAAAACTCATTAATATTTATAAATTAAAATAGCATTTCTCGACATTTTCGTTTTATTGGCAAAAAATATCTTAGACTTAAATAGTCATTATTTATAAGAAAAACGATAAAATGTTGTTTCTTTTTCAAACATTTTACTTTTTTTATTCAAAATTAATTGTTCATTAATCCATAAATCTGAAAAGATGTCGAGATGTTTGTATCAATATTTAATCATAATTCAATTTCAAAGGAGATCAAAATTTGTTGGCTACAATATGCTAAAATTATTAGATAAATCGAAACGGTACTGCTTTTCGCGGCGCTTGACCGCTAGTATGCATTTGGAGTGCGGAAAACGGGGATACGAAGCATTGAGATCCGAACTCTGGTTATTACTCATCTATTTTTTTATAATATAAGGCTCTTCCCATATGGCACATGACATGGCAGTAACATTATGGCAATATTGCACTATCTAAAATTAAATCGAGATTAGCACATAAGAGTCACGAAGTAGTAGTTGAAGCGCAGGTAAGAAACAACACTTTCTTCTTTTTTATTGTTGGTTTATTTTAACATCAAAATTACAATAAAATTTTGTTAAAATAAACCTACAATAAAAAAGAAGTATTGTTTCTTCCCTACACTCCAACCGTGCTGTGGCTCTTATGTGCCAATGTTGATTTAATTATTCTTAATTATTTGAGTCAAATTCCAAAATACTGAATTGCAATATTTTCTGCAATGTTCTATGTTTATTACTTATTGCAATAAACATTTGTTGCTGAAAATGTTAGCAATTTCACTATTATTTCTCATTTCAAATTCTTCTATAAATTTTAAATCTACTCTCCCATTCAAATCCCAATCAGATGGGTATGAGTAATCATATTTTTTGACAAATTCATAAGCAAATGTTGATAATTTTAGTAAACAGCAAATCCTGCAAGAGCAAGGTTTATCTAGAAATTCTAATTCTAATGCCATCAAAAGTAATTCTTCGTCGTAATATGTGAGGCCTGTATTATTTTTGTTTACTTTCCTATTATATCGATAACCCTCCCCTTGAACACTACGATTATAAACTTCTTGTAGGAAGGATGGATGATCATTGGTAATTCCATGGATTTCTGCAGCATCGTTTTGATTAATTAATCGGCTGTTTTTCATAAAAAAGTCTACTGCTTCTTCGATTTTTCTTTTATCTTCAAGATATTTTGCTTTATCATTCAAAATTGTTATTTGCCGTTGCATTAATTCTTTTTCAATTCCTTCTAGTATATCTTCCATAGGTAATTCCATAAATTTACCAGAAATATAAGATATTAATGACATGACCTTATCTTTTCTTTTGAAATAAACAACAATTTCCTCTCTAAGTGTATCCATTACGAATTTATGGAAGAAAACTGAAATATATACATATACAAATAAAAACACGTTTTATAATTATGGATAAATTGCAGTATTACAAAATGAAAATTATATGATTTAAAATTATATCGCGAATTTCGCATCAAGTTATTCAAATCTCTGGGCTATGATCATGTTTACAAAAATTAGATGATACGTTTTTTTATATATTACGTATAGGATATATAAAACTTCAAAATGGTTTCAAATATTGCTAAAGTAACTTTTTAAAATATTACAAAATACACAAAGTAGGAGGTAAAGTACTTACAGAATAGATATCATACAGCAAATATATATTTCGATAAAAGATTTCCTTCTTACAGTTAAAATACTAACGGTATGTACTTTATCTATGTATCTATCTCTGGCAGTTGGTTAGAACAATAAAGGTGCAATTTAATTGACACTAAAAAGTAGCGTCAACCATTGGTTGAACAATGAAGCAACGGGTGGCACCCGATTGACCACGTCGCCAATTGGCCAATTCAAAATAGGACTCTCTGATTGGTTAATCGTTGCTGGTTACCCTAGGCACAGGTCGATATATCTTTATTTTATTGACGTCGAATCTAGAGAATGTTTAGTGATTTTAATTTGCCGCTGGCTTCTAGCGTCAATGAAATTGTACCTTTATATATTAGAAAAATAAATAGGATATTATATATATATATATATATATATATATATATATATATAACTCAAGGTTCCTAAACAATACGTATATATCCACATCACCACCATCATCGGGGAGCGTCCCGTTTGACCATGTCCCGTTTGACCACAGCCAATTATCGACCTGTGTCTAGGGTAACCAGCAATGATTAACCAATCAGAGAGTCCTATTTTGAATTGGCCAATTGGCGACGTGGTCAATCGAATCCCACCTATCATCGACTTTTAAAATGGACTGCGCATCACGATAGACAGGCGAGCGCCCACTGTAGAGAGAGAGGTGCTACATGGGAGGCTTATGTCTGTCTCTTTTGCTAGTATCTCATTGGTAATTTTGTTTCCCGGCTCGATGAGCATACTTTTGTCGTAGTACATTTTGCTAAAGTATCAAAACATTTTGTTCATCACATATTTCATAACCTAACATTGATGGTATTAACGTAACCTGCTTTCTAGAAAATAGTCGAAGTTATTTCTAATTTTGTTTAAAATAATATGAATAAATATTGAAAATTTGAAGTCTGAGATGTGTTAAATAGTTTTCTCGTATTAAATATATTGCAATGATTATTTTTTAAATACGACGTAACGCTTACGTATAAGTCGTATATTAAAACATTTTTGAGAATTTAATTAATTACTAGTTTGGGAAGATGACTGAGTGCGACAGCGTGGTGGTTATCAAGGCGAAACCTGTGCGTAAAGTTTTCAAGGCTCCTATGAAAACCAGTAAAATTCCTGAACAACTCTTGAACGATCCTTTATTAAACTCTGCTATAGCAGCTTTACCGTCCAATTATAATTTCGAGATACACAAGACGATATGGAGGATCAAGGAGGCCAAGGCGAAGAGAGTGGTTCTCCAAATGCCAGAAGGTCTTTTAATGTATGCCACAACTATTGCCGATATCATCGAAGACTTTACTGAAGCAGAGACTGTTATTATGGCCGATGTAACTTATGGTAAATAGACAAGTATTTTAATTCAATCTGCAAATTATATGTACAGTATTATAATTTACAATATCATATTGCAGGAGCTTGTTGTGTGGATGATTACACTACACGAGCATTGGACGCAGATTTTCTGATTCACTATGGACATTCGTGCCTTATACCTGTAGATCAGACTGCTGATATCAAAGTACTTTATGTGTTTGTCAATATAAAAATTGATATTGCACATTGCGTGGATTGTTTGCAAGCCTCTCTACCAGTCACCACAAAGTTGGCGTTAATCAGTACAATACAGTTTGTTACAACGGTACAAGCAGTAGCATTAGAACTGAGGAGAGAAGGATATGAAGTTTCAGTACCACAGAGCAAGCCGCTTAGTCCTGGAGAAGTACCTACAATATATTTTTTCTACGCATGTAGAGAATAAGATAATACTGATAGATAATTCCTCTTATAGATTTTAGGATGCACAGCTCCACAAGTTCACTGTGCTGATGCAATAATTTACATAGGAGACGGCCGTTTTCACTTGGAAGCTGCTATGATTGCCAATCCTAAATTGAAAGCGTTCAAATACGATCCATACGCGAAAAAATTAACCGAGGAATTTTACGATCATGAGAGGATGTTGAAAATCAGATATGAGGCGATACAATGCGCTGCAAAGACTGACAAATATGCTTTAATACTCGGCACTTTAGGCAGACAGGGCAATCCTAATGTACTGAAGACCTTGCAAAACAGAATTGACACCTTGGGAAAGGAAAACGTTGTAATACTGCTTTCGGAAATATTTCCGGACAAGATCAAGCTCTTTAAAGGCATCGATGCTTTTATACAAGTAGGATTTTTTCTATAGGAGAAACATATCAGATTGATAAAAATTTTTATTCGGTTTTTTCCGTTAATATTTTTGTTTTAATGAAGAGATATGAGACAAATTAAAAAAGTAACTGATATATATAAAATTTTTAATGAGCTATATATAAAGAAAAAAACGAACAAATTTTTTAATCGGTTTGATATAATTTAATACCTATTGTAATTTGAAAGACGTATTATATTGAACTGTATCATTGCATTTTATTCGAGGTTGCGTGTCCACGATTGAGCATCGACTGGGGCGTTGCATTCGAGAAACCATTCCTTACACCGTATGAAGGTGCTGTCGCCCTCAGGATGGCCGAATTTGATATTGAACGACCATATCCTATGGATTTTTACGCTACCATTAGTCTAGGGCCATGGACTGCTAATCATAAGGAATCTGAATTAGAGAAGACAGATGCTTGTTGTGGTAAATGTAAAATGAACAAATAAAACGAAAAGATAAATAGATTTTTAAACTTGCTGTCTTAATTCCTATTTAATTAGATTAAAAACTTGTCTTCCTTTTTTACTGTTACATAATTTGCAAAAAAAGCTTTTTAATAAGTTTATCATCAAATGCGAATTGTAAGTTCGAACAGGTGTGCATCCATATTAAAACCCCCGTCATCCCCAAGTTGTTGATAGCGGAGCGATAATGGACAGATAGGGGGGTCCGCGTGGGCGAATTACGTCATACGCCCACCTGTAGCCCGCTCGCATATATAGATACTGGAACATTGTATGTACAGGGTGTACAAGACATAAGACAACTCGCGGCTTGCTTTTTCGCGTGCTTTCTACGATCAACAAATAAAGTGATTAAAAAAAAGAACAAATTATAAATACACTTATTTGAAATAATATTAAGAGAAAATATCGGTAATGCGAGATTTTTTGAAAAAAAAATAAACGCGAATAGCGTTGAGTTATAACAATTTATATAGTATTTTTTTTCTTAAATATTGGAATATTATTTTGCATATTAAAATTAAGTAATTTCTTGTTATTTTATATTGTTAGAATATACTGCACAAATACATATCGATGAAATAATTCAATGTTATTGAAAAAAAAAAGAACACAGGGTACGTATTAAAATACCGAGGGTGGAAGGCGGCGCCGGCCGCACCCCGACGTCGCGACGTCAGTCGTTGTTCCAGCGTGGCTCAACAAGTACACGCGGCATTGAGCTACGACGGGTTCAAATTTAAAAAAAAAATCTTGACGCGTCCGTCGTACAACTATTTAAAATGCATTAAATTTACGAATACGGCATTAATTGTGAAAGAAGAATCACGCATCATCTTTTCCACAGTGATTAATCAACAATCCAGTCCGCAAAACATTCGCAAAAAGTAAGTTACAAAAAAGTTAAGCATCAATTTTTAACTCTTCATTTTTCTTTTTCAATTCAAAATTTCAGATAATATAAATTAAAGAATATACACATATGTAAATATAGAAAAATATGTCTTTAAAAGATCTTAACACTTCGCAGTCATACAGTGCAATTTTTATTGTTTCATCAGGAGAAAGGAGTATATTATGCGATCTAAGGTGACAAATGAGAACACGTGGGAGACAAAGTGGTCTACGGAATCGTCGCAGAGCGGTAGAGGCGTGCGACGAGCGGCGAGAAAAACGGAATCATCGGGATTGAAATTATCCAAACCACCCAGAGGGAATACGGCGCGGGAGAGAACTCTCAGGAGGCTGGAGAGCAATGAACGGGAGCGCATGCGAATGCATAGCTTGAACGATGCATTTCAAGTGTGTGAATACAAGATAAAATATGTTATTACATATTAATAACACAAAATCACAATAAAGAAAAATTATTATAGAAAGTAGGGAAAATCAGGGAGACATCTTTTCATGTCTCTGTTTCTTGAAAAATCATTTATTAAAAAATTCATATAATATATATTATATATAAATTCATATAATATATTATATATAAATTCATATAACATATATATATATATATATATATATATATATATATATATAATAATAATCTTATATAATCAACGATATCTGTTTTTCTTTCCAGTCTCTACGCGAGGTGATCCCGCACGTTACGAAAGAGAGACGGCTCTCCAAAATCGAGACACTAACTCTGGCTAAGAATTATATAGTGGCTCTTACGGATGTAATATGCGCCATGAGAAGCGAGGAGGATCAGCAGACGAGCGGCTCCGAAATTCAAGATGCGTCGAACAGCGAGCAACGATTAGAATCGACCACCGTTCGCATGAATATTCCTATCGCCTCCAGATCTTGCGCTTCGGAAACTCAGAACTTTTATCAGAGTAAGCATTCGCGATGGGAAAACGATCAGGATAATGTTACAGGTCTATGAGAAATTACGGCACTAAATGATAATTCGAGATGAAGTAAAATGAGAGCGAGCGGCACTCTTTGACTACTGGTCTTCCTTCCTTAATCCGTGCATGCGTTTGCGTTAAAAAAAATTAACGCATCTGTGTAAATCTTAGCGAAATGATATATTTTATGACTGATATAATAATTTAAGAAAATACTAAATGTGTGCCAAAAAATATTCATTATGCAGAAGCGAGTAAAAAAATATTATATAAATAATATTAAAATATTTTATTTCAGATATACGATATATTGTATTATTTTTAATAAGCTGCAAAGACAAAATCATCCAGAAACATTATGTATAAGTATAAATGTGTATGTTTATGTACATATATATATATATATATATATATATATATATATATATATATATACATACATACATACATACATCTAAGTATATATATATATATATATATATATATATATATATATAAAGTATATGTATATGAAGAATTAATTGAAAAGTTATATATATGTATATTCGCGAATTGCATTATGAAATAAGAATGTTATTATTTGTTATTGCTTTATAATATATATTCTAATTATTCATTATAAATTACTTTATGTTAAGTATGACATTAAGATATATACAAAGATAAACGGGCTAACTAAAAATAATGATATATATTTACTATACACATATATATATATAATATATATATTTAAATCAATAAATTTAATTATATATTTGAAAAGATCCTGTAAAGTTTTATATTAATTTATGTTTCTTATATTCCAAAATTATATACATCTATTCTTATCATCATAATTTCCCTGACACGGTAATTTTTTATTTTTTATATAATATAATACAACTGTATCAGCCATCACCAAATGAAATGGACTGTGTCGTCAGGTCTTGTAAATTGACTAGTACTGCTGTCTTCGTTTCCGAGAATTTTGGAACGCATATTAACCTTATTGTTTGTCCTTCATCAGCTATATATTCAGTATGAATTATTCCGCGAACAATAGAACTAATAATCAAACTAGATAAAAAAATATTCTCTTACTTGTAATCAATTTCGTATCATATACATCCATATTTCCAGCAAAATATATATCCGGGCATTCTTTCATAACGAACGGGTCATTTTTGAAGAATGGGTGAATCGGAAGAGTGTCCGGACCAGTTGGAGCATAATGTCGCCAGATCAAAGTCCGCTCCAACCACTCCAACGAAGATAATTCGCATAATCCAGCGATTTTCATGATATCCGCAATCGGTCTACCACAAGAACCGGCTACGATACGACCTCCGATATCTCCGATCCACGGATTAGTCGCACCATGCAGGCTCTTCAACCTGCGTTATATCTGAATAGTATTACATAATGGAAGCTTTTGACGGGCTGCAAACATAATAACTGCTACCTGGCCGACTTTTGCAGAGTACAAGGATGGAAAGGTTGCTGAGGCATGCTATAATTGCAGGCAGGATCGAATTCTCCGGGCATCAGCACAACATAACAGCAATGGAGGATAGTACTAAGGAAAGAGTCAAGCTTATGCATCGCTGTTATGTCTGCTTTAATCTTGTGTTGATCATACGATTTTGTTTCATGGTAGCCTTTATGATAGTATATCTTTGCAGAATCACAAATACTATTTCCTAAACATTTCATTATTCGTACATGAATTAAGCTACTGCCAATTAGAAAATATGCTTTTAGCTTTCTTACCAGCAATGATGACTCTAGCAATTACTGCTTCTTCCTCTTGTGCATTGATACAACCTGCCATCCCAGTTATCCATTCCGAAAGCAAATCTAAGCTAAGCTGATCTGTGTTATTAACAAGATTTAATCCAGAAACTAGCAGAATTTTTGCATTTTCCACCAATGAGCCACTTGATATACAAGGTTTCGGGCAATATCCTGGAAAACACCAATCTTCTACCTAAGAACAAAGTTTTATATTACATTGGCATATTGTATATTCCCATTTTTAATTATTAATAATTACATAAATATACCCAAAGTGTTCCATTTTCTTCGTGCCCTAGTATAGCACAGACGAGTCCTGTAACTACTTCTTGAACATTCACATGATTTCCTACTAATCTTATACGTAATGTTTCATCTTCCAGAAATAATTTGTCATTGGCAGATGCGTAATTTTTACTTGGTTGAGCTACTTTTAGCTGTAATTCCTTGCTAAGTTCACGCAGTAAAGAAGGTTTTAGTTTCTGATCCTTATAGAGTACTCCTATCAGAATATAAGATTTCTCTGGATCTTCCAAAGCCAAGCGTGAGATCTCTATATACGAATAGTTGGCTGTAACATATGCAAAGTAAAATAATATAGATAACTTACAAGCAAAGAAAGATCTTGATAATACACAAATGTACTTACTCCATTTTAATTTCGCCCTATGTATCATATCTTCTCGCAAATCGTTCAGCCTCGCTGTATATATGTTGAGAGAATTATCGTCGTATTTTTTTTCTGACAGTTTAAATCTGCCAAAGTCTTTGAAGGAGACAACTTTCCGGTTATATTTGCACGAATCATTGTCCTCCATCTCTTTACGAAACCTTCAACTCGCGTTTCTGAAATTTTGCAAAATCTCACTTAACACAAAAGACAAAATGTCAATAATTATAAAAAAAAAAAGAAAAGAATTATCCAAGTAATATTCACTTTTCATTGTTTTCCATATCTCGAAGAAAAATACGCGATCTGAAGAATCATATGATCATGTCATAACACACATGTTTCATCGAGACGTGTAGAGATGCGTTCAAAAATTCTCCCCGTGGAGTAGCATTTGACTGACCAATCAGGAAAAGAAGCGAAAATTTCTTTGTTCTTATTGGTCAATGAAACGCTACTTTATAGTTACAGAAAGAAAGTGTAGATAGCTTATCTTTTTATTTTTTTTGCTATCCTCTTTCTTTCTTCAATGCTTGTAATACATGTACACGTGTCTCACTTCAATTATAAAAGGTGCAGCCGGTGAATCCCCGATGTCACGTGACCGTTCGCGCTATCAGTGACGAAGGGTTAAAAACAGTGATGAACGTTCGACTTGCAAAGCGGGTGAAAAATTCGTGAGGCGCTTGCAGGGCCCGCGACAAATGTCGTCTTACGTAATAAAAATTTTTTTCATTACACAACACGATAAATAGCCGTAACATGAGATAAAAAATGAATTATGTAATAAGACCTTATCCGTAAAGGATAGTCGAATAAAATTTTTTCGCGATGCATCCGCTGCATTCCATTGCTCGCGGAATCGTTCCTGTAAATAAACTATGCAAAGTGCGCCTCCTATGCTCGGTGTAACTTATGCCAATTCGTGCACCAGCTCAACCAGCTGTTTAGTTCACTGTCGAGCCTAGACCGTGTCAGGCGAAGGTAATTTCGGAGGACGAGCAACATCGACATAGCTTGACTCGATTGTGCGAGGCGCGAACTCTTTTTCTCCTACTCCAGGTCTGCCGTTTCCTCGAAAAGAAAATGATACCGAGCTGCATCAGGAACGTCGCCGCGCAATCGTCACGACGGAACGTAAGTTCGAGCACGCGAGTGACGAGCATCGTATGACCTCTAATTTTGCAATATCGCGCTTTACGTATCAAAGTCTCGTTATGAATCTCAGATTTGTTTTCTCCCTCACTTATACGACATACTATATTTTATGAGACTTCTTCTTTCCTCATTATTTCGCTCTCTTGCTAGTTTGGAAGCTGGAACGAGGTAATTATTTATATTCGAAATTCGATTGTGCTGCAGCTTTTTATAAATGGTGCTGCTATGTATTTTACAAATTGAGTTTCACGAATCAATTGACAATTGATGTTAACGAAAAAGTTCAGAATTTTTGGAACTTTTAAAAAATATCCTCACGCTAAATCACGACATATAATAAGTAAATTTCACATTGTCGCACGTGTCATTATGCTATTTTGTTATTTTCTTGCAAGCTGCAAGATTTAATAAACGTTGAATTAAATAAATTTCCAGATGGCTTCATTTTTCTTTAGCAAGAAAAGTAACTATGCCACTGAAGCCTCCTTCGAGACCAAACCTTACCGCCTGCACAAACTGAATCATGGACCATCCACTCAAGTTACAGTGACCCGGGATGATGCTATCGAATTATTTAAGAAACTACATACGATACGTCGTATAGAAACAGCTGCTGGCAACTTGTACAAGGAAAAGATTATTCGGGGTTTTTGTCATTTATATTCTGGACAAGTAAGGATTATCTTGTATTTTTCACATGTACTCATTTAAAATTACTTCAACTCTCTGTTGTACTTTTATGTCTTCTACAGGAAGCTTGCGCAGTTGGCATGAAAGCTGCAATGCGACCTCAAGATGCTGTAATTACGGCTTATCGTGCACATGGATGGACCTATTTGATGGGCATAGAACCATTTGGTGTTTTCGCAGAACTCACAGGTAGACAAGGTGGTAATGCCAAAGGCAAAGGTGGCTCGATGCATATGTATGCTAAAAATTTCTATGGAGGAAACGGTATTGTTGGGGCTCAGGTTAGCTATTGATTGTAAAATGAAATATAACACATATTATTAGTGCAAGTTTTTAAAGTTTTCTTCTTTGCATTATAGGTCCCACTGGGAGTTGGGATAGCCTTTGCACAAAAATATATTAACAATGGTGGGGTCTGCCTAGCATTGTATGGTGATGGTGCAGCCAATCAGGGACAAGTGTTTGAAGTCTATAACATGGCAAAACTGTGGGACGTACCCTGCATCTTTGTCTGCGAGAATAATGGATATGGGATGGGTACTAGTGTGGAACGCGCTGCTGCAAGCACGGATTATTACACCAGAGGCGATTATGTTCCTGGAATATGGGTATATTATATTTATTTTCTGAAAAAATTCTTTTTCTCATTTTATCTCGTCGATAAAATTTACTGTGTACTTTTAAATTCTTCATGCAGATAGACGGTATGGATGTATTAGCCGTGAGGGAAGCTACGAAATTCGCTATAGAACATTGTACATCTGGCAAAGGACCAATCATTATGGAAACCATGACATATAGGTATAGCGGACACAGCATGTCGGATCCTGGAACTAGCTATCGTACGCGAGAAGAGGTGCAGGAAGTCCGACAAACTCGAGATCCTCTGACCAGTTTCAAGGAAAGAATTCTGAATGCTAATCTCGTCACTGCGGATGAAATCAAAGTCAGTTAATATTTTTTATAGAGATTTCGCAGTTAAAAAATATATAACAGTTATTTAGAAATTTATTTGCTTATTAGTTTAATTGATTTAAGTAAATGTATACTGTCTTTTCCTGTTACAGACGATAGAAGGTGAAATCAGAAAATCAGTGGACGATGCCGTAAAGGCTGCCAAGAACGACAAGGAGATTCCACTGAGTGAACTCACTGCCGATATTTATACAACGTGTTTAGAAAATGAAATTCGAAATACGACTCCCTTTAATCCTCTATCACACGCCAGACTAGGACCAGCTGTGAATGCTTGAAATTGCTCAAGAATCGTCTCTTAAAATATTGTATATAATTTACAGTCACGTGCCACCTTTCAAGACGTTTAAATTAATTAGACTTACAAATATATTGCATAGAGATGTACATGTTGCGCACAATTCTTTAATTCGAAATGTATATTATTATTTTATCGAAAAACAGAATATTTATAAGATATATTAATTCAAATGCAATTTGCATCAATTTATTAATCTCAATATGCTTCATGATGTATACACACATTTTATGTTACATTTGTCAAAAAACTATATATTTTAAAAAATCCATATAATAATCGAATATAATTTAGGGGTTTAAATTTATCTGTTAATTATAATTTATTTCTAATACATAAATTATTACAAAGAGAAGATTCTTTATGATACGCGTAGGAGATTCAAATCATTTATTGATAAGAAAATAAACTTGTAAAAAAAAATGAAAATTTCTTTAGTTTTGTTTCATTTGGGTTTATATATGTTTGTTTATCAGAATTTAAAAAGATCTACGTGCTAGATTATTATTAATCATACAATTTTGCAAAATCTTTATACTGCACAATTTGCCGATGTAAAACGAACGCAGTCGAACAATTTCGAGAATTATAAAGAAAAAATAGAAGAATCGAATATGTGAATTGTCAACATTGAACGATGGCCATATCTCTTTCTAGTAACGGCCAGAAGTACTACAATCCGTGATTAATGCCGCACACGCACGGTTTTCTTGATCGAGCGAATCTTTCCGCGAGGAAAAAGATGATTCGGATCGTCGCTATGAAGGAATTTCTCGAGAAAGCGTTAATTTTATTACATTTATTTAATAAAAATTGTATTAATTTGATTACATTTATTCACAGTAAAAATCTTTTGTTTAAACAAATATATATTATTAATTCGCATTCGAGAAGAATAACCAATTTAATGACAATATGAATAAACAAATACGAAAGTATACATTTTTAAATATTAAAAATATGTTAATCTGTAACTTCTTTTTTCTCACAAAATTTATTATTGTTATTAATGAATTATTAATTCTTTCTTAGATATATTTACCCAAATATAAATCTATCCTACAATTATTGTGCAATATGAAATATGAACATTGTTTCAATAATATATTGATTATTAATAGATCCGAAAATTCATTTACAAACTGGTCGGATTTTCCTCATTTCCCTATTTTATTCTTTTGTCTTTCCATTGTATACGTTCGCTCTATATATATATATATATATATAATTTTTGTGACTTTTTATTTAAAAATTAATTTATAAATATTAGAGACGCAAGGAAATGCACACAGATATTTTGAATAATTATTGGTCAAAATAATAAAGATATAACTTAATTTTATAAAAAAGCTCGTAAATATTTATTAATGTAAATTACAGTAATAATGTATATATATATAATGTGTGTATATATATATATATATATATATATATATATATATATTATATATATACAGGGTCTACCAAAAGTGTGGAAACCCCTAAATATCTCGGAAAATATACGTTTTACAGAAAAGTGTTTCCAACAAAAGTTGTAGGGTTTAAGAAGATCTATATACTGATTCTATCAGTTTGACCTTGGATGGCGTCGTCAAGGTCAGGTCAAGGTCACATTGACTTTTTTAAATGACACCCCCTACATTTGATTGCATATTCTTATAGCTTAATTCAAGAGCTTTCCAAAACACTATAATAATGTTCATTTTTATTAAGTACTTTGCGAGTTATGAGGGTTGAAATAATTTCTTAATTTTACATAAACCATAAAATATCTAGTAAACCATTCATTTTTCGATTATCTTACCTTCATACTTTTATGTACAAAATAATGAAAGGAATCAATTGGTGTAAAGAAAACATACAGTTGTTTTTAAGAAAAAATATGGAATTGTTAATTGCAAATTACATATTTTTTCTTAGAAACAACTATGTGTTTTCTTTACACCAATTGATTCCTCTCATTAATTTGTACATAAAAGTATGAAGGTAAGATAATCGAAAAATGAATGGTTTACTAGATATTTTATGGTTTATGTAAAATTAAGAAATTATTTCAACCCTCATAACTCGCAAAGTACTTAATAAAAATGAACATTATTATAGTGTTTTGGAAAGCTCTTGAATTAAGCTATAAGAATATGCAATCAAATGTAGGGGGTGTCATTTAAAAAAGTCAATGTGACCTTGACCTGACCTTGACGACGCCATCCAAGGTCAAACTGATAGAATCAGTATATAGATCTTCTTAAACCCTACAACTTTTGTTGGAAACACTTTTCTGTAAAACGTATATTTTCCGAGATATTTAGGGGTTTCCACACTTTTGGTAGACCCTGTATATATTTTATATATATATATATATCATGTGTATATATATATATATATATATATTTTATATATATATATATATATATATATATATAATATGTATAATATTATATATAATATGTATATATAATACAATAATGTAAATTACAATAATGTTTTTGTCAACAGTTTTTTTATTAATAAAGAATATTTTAGACTTAAATAATCAATTATAAAAACAACAAAATGCTGTTTATCCTTTAAACATTTTACTTCTTTCTTATTTAAAATTTTCATTAAACCATAAATCCAAATTTTAAAAAAATCGTTATTTGTATCAATATTACAATTCACAAAACCGAAAGAGGTAAAAATTTATTAGCTACAACATTAAAGCTAAAACTAAGACAAAACGAAAATAATTTTTTTATTAATCATCGACAAAAATTGTTTATTATTCATTTGCATTTTTAAATCAGCGTTTCATGCACAAATTACTACAACAACATTATGATACTTCTGCAATTTTGTACTAAGTTCTTACAAAGTGCAATTCTCACTACAAAAGCTAGAAATTTCGCTATTATGTCTCATTTCAAACTCTCTTAGCCATAATATATCTGCTGTTTTATCATTATCTCAACCTGATGCACATGTAATATTATGTATTTTGGCGAATTCGTAAGCAAATTTTGATAATTTTAATAAAAAGCAAATTCTGCAAGAACAAGATTGCAATTGCTTATTTGTATTTGTAAACTGTAATATTAAAAACTGTTTCTTCTTCCAGATAAGAGAAGTACGTATGTGATGTTATATAGCTATCATATTGATATGCCTCTCCTAAAGAATAATAACGTTTCATTTGTCCTAAAATGATATTAGTAATTACGTGGATTTTTGCAATTTTTGTTATGGATGTTTTCTTTTCAGATAATTTTTTTGCCATATAGTCTTTTACTGCTGCTTCGACTTTTGATTTTTTTTTCAAAAATAGGGGAGTCCACCTCTTCGTTGCCCCAAGGCCTCCACACCTTTAAATTCGACCCTGTGCAATTCTTACTGCAAAAGGTGGAAATTTCGCAACTGTATCTCATTTCAAACTCTTTTAACCATATTATATCCGCTTGTTTAGTTATCTTCCAATCGAATAGAAATTTTTTGTCATTACTTACAGCATATTCGTAAGCAAATGTTGATAATTTTAATAAAAAGCAAGTTCTGCAAGAGCAAGACGATGGTTGATATGTATTTGTAAATTGTAATTTTAAAGATTCTAAATGCGATACTTCTTCTTGATATGAGAAGTCTGTACCACTTCCTCTTATTTTCTCATCATATTGATATTTCTCTCCTAAAGAATGACGACGTTGTATTTCATCACTTAAAGACCATATCCGATCAATTCCGTAGAATTCTGCAATTTTTCTTATGGATGTTTTCTTTCCAGTTAATTTCTTTTCCATATAGTCTTTTACCGCTGCTTCGAATATTGGTTTTTTTTTAAGGTATTCATCTTTATTTTCCAAAATTTTTATTTTTGTTTCTATCATATATTTTTCAATTCTATCTATATCTTTTATATCTTCCATAGATTTATTTTTATTGTAAATTTCGTTTACTATTGGTTCGATCTTATCCTTTATTATGAAATAATTTTCAATCGATTCTTTAAGTGTTCGTTTCATGTTACGTCGGACCATTACGAATTTACGGAAGAATTTACGGAAGAAAACTAAAATATGTACATATAGAAATAAAAAAAACATGCTAATTATGAACAAGCGAGTTGCCATATTACAAAACGAAGATTATATGATCACGATTTTTGCATTACGTTATTCAAATCTCTTGGCTATCGTATTTATAAAAATTAGATAATACATGATTTTTTTAATTACGTATAGGATATACATAAAACTTCAAATTGGTTTCAAATATTGCTAACGTAACTTTTTAAAGTGTTAAAAAATACACAGAGTAGAATGTAAAGTACTTACAGAAGATATCAAACAACAAATATATATTTTGAAAAAAGATTTCCTTCTTAATTAAAATCCCATGCGATATATACTCTTTATCTGATTGTATAAAAATGACGATTAAAGCAATAAAAAGACGATCGAATTTAAAACTGGCAGTAATGTCAGAATATTAAATAGAACATTATAAGCCGAGATACCTAATCACAATACGTTCTTCTCAAAGTATCCTTGATTTTTAACTAATGTCATCTATATCATCAGTTATTTGTACGAGTGTTTTTGATCAAGTTGTTGTTAAATTTTCGATCAGTATTTTACACGTGCATACATTTATTGACAAAAATAAATATGTATTTAAATGTTGCATATTATTTTATATAAATTTTGATTTAATACATTATAACAAATATATTTCTGATGGAATTTATAATTTGTACATATGTCATAGTAAACTACTTTTGTATATTATTATTTTATCAAAAACCACAGATCGGATATTTATAATATACATTAATTCAAATGTAATTTCTGTCAACATATTAATGTTTCATAACACATATTTTACATTACAATTATCAAAAAACAATATATATAAAAGAATCCATATAATTCATTAATTATTTAATAGAATATCATTTAAGGATTTAAATTTATCTGTCTTAACTATAATTTATTTCTAATATATAAATTATTACGAATGAAAGATTCTTTGTAGTATATAAGAGATTCGAGTCATTTATTAATAAGAAAATAAACTTGGAAAACAAATAAAAATGTCTGTATTAGTTTTGTTTCATTTGCGTTTATATATATTTATTTGGAATTTTACAAAATGTATATCCTAGATTCAGCTAGATTATTGTTTGTTCATCATATAATTCTGCATAATATATATACTGGACAATTTGCGGATGTAAAACGAACGCAGTCGAACAGTTTCGAGAACCCTAAAGAAAAAATGGAAGAATCAAATATGTAGATTTTTAACACCGAACGATGGCTATATTTCTTTCTAGTAACAGACAGATGTACTACAATTCGTAATTATCATCGCACACGCATAGTTTTGTTGACCGAGCGAATTTTTTCGTAAGAAAGAAGATGACTTGGATCGCTCGGATCGTCGTTGTGATCTCGTGAAAACATTAATTTTATTATATTTATTTAATAAAAATTGTATTAATTTTACATTTATTCACAGTAAAAATCTTTCGTAGAAACAAATATATATTATTAATTCACATTCGAGAAGAATCACCAATTTAATGGCAATATGAATAAACAGATACGAAAGCATACATTTTTAAATATTTAAATATGTTAATCTGTAACTTCTATTTTCTCATAACATTTGTTATTAATGAACTATTAATACTTTCTTAGAGTTATTTGCGCAAATGTAAATCTATTCTACATATATTATACAGTATGAATATTGGCCAATAATACATTGATTTATGAAATATTAAACAAAAAGGAAGAAATAATATATTATGAGTTATTGATATAGATAGATATGAATACAAAATATCTGTTAATATGCTCGAAAATTCGTTTACAAACTCATATAACTTTTTTGTTTTCCTTTTTGTTTTTTCCTCTTTTTCTTTCTCTTTGATGTATACATTTGTTCTATATAATTTTTCTAACCGTTTTTATTTAAAAATTTATTTATAAATATTAAAATGTAAGGAAATGCACAAAGATATTTCAACAATTATTGCGCAAAAATAATAAATATATTATAACTTAATTATTTATAATAGCTCGTAAACTTTTATGAATTATTTTTATTGAATTACAATAATAATGTCTTTTTCAAAACAATTTTCTTTTTATTAATATAAAAATTATCTTACATTTAGACTTAATTAATTCTTTATAAAAAAAGGTAAATGCTTTCTTCTTTTTAAACATTTTAGGTCATTTTTATGTAAATTTTTTTATTGAACCTAATATTAAATCTAATATTAAATTTTATTAAATAAATTTTATTAATTTTATAAACCTAATTTTTTTATTAAACCTAACCTCACCTAACCAATATCTAAATCAAATATTAAATCATATTAAACCAAATCTAAATTTTAAAAAATGTCTAGGTATTTGAATGAATATTTTATTACAGTTCAAAATCGAAAGAGATCAAAATTTATTGGCTACTACATAAAAACTAAGGCTATAAAAAAAATCGAAAATAATTTTTTTATTAAATAAAAATTGTATATTATTCACCTGAATTTTTAGATCAGCATTTTTTGCATAAATCAACGCAATAATATTATGACAGTATTGTAATACTTCTGCAATGTTTTGTACTAACAGCATGTGCAAATAACTTACAAATTGCAATTCTCAATGCAAAATTTGGAAATTTCGGATCTGTGCCTCATTTCAAACTCTTCGAGAAAACTCATATCCGCATGTTTAATTGTCGTCCAATATGGTGGACATTTTTTGGTATTACTTGCAGTAAATTCGTAAGCAGATGTTGATAATTTTAATAAAAAGCAAGTTCTACAACGGCAAGCTTGACCTGTACGTGTAAATTGTGACATTAAAGACTCTTTTAATATCTTTAAAAGCAATTCTTCTTGTTGATATGAGAAGATAACACCATTTGTTTTTGTCATATGATCATATTGATATTTCTCCCCTAACGTATAACGATTTTTTATTTCTCTTTGTAAAGTAGAGTAACCAATGTTGTGAATATCTGCAATTTTCTTTACGGATGTTTTCTTTCCAGATAATTTCCTTTCTATATAGTCTTTAACGGCTGCTTCGTATATTAATTTTTTTTCAATGTATTCATCTTTATTTTTCATAATTCTTATTTTTTTTTGTATCATACATTTTTCCGTACTATTTATATATTTTATATCTTCTATAGACTTAGTTTTATTGTAAATTTCTTTTATTATTGGTTCGAACTTATCCATCCATCTCAAATATTCTTCAATCTGTTTTTTAAATATATGTCGGTCCATTACGAATTTACGGAAGAAAACTAAAATATGTACATATAGAAATAAAAAAAAAACATGTTAATTATGAACAAACAAGTTGCAATATTACAAAACGAAGATTTCATGATCGCGCTTTTTGCAATACATTATTCAAATCTCTGGCCTATGATCGTATTTATAAAAATTAGATAATACATGATTTCTTTAATTATGTATATAGGATACATAATTCTTCAAAATGGTTTTAAATATTGCTAACTAATATTACTATTTAAAATATTAAAAAATATGCAAAGTAGAACGTAAAATACTTACGGAATAAATATCAAACAGCAAATATATATTTTGAGAAAAGATTTCTTTTTACACTTAAAATACTATGCGATGTGTACTTTATCTGATTGTACAAAAACGATGAGCAATATGGAAGTGACTGAATTTAAGACTGGTAGTTATGTTACAATAATATATAGGACATTATAAGCCGAGATCCCTAAACGCAATACATGCTATACGCTCTTCTCAAAGTGTCCTTGATTTTTAAGTGATGTCATCTATATCGTCGGTTATATGTACGAGTGTTTTTAATCAAATGTTAACCTTTCGATCAGTATCTCACACATGTATACATATTGACAAAAATAAAGATATATTTAAATGTTGGATTTTAGTTTATGTGAATTTCCATTTAAATTACATAATATAAAAAATATATTTTTACTGGAATTTATAATTTGTACATATGTCTTAGTAAATTACTTTTTATATATTATTATTTTATCGAAAAGCACAGATATTTAACATACATTACTTATACATGTAACATACATTAATTCAAATGCAATTTCTATCATGTTAATGTTTCATGATGTGTTTTAACACACATATTTTACATTATCAAAAAAACGATCTATATATTAAGAAAGAAATATGTAATCCATTCGATATATTTGGAAATTTAAATTTATCTTGATTATAATTTATTTCTAATATATAAATTATCACAAAGAGAAGATTCTTTATGGTACAGCTAGAAGATTCTAATTATTTATTAATAAGAAAATGAAAAAGAATCCTGTAAAAAGAATAAAAGTTTCTTTTTTTATTTTTTCACACATTTTTGTTTATATATATATATATATTGTTTATATATATATTTGTTCGTCAGAATTTAACAAATCTACATGCTGGATTATTGTTTATTGATCATACAATTTTTCCAAATCTATGTAACTACACAATTTGTAGACCGAACGCAATCGAAACGGTTTCGAGAACTCGAAAGTGGAAAATGGAGGAATCGAACGTGTCGATCGGTCGACATCGAACGACGGCCATGGCCATATCTCTCTCTAGTGACGAACAGGTGTACAATTCGTGATCAACGCCGCACACGCACGGATTTGTTGACCGAGAGAAACTCTTTCCGTAAGAAAAAAGAAGATGGCCCGGATCGTCGCCGTGAAGGAGTATCTCGAGAAGGCGTTGAAGGACGAGAGCAAGCCATGGGTAAAAATATTCGCTCTCGCTGAGGAGAAGACCGGCGTCGATCGACTATACATCTTTGTCGGTGAGTTGCTCCGTGAGGAGCAATTACAAAGGGTTTCCAGTCATTCCCATTGATCGGAGGCCGGCTTATACCTCGTACATTTAGATAATCGTTAACCGCTTACGCAAATGTCAATGCAATCTCGCGGCCTCCCCGCGAGTCGTTATCTTGCGGTATTCGTTACGCAATATTTTTTTCTCTCTTGTTTTTTTCTCGTTATTACGTCGCCTCGTATTTAGATGAGAACGCGCGCGCTTCGCATTCCTTCCGAAAATCCGCAACCTGTTGATCCTTGCCCGGGGATCATGGTGCGATCGCGTGGCAGACTGCTCTACATCTTACCTTGATACTTTATATTTGTATAAGAATATATTTCGGAGAATATATATGTATCTTTTTTTGAATATATATATTATACATGTTGGAGTAATTCTAGCAAGAATATATTGCACACACTTATATTATTTAGGCTCGTTGGTGCTGCTGGCCTTATACCTGGTATTTGGATTGGGACAACAGCTAGTATGTAATATAGTCGGTTTTGTTTACCCTGCGTACCAATCTATGAAGGCGCTGGAAAGCCCCAAGAAGGAGGACGATACAAAATGGCTTACTTATTGGGTCGTTTTCGCTGTGTTTGCTATAGTAGAGTTCTTCTCTGAATATATTGTCTGTTGGTTTCCCGTCTACTGGCTGTTCAAGGTATGAAACTTGAAAGATACTGCTTTTAAAGACACTGCCAATGACAAATGTTACAAATCTTATATTTATGACACAGTGTATATTTTACGTGTGGTTGATGGCACCAACCGAGTACAATGGTTCCTTGATTCTGTATCGCCGTATCATCCGTCCAAAGTTTATCCAGTATCAGCCTGGATTAGACAGATTATTGTCCAATGCACGTGATACAGGTAAGACTTAACAAAAATAATTCAATTCCTTTAAAAAAAAAGGAAAATGAACATCACGGCAGAGAATTATTCGTGTCTGATAAAAGTAGAAATAAACACATGTTATTATTATAGCAATTAAAACTGCTGCGGAAGCGTTGCTGACCAACAAGCAAGATTAACGGAGCTGCAAGTCAAGTAAATAGAAAGCCCATTTGTGTCTTTCCCTTTTTACTCATTCCTAGCAGAAGCAGCATGAATTTTGTGCTTTGCTGAGTATTATTGGGCGTTCTACATTATAAGAAATGCAAGGTGACGAGAAGAATGTCAAACATAAATTTCGTGTAATCAAATACAACAAGCGCTGTCCAAATGATCAGGAATGAATTTTTGTCCGAAATTACGAATAGCAGGTACGAAATATAAAAGAAGAAAAATCTAACCTAATCCTGCTTTGTAAAAGAAATCATTAATTATTGGAGTAATCATTAACAAAGTAATCAATGGTTTACTTCTCAGAGGAAGATGTTTTGTTCTTTTATGTTTCATAGTTATCAGCTATTTGTAACGTATAATCTTTTAGAATTACAAAGTAATATGATTCAGGAAAATTTCAGCATAGTCCGGAAATTGGCTGAATTTTGACTCATTCGAGACATCGCTTATAAAGTGATTTTTGAGTGAAATTGCAAATAAAATTTGGAATGTTCTTGTATAGTAGGATAGGATACCGTCGCGTGTTTTTGCCATTTACGTAATCATTGATAATATATGTATATGTAAGTGTACTGTATTCTTAGAATGTTTCACCAACGATTTCAATCATCTGATGATTTAACTGATTCCTCGTTTCTTTGTAGATTAATACGCGTGCGTACGCGCGTTTGTTACCACGCGAAATTCTCGATTATAAATCAAGCTTTTTAAAATCAATTTACTTTTTAAAATCAATTTTTATGTGATATTTATAAAAATTATAAGAATTATATTTATAAAATGTTGTATATCTTCCAAATATATACTCCAAATCTTAAATCATTTTACTTATATCTTTTAAATTATGCGATAAGATAAACTTTTATCTTAATCGAATGAAATATAAACTTTTCACTGTTTTGCATCTGTCACGAGAATCGAGCTCATCATATATGATGACACTGGTAACAAACGTATTAGCTCCATCTTATGTATTATAGTAATGTTAATTATCACGTGTGCCAGTAATTGCTTGGTTCTCTATCTTAAAATATTTGCCGTATCATTAGGTAAAATTCGATTAGATAAATTTCAAGTGTTGGTGAAATTAGCTAGTAGGTAAGTTTCTACGCACAATTGATAAAGAGCGAATGTTTGATTATTAAAAAATGGCAAAGATTTGAAGTATTAATCACAAATAATATTTAATGGTTTAGGGAAGTGGTACAATTTAATAAAAATATTTACATCAAATTTTTAATAAGAAATGTTGCCATTTAATTATTATGTATCTACCGTGGAAAAGCGAAACTTTTGCTGAATGAAGGAACCTGAACCTTTTAGTCAGTGAAGGTGAAAGCACATCTAGCTTAAATTTGTATCAAATAAGTAAGTAAAATGACATCGTACTGGCATCCGATTGTCTCTTCTCTTTTTTCTTAATTATATAATAATATTCTACGTACATTTTGAAATACAGAATTAAGCTTATGTGTATTGCTCAAATATAACCCGTCGTCTCGAATAATTTATTAGTTATTCTGTATTGTATATCTGGCAAGGTTGATGTTCCTCAATTATGAATCAAATATCCGTATCCTGTGAAAAATTAACAACAAATATTCTGTATCTTTCTTCAATTATTGTTAAAAACTCCTCGTATAGTGTTACCAGTTGTATAGTGTTGCCAGCACAGGAGAATATTAAGCAAAATTGTAAATTTAGAAATATTGACGGAAATTGTGCATAAATTGCCATTGACACGCATTAATAAATATCTTTTTATTTTATACACTCGGCTTTTTCTCTTCCTAATATTGTCTTTTATATTGATAACTAATGTCATTCATAGACGAAAATCAGTTTCCTGTAATGTGCTCCTGTGAAGAAATTAAATAATTGTACACACAATAATATAATTTTTCAAATAATTTAAACTTAAAGAGCATAAGCAGATGTATAAATGTATAAATTTGAAAGATACAACGAGCGATTCTGTCTATGGATTTCTCGAATATTAATAATAAAAGTTGCTAGTCGAATGATAATTTTACTAAATGACTACCTTAATCACAAGTCTTTTGATATTTAATTAAAGTCTCTTTAATATTTAATTTGAAATATTCAATTCAAGTTTCTTTGAACATTAATAAACTAATAAAACAAACATTTCAGAAACATTAAATAAAAAGTAAAAATTATTTCCTCGTATTTTCTTATAAAAAGTGAAGCAAAAAAACAAAAATCTGTTTGACAACATTCAAATAAAAACTGTCTGTTATGCGCTTTAAGATTCAACTACGCTAAAAAAAATATGAAAGAATTACATTTCTTTGAAGTGGAATTTCTCCGCTGTCAATGCGAGTTTTCTTATGTGACGAATTGTGGACGCAGCTGCGATCTGCACTTCCGGATCGTCCGAACCCACCAGGCGCAATACGTGCTGTTTTTTTAATTTTTTTTTTTCAAAGTATCATCATTTTCAAATCCGAATTCTCGAAACAAAACGAAAAGCGCGAAGAAAATAATCCCGACAATTTATCATCCCGGTGCGAGATGATAAATTGATTTAATCCAAATGTTCGAAACTTTAAAAAAGCTGAATTCTTTTTCTAATATCTGAATTCTTCTTTTTCTGCAGAAAATTTTATCTGCAAGAGTGACTCTATCGATTCGTATTAAAACGACACATGTATATTGTAGATATTTTTTTTGCAACGCTAACAGTTATAAATTGATGAACTTTTCAGTGCTTATTAAGGAAAGATATTCTATCATTTTTTTCACGGGAGAAAAAAGATTTTCGAAAATTATATTTCGTGGAATTTCTCTTCTCTTTAATATAGAACGATCTCATTAATGTCGCGTATGTAGGCGACGTTAGCGTCTAATTTTACCTTAATAACGCCGCAGGTGTGCATGGTCACGCAATTTAAGGGCTCCTTGCTCAAATGGTATACGGCGATGCAGACACCCTTTAATACGTCCTTGTTCTTGCTACTCATATAATTAACAAGCGGTGCAACGGCGTTTAGTTTGCCAAATTCGTAACTATTTCGATCCCACTCGCAGCAATAAGCTATCGCTAACGTTAGATTTGCCCGCAAATTTTCGTCGTCCTAAAAAAAAAAAAAACGGAACATCTTACTATTGCATATCTTAATTAAAAATATCTAATAAAAAGAAATTTTACATTCGAGTGCTTTTGCTTCGTGGAAAAAATACAGAGTAAATTCCTATAATTAATTAGTATGTGAATTAATTAGTATAATTAATTAGTAAATGAACTAGTATTAAATGACGTAAAAAGGAAGACTCATTTTTATCAATTGTTTTTTTTTCCATGAGAAGCATCCCCGAGAAAAAAGAAGTATTAGCGCTAAGCTAACAGTTTCCACGAGGGCGGCCAATTTCCTCACGACCCCGTGATCCGTCAGGATGCCCAGATTCTCGGGATCGGCGGCGATCTCCGCGATCATGGCGCAGACCGCGGCGAGCACCTCCGTGTCCTTGCTCTCCAGGAGGCTGACCGTGAGCTCCAGACCACCCACGAAGGCGCGAACCATTTCCGACGAGTCCTTGGCGTGCCGGATGCAGGGCACCAGTGCGAGGCAGGCGTTACGTTTGATCACGTCGCTCGGATGCTTCAGCAGGGACCAGACCAATCGCACCCCGTCCAGCCGGTGCTCCGGATCGTTGATGATGTCCATGCATCTCTCGTCGACGGCGCACTCTTTCAGCACCAACGGCACGTTCTCGAGTAATGGCTGATACGTGGCGCTCAACAATCTGATCTGCAAAGGTCCGGGAAGGGAGTTAGGTACATTCTGCGGAGTCGCCAATAATGAGGTGACCAGGAAACGTCACGCGATTCATCGAGAGCGATGCTCGTCATTTCTTTGAAGCGCAATCCAATTATCACCTCATCTGAAAATTATTTCTCAAACAAGGTCAGGTGAGAAATAATTAAACGCAAATAGGTCAATGCAGTAATATGCTGATGATAAAATTAGAGATTATTATAAAATTACGGAAAATTAATCTAATAATCGTGTTCGAGAATAATCATTAAGAGAACTGCGACTATCGATTTTATTCCATGCAGGACAAATATTTGTAGATAGCTTCCGAACGCACATTTATTGCTCTTTAAATAATAATTTAGTGATGTAAAAATATACGACATAAAACCATCTGTAGCAAATGGAGTTTCGAGTAACTCCATTTGCTACAGATGGTTTTATGTCGTATATTTTAAACTTCATATATAATACAGCTTCATAGCTTTTCTATCTATATATCATAACTTTGAGGATATTTATTCTGTTGTATGTGTGTTCGCTTTATCATTCAATTGTATAAACATGTCAAACAGGAGGACTAAAGTTTGGTCCAGCGTCCAAAAGAGAGAGAGAAGGAAATGGCTGGACAGAAGAGTACTTTCAACATTGAACGATCTTTACCAGTTTCGGTAGACCCTCGTTAATTCTCAAGACGTCCCTGTTAGCGGGATCCTTGCAGCATTCGGCGAGAGCGCCCACGACGTTGGCCAACACCCGCTCGTCCTCGTTCTCTTCAAGTAGCGGCACCAGCGATGCCACCAGACCGTTCTGATTGAATCTCGTTACGTTCTCCGGACTGATGGCGCACTTCCAAACGCTGCCGGTCACCGCGGCCAGTAGCTGCTTGTTGACGCGCACCTCGTCGCTCTGCACAAGCTTGCAGAGCGGATCCAGACCGCCGGACCTACGCACCATCGTTCGGGTCTCCCGATTCGAGGCACACTTGAAGATGGCTAGGGCGCAATTCTCCTTCAGTTTCACATTGTCGTTTCTCAAGTGGCGCACCAGCTCGTCGATCATGCCCACGCGCTCAAATGCTTCTCTGAAAACGTTCTGCAAACTCATAGAAATGTAATACCAGCCATAAGGAGATATTTTCATTAAGATAGATTGCAATTAGTTGATAAATACCGCTTCAAAGCTCGAACCGGCTTATAAATTTAATCCTATCTTAATTAATATCTTAATTAATTATTAACTTAATCATTTTAATTACGTGTTTAATAATCCTTATATATTTGTTCGTATTAATTAAATTTATTTTTTAGAGTTGCTTTAATGATAAGCAAGCTATAAAGATAACTCGGTAAACCATAAATTCTGCTTCAAAGTTTGAACCGGCTTATAAATTTAATCCTTTCTTAATTATTAACTTAACCATTTTAATTACGTGTTAATAAGCCTTATATATTTGTTCGTGTTAATTGAATTTGTTTTTTATAACGCGATATATTTTATAGATTTGATCTGACGATAAGTAAGCTTTAAAGAAGCTATAAGCTATGAAGAAAATTTGTTAAACCAGATCAGCACACTGCTGCACGACGCCCATTGTCGGTATGATCAGCTGTGTATGCTTCGACCTTAGGAAGCGTGACATAAGACGGACAACGCCATGTTTGCGAAGCTCCTCCTTGACTTTCGGACTGCTGCTCAAGGAATCTAGGACCTTGGCGCAACCTATAGCGACCGCCACGAGTTCCTTGTTGACCTCACTCAATTCGTCATACGGTCGACGGAGAATCTCATTTGGCACATCCATCACATCTAGCTAACAAAGTAATTATTTAGCAATATTTAGAAGATCAAATTTTAAAAGATATTAATACGCTTCGATATTTAAAAATTGCATGTATAATAATTTTGGAAAACTCTCGAAATACATTCGTTTTATCGATATATAATTTCCCATGGAGTGAATAAAAATATGAGTAGTTACAAAGATAACTCACTATGAGTGGTATTCCACCACGAATTCGAATCTGCTTCCTGGCTTTCCTGACTCGAGCTATAATCGCCAATGTTTCTGCGGTTAAAATCTGAAAAATGAAAATAGTTAAACATGGTTTATATAATAAAATTAGATGAAACAAAAAAAAAAGTAAAACGCGCGATAATTACGTATCTAAGGATTTAAATATTTAGGATATTTAGGATAATTTTTAGCATTTCTAACTCGTTGGCTGATAATATAAGCTCAATCGATGATTAAATTGAATTTTAATATAAGCTTCAATCGATGATTAAATTGTAAAAGCTCTCAAAATTGGAATCGGTGACCTGGATATCTCTAGCGGGATGCTTCAGCATTTGGATTAACGGTGTCGTGATGTCCAAGTCGATCAAATATCGCTTCATCTCCGTGGAAGTCGCAATTTGCAATAGCACCGACAGCGAACCATTCTGACACTTGATGTCATTCGTTTCCAAAAGGTTCACCAAAACCTCGAGACCGCCCATTTCCTGGACAGCCTTTTGTATGATCTGTACTATCACGATTAAATTTAATCGTGGAAATGAAAGAGAAAAAATTTTTATTCATTTCTTTATAAAATATAATAAATCTTTATTTTCAAAGATATCCAGGTAGCAAGATGACGTCTTAAAGACGTCATCTTGCTACCTATGTATCCATATTAATTATTTTATAATAAAATGAATAAATTTGTTTAAATAAAATATTTGTATTTCTTATTGCTTTCTTTTGATATAATAAAATTAATTTAATTAATATAATAAATATAATTTAATATAATAAAATTTATTATATTTTAATGATATAATTTATTTAATAATATAATATAATAAAATTTATAATAAAATTAATTATATTAAAATTAATTTTATTATGAAAATGAATAATTATAAAAATAATCTTATTATAATAATTTAATTATAAATTTTATTATTAGTGAAAGATGAAAGGAACCTTGTCGGTGAGATCATAATCCTTCAGCAGACACAAGGATACCATGGTGGCGGTTTGATTGCCAGCCTTCATGTACTTAATGAGCTTTTGTATATGCCAGAACTCGGAAGGTACTTCCGGGTGATCTTCCTGACGATATCTGGCTTCTTCTTCGCCCTCCGATTCTGGCTCATCGTCGGAGCTCTCCTCTTCGGCTTTTTCGCTGATAATACGCACTCGAGGGCCATAAGGTTCGCCAGTGAGTAGAGATATCTGTGGCTTCGTAGTCTCGGGTTCAATCGTCTCTGCGATTTCTGGCTCTGATCTACAGAAACGAAATTATAGTAAACTCATTTAATTCTATGTTTTAAGAGTTTTATCTATTAAAAATTATTTATTAGAGATCCTTTTCTCCTTCTTCAAATCTTAGAGAAAATGTACAATGATTCTAGATTAATCTCAAATTTTTAATATAAAAATATTTTAAATCTTAAAGTTTCTTATTGGAATAGCTTGAGTTACATAATGTATGATATTCCAAAGCATCATAAATTAGAAATTTTTATGGAATATCAATCTTGACGATGCAATAAAAAAACCTTTGCTTATACTTTTGATTAACTTGCATTTGTATGAGGCTTATACATTTTTTTAGGAACATTTAGCACAATAAAGTTTTCAAAATTATTTTCTTACAATTAGTGGTATAAATATAAGAATTTGAAGATCTAGATTATATATATATATATATATATATATATATTTTTTTTTTTTTTTTTTTCTTAAAAAATATCTAAAAACGACTTATCATCATTTAGTCGTTTTTAAGATGCATCGTCAAGATTTTGAGGTGATCTATTGTGCTGCTCGAGAGAAAAATTCTCTTTCTTGGAGAGAATTTCTTTTTTGGTTTAGAAAAAAATTTCTTTTTATACAAATTTTCTTAAAAAAAAACAAATCACTAAAATTTATAAAAACAACATTGAAAAAAATCCAGCTGTCTAATATTAAAATCTGTAAATAACAAGCTAACGAATACGCGATTAAAAATATCATGGATTGGAAGAGTCAACACGCCGATTTTATCCATCAAAGAAATTTAAATTGGCAGATAAATTTTTTTCCTCGAATATTTCTCCCCCAAAAAAACTTTTGTAGTATATATCACTTTGATATTGGGATTTGAGCTGGTGAGCTCATGTAACTGCCCATCACGAAGAGAATGGCCATTTTCGAGAAGATTTCTCGAACATCGAAATTCCATTAATCCTCTTTGAAAAGAAATGTCGGATATTTTTAGTAATATCAAGTTTAAAAAAGTAAATCTCCAAGATTTGATTTTGACACGGTTCGATAGAAAAAGGTATTTTAGAAAAGGTAAAGAAGCGAAGAAAAAAAGTATTGCATATTGAGTACTTGTTAAATATGAGTTGCACACACATACACACACACACACACACACACAGAAATATGAAACAAAGCGGTCGTTGATTATTAATGAAGAGCTTGTTCCTCCCTCCTCCTGATTCCATTTTCCACCTGATTCTATCTGGTAACTGAATAGATTTATACGATATATTTTATTATATTTGAATTGTATCCCATACAATTAATGGTATAAATTAATAATAGATTATAATCTCTTTCTGCTTGTAAAATAAACAATAGCATTAATACAAAGGCAAAACTAAAGCCAGTACGGATTTATGTGATTCGTTTTTGCATAAATTTATTTGTGTCAATTTACTTACTCAACATGATTCACCTCCTGTGGCGCAATTTCTTTCTTTTTCTTCGGAGGCATTTTTTATGCAGCAAACATAAGTTTGCGATAAATGTTTTTCTTTTTTTGAAGAACAACGAAAAGAAGTCTTTTTCGGGAGATATTAATCTTTGAGCTCGCTGACACGTTTGACAATCGCCACGCTGGAATAGAGTACTATCGATCAAACAATTATCGCCAATTTCGTTTGAAATCCATCGTCTTGTCCGGAGTAACGAAAATTTGACGCTTCGAAAAAAAGCGAATAAAACATTATTGATGGCACTTTTTTAAAATACCGGTGCGTCATCGTTATTTATGCGATATTGCGCGCCTGAAGTAAGCCACTTTCGAACATGTCAATTTTCATTTAGCGCACGATCCCTCTTCACAAAATTCTCAGTCATTTTTGAAAACGTATCGTATAGAAACTTATCGACACGTTTTGTAAAAACGCACGCCGTAAAAATGTCACGCAAATTATTGATAATTCTCTGTATTAAAAGCGCTTCGTAAAATTATGCGCATTCTCTTCGAAAAGTTTATTCGACACATAACATCAATTCGGGGAAGAGAACACTTTAGTCGGATGAAATATGGACGCGTCTCGTAAAATCTCATCGCATTTGTCGTTCGAAAAAATCGTTCCTAGCGAATCGACGTGATCGCCGCGAAAATACGCGAAAAACCAACCGGAAAAGCTGTAAAAAAAGAGACCGCACGACATGTGAACAAATGTTCATCATACACATATACGCTTCGCCATTCGCCGTCATTTTACTCTTACTGTCGTTGAGTATCTGGCTCTGCATATGTCGATGGGGTTTCGGTTACAACTTGAAAGACAGAGAGGTAATTCACGAATATTTACAGACTCCACATCTCTTTATTTTTCATACGTTAATCGTAACAATAATACATCGCTCTCTTCTGAATCGGAGAAATATATTTTTCCACCAAAATATGTGCTTAAAATATTGATTTTTTGCAGATCGTTCATTGCCTGGTGATCTACTTTATCATCATCACGCTGCTCAACGTGATATTTTTAGGGCACATAAGATTCTTTGGTCATTATCCTCCGGAAATGAGGGATAATTAATCAAGTATATTGAAAATAGCGTGATGTTTTAATTATAGAATGTCATAAAAGACGACGGGAATTTAATCATTTCATATTTTTCAATTCATATTTTTATTTTTACAGGTATATCGTTCGTTAAGGCACATCTTTTTCAAGTGATTTGAAACTTTGCATCAACAAAGAGAGAATAATTTATATCGGGGTAATTATTTTTACAGAAATTGTTTATGGTATAAGATATTACACTGTCCTTTTACTTTATCGTTCGAAGATGTTTTCTTACTTTAATTTGCAGCGACTAGATGGCATTACTTGCTTTGTTTTGAGCCGACAGTGCACAAGAGGAGGGTTACTAGTTGTGTCACCTAGAATCAATAGTGTGGAATATTAATTTACAAGTGAATTAATGATCTTTCGTGATATCTTTTAGTAAGTAAAGTATCTCTCGTTTGATGGATATACGTGACAAGTGTTTGTAGTTGAGAAAATTAAAGGTAGCATGATTAATTCCAAATCATAACCTAACCTAAAATCCGTACAACTATCGCACAATAACATTGATATCGATTCTTTTTATAACAAAAAAAATTTATAACAAAAAAAAAATTTTTATTATTTTTCTGCCATTAACTTTAGCAAACATGTACTTTAAATTTTTACATACGTATATATTTAATTTTTAATGGATAAGTATATGTGTATATTATACATACTGTTATATATTTTATCCAAAATGCTTTAGAAAAAAAATTTGTTCCAATTGTTAAGATAGTAATAGGTACAAAAATGTAATTGCCAATATTTTTTTTACAGAAATGAGCTTGAGAAGACACGCTCAATTCATCAGTCGTACAATTTTTGTACAGAACAACGACGTGGACAAGGCATGTCGCATATTAAATCGCATATTATCCAAAGAGGAAATATTTGGCCAATACAGACGCACCAGGTACTACGAAAAGCCAACCTATGCCAGACGCAGGATCAATTTTGAGAAATGTAAGGCAATTTACAACGAAGATATGAACAGGAAGATTGAATTTCTTCTACGAAAAAATAGAGTGGAACCATTCCCTGGTGCATCATAAAACTACAGATCTTAGTTTCAATTGTACAATTGCGAAGCTTTCTACAAGTTTATTTACATGATTTAATTTATGAATGCTGGTACAGAAATATAGAGAAAATGTTTTATCGCAACAAATATTGATTATTTCTATTATTTATGTATTATTGGTGCATTTGGTATTAAAAAAATTTTTTTTTTTTCCCATTACTATAGTCGCTAATATTCCAATGCATACTTAATATCGACAGATTTTGAAATATGTATTTCCATAGTTCCATATAGGATATAAATTAATTAACGTGTTATTGTGCATTCTACAAAAATACAGTGTTGCATTAAGAGACTGGAGAATCAATAAGTAAATACGCGAGATGATGGATCAACAACACGACGGTTTAAACGTTAATGCAGCGTCAAGGAGCGAAATAAAAAATCATCCTGGCGGACAGAAACGCATTTTCCCGTTATCTCGCGCCATAAGTAACTCAAGAAAGTCCCTGCGCAGAAAGCTCGTTTCTCTCTTCCTTTTTATTCCCATCCCTCTTTCGGTGAGCGACTTTCATCATCTTTCTTTCGCGAGAGAGGCGAGAAAAGACAAAACGCCCGGTTGGTCGGTTGGTTTTCCTGGCAACGACTCCGCCAACTTGGCGAAAATTGAATAGATAGTGGTGTCCCCGGTCATGCCAAGTTTTCCTAGCGGAGGAGTCGGTGAGGGAGCGAGAGAGAGAGACAGAGAAAAGGAAGACGCGCGTGATCCTGTATTCTCTATTTGGCGATAAAACGAACGATGATGCCGCGTATTAGAGTAGAATAAGTAAGTTCTGTTTCTGCGCTCTCAGAACTCGATTTCCGAAATCGTTCTCGCAACGAAAAATGTTTGGCGAGACGTCCAGCTAGAACGTTAGCGCGAATCGAGAAAACAAGACTTTATACGTCATCGAATTTGCTCGTCCCTCCCCCCCCCCTCTCTCTCTCTCTCTCACACGCTAATTTTCGCTCGGAATAATGCAATTTTTAAAAGATTATATTGGCATTTGTGAATTAAATTCCATAATAATATTCCGGATAAATAGGTTTAATTTGGAATATTCTAATTATATATTTCTCATATTTGAATTTATTTATTTTTTGCATTATTTATCTTTCATTTTCTCATTCATAAAAACGTCTATATGGATGTATTTAACTTTCGAAAATTAAAAATGAAAATAAAAGGAGTGATTAAAATTAAAATAAATAGAGAGAACGAGAGAGAGAGAGCGAGAGCGACTTAATCAATTTGTAATATTGTACAACTGTAATCCGGAAGATTTAATTAACAAATCTATTAATAATCATTTCAAATACAGACAAAAGATAATGCTATTAGTATTAGGAATGCGATCCATCCAAAATATGCCAACGCTGCCCGCGCTGCCGCCGTATGATACCTTGATATAAAACATGTAAATATTAGTCGTAATGGATAGATTGTTCCCGAAAGGGTTAAATGAATATAAATTCCGGCGAGTCGACGCGCTGGCAAAGGTACACGTTCCTTAATGCGCCCGACAAGTCGTATAATCCGCAATTTATTCGACCTCAGTCGTCATAAATCCCACCTAACGCGGTACGTTATTCCCGTAACTAGGAGTGGCAAACGGATCTCATTTCAGCCATCGGGACCGCACTGTCGTCGCGCCGCGAGAAGGGTGAACGGGTAGACGGGACACCGACCGTCGTCTCGCTTGAGAAGGCGGTTTGGCTTAACTCCCGGGAATCTGGATCCGAAACTATCCGACCAACTACTCGCAAGACAGTTTGCCCAGAACCAGATTTCTCAGTCCCGGGGGATGCCACCCTGCCTACGGCCCCCACGTCTTCCCTCCGATTCTCTACCGTTCTCGTCTTCGTCCCCTCCCCCTCCCTCCCACCGCCTCCTCCCCCTCCCCTCTACGCCCCTTCCGAGCCATTTCGATTTGAAACTCCGCGTATGCCTTCTCTGCCGAATGACATGATGGCTCTATTATTGCGCGAGTGCTTTTGGATATTGCGTTATGTGGTGGGATCGGATTTTCGGGCGTGCTGATCGAAAACATTCTCGAAATGAACAGGGGTCGTGAAAAAAAAAGCTTAGCTATAATAAAACGACATTGAATATATCCCGACTCGAATTCTGTCGAAAATCTGCCTTGAATTCTCCGCGAAATATGATCTTTATTTATCTGCGCTTTTTTTTTTATTCAATTAATTTTAAATAAAACATCCGTACATTTCCAATAATAAATTTCCTTATACTGTCTTAACATAAGATTTTCGTTTATACGAAAGACTGAATCATCGAAAGATATTTATATAAAAAATGTTATCATTGATAATCATCGTATTTTCCATGCATTAACGTTAACGATAAAACTGCAGAATCGAGAGGTTCGAGGAAATTTTTGTTTAAATAAAACATCGCTCCGAGACGTCTGGTCTCGCTTATCAAAACACCTCGAAGCGGAGGCGAAATGACATCGGGTCTGTCTTTAAACGGAAACCCGCGGATCGGGTCCTCCCGCGAGACGGATGCGTCGAGTTTCAGCTGCATCGGAAATTTCGGATTTAAGAGTTTGCCCTGTCAAGTTCGCGGACGAGGCTGCGCTTATCGCAAACTTTATTCGCGAGTCCTGCCGACACCGACACCGTGTCTTTCTCTCTCGCTTTGTAGATCGATTTCGAATACCTCTTGAATTTGATTACCATTTGAAGGAGAAGCGATACATTATTTTTCTAAGACCTCGCAAGTCCGCGGACTGCATATGAAATGCATAAGAGATCCAATATCATTTATATTTAGATATACGGTATATGAGAAACCCGATATATTTCGTATAGGAAATTCAATATCATTTGCGTTCGCTCTTGTTTTGCAATGTAATTACATCATCAATAATATAGTGTTATTTCCCGCGCAACGTAATTATCTTGGGTTATGCGAGAATTAACGTAAAATGCTGACGGATTACAAACGAGCAATCTTTTGCCTAAGCGTTTTAACGCACGCGAAAGAGAAAGCTTTTTCTGAGGAATAAAAAATTCTAGAGAGGGCTTTCTCGCGGTTTTCTTACTCCATTACGAGTCTACCCCCGGAGAGACCGCGGGATTTATCCATCGGGATCTCACCTTGCGTGGAATTAATCGTCCAACCTACGCTTATCAAAAGAACTTTCGCGACGATATTTTTAGGTCCGTCTTCGGGCCTCTGAAAAATAGTTTGGAAGAGGCGGAATTAGGGGGAATTTTATGGCCACGGGGTAAAGCACCAGGTTGAGTCATGTAAGCGCTGATCTTTTCCTGATTTTGCCTCTTATTCTCCTCTTCCTGCCTCCAGCCCTCTTCCTCTTCCTCTTCATCCCTCGACACGACTCGTTTCTCTCTCTGATTTTCCACGTTCAACTCGAAACCTACTTAACTTGGCCGTCGCGTTCGTCATCGCAGACCGCTAGAAGACAAATTTGCCGTATGACATAATATTGGCTTAGTGTCTTGAGCAACTTAGGATACTAAACCGATAAACAGTACTTGTCCGCAAATATGAGATCCAGGATACCTCTCGATTGCGCTCCAAGCACGAGATATATATTCTTATATTCGATATTTGATTCATGTTCGATTCTCTCTGTTTCCCTTCGATCTTTCGCGATTCTTTTCTGAAAAAGGAATTTCGCTCGAGAGGTCAAGAGGACGACGTCTCGGGGCCGATATCGGAAATGAAACTCGAAACCTATAGTCGGGTCCATCTTAAACGCGACCCCGATCGATCCACGAAATATGTATGTATACATTAACGGGAGTGATGGACTCTCTCGCCCGTTCAATTTTGTATCAGGTCGCGAGATCGAGTGCGAGGCATCAGCCAACGAGCCCCTAAATCGAGCAGGAAACTGACGCTGATCGTAAGTAACTGACGTAACTCCCCCGCCGCGCAACGCGAGGCCCGTTGTATTCCCATCGCGTTAAACGCGATCGTCCAACTCGGGGAAAATTCGCTCGTGTAACGGAAGATCAGACGTCGAACGTAATCGTGCGCTCGCGCAAAATTAAGGCGAACGTGCGCTCGATTCATCGATGGCGGTGCCGATCGATTCGCGAGCCCTTCGGGGACGTCGCTCGTTGTAGGACGATTACCCGGGGACCCGGTGGCCGCTCATGAATAGCCGAGTATACAAAAGCGGCACAGAGACGGTGTCCCTTGCATATTGCAAGGGAAGCCTCAAAATTACTTTCGGTCGCTAGTTAATGCACGGTTCTCTTTCTCCCTCTCTTTCGTCGGGGCTTTAAATATTCCAATTGGCGAAGTTCGGGTCACCGCTCCGATCGTCGCCGATAGGTGCACCGAGAGCGAGCTAAATGAGCCGCGACGTAATTCAGTCTCGCCAAAGTTTTACTACGGGTCCAAATCCCGCCGTCACGTCGCCGAAACTGTCACACTGACGGTTTAGCCTCGCTCAGGGAACTCGCCCTTCCTCGCCCAAAGGATAGATAGGGCTGTCCACCCTGTCGAAAGGTAGACGAGTCGTCCCGAATGCGATCTAGTTAAGAGACCGACCTTTTTTTTTCCGCTATACATTTTCATCCCGTTTTATCCCGCGCGAGGATATCGTTTCCCGATTGATTGTCGGACTGAAATTTTCCGTCGATATTAATCTCGCCTGAGAAAATCACGTTTCTCTCGAAAGGAATAATAAGAATTAATAAATGAGGAATTTGACTCAAATAAATAAACAAAAATTAAATCAAGATTGGTATAAGAGCGATAGTTGGAAGACACAACACTTTCTTCTTATTGATTATTATTTCTTCGAAAGCTAAACATTATATAAATAACGTTTCGGATTCGTCTTTGATTCTTCTTTTTAGCGCGATTAAAAATATAAAAACAAACTATTGCATTGTAAAAAAGGAGAAAAGTTTATCTCCTCGACGCGCGGGTGACCCGAAACTGCTGAGATCTAGCAAACCTGCTGCTTCCAAAAGTTTATCAAATGTATTAAAATTTGCTGTGTAGAATCGCGATCGAGTAAAAAAAATTAATTAACCGATTATAAACCAAAAATAACAATAATTTATTACGACGATCGTAATGATTCCTTCTCAGGAATAACAAGTAAACTTGCTGTTTCCAAAAGTTTATCAAATGTATTAAAATTTTCTGTGTAGAATCACAGCAGATCTAACAGATCGAGTAAAAAATTAATTAATTGATTGTAAACCGATAATAATAATAATTTATTACGACGATCGTAATGATTCCTTCTCAGGAATAAGAAGTAAACTTGCTGCTTCCAAAAGTTTATCAAATGTATTAAAATTTTCTGTGTAGAATCACAGCAGATCTAACAGATCGAGTAAAAAATTAATTAACTAATTATAAACCGATAATAATAATAATTTATTACGACGATCGTAATGATTCCTTCTCAGGAATAAGAAGCAAACCTGCTGCTTCCAAAAGTTTATCAAATATTATTATAAAATTTTCTGTGTAGAATTACAGCAGATCTAACAGATCGAATAAAAAATTAATTAACCGATTATAAATCGATAATAATAATAATTTATTACGACGATTATAATGATTCCTTCTCAGGAATAAGAAGCAAACCTGCTGCTTCCAAAAGTTTATCAAATATTATTATAAAATTTTCTGTGTAGAATCGCAGCAGATCTAACAAATCGAATAAAAAATTAATTAACCGATTATAAACCGATAATAATAATAATAATAATTTATTACGACGATCGTAATGATTCCTTTTCGGGAAGAAGGAGAAAAATACGTAGACGAGCATAAAAAGCAGATATTACGAGTCCCCTATTGACGTCGATCGCGACTCTTGTCGAGCGAGAAATCGAAATAAGACAACGAATTTCGCATTCACTTACGCGGGAGCTGCGCGTGGGAATATGGGTCTTCTTGTTGTGCAGGAAAAAAGCTATGTCGGTTATTTCAGCGTCCGTCGAGCGAGAAATCGATGTTAAAGACATTACGTCGTCGATGTCGTCGCTCGCAGCCGCTTGAAAATCGACGAAAAGCAACGAAAAGGAAGCGCGCGCGATCGAGACGAGGAAAGAGGAACGTTTCGAGCGAGTTGAGAGGCGATCGATGAATATGGAACGCAGATAAAAAAGCGTTCGCGCGCGCGAGAAAAAGAGAAAGAGAGAGAAAGAGAATGAAGGTCCCCGGAAAAATATTCCCAAACGACTCTCTCGCTATCGTCTACAATACATACGTACATGTATGTATTGTACGGTCAAAACACACGCGCGAATTTCTACGAGTCTCGGGCATCATGACGTAGATTTAAAAAATTGCATGCTAATACTTGCAGATGATATACCGCAAAGGTATCAGGCCACTGATGAAAGTTAAACAGCCGGTGCGCGGAAGTGAATGGCAAAGTGGTATTACAATAACTTTGGTATTCCGGCCAAGTTTGCGTACAAGGGCGGACGATATACGCGATTATACGATGATTTTCATCGTCCCTTTTTGAACAATGCGCGTTAATACGCAAATATTGGTTTCGAATATTGCGGTACGATACGTTTTATTGAATCGTACGTTGTGCAGTGGCTCTCTTGTATCGTCAAGTTTGCAGTACTTCACCGAGATACCGATGTAATTGATAAGATAAAAAATAAGAGATAGATGTCTGCGCATGTGGCTGTACACATTTGCATTTATCTGTAATTAATATAAACAATATATATTATTAAAAGTATTATTTTTTCTTCCTACGTCTTAATTATCACTTGATGACTTTTTATTTTAATTTTTCACGGCACTTGTTTTGCATTCTTTTATAAATATTTTCAGAGGGAAATTTCTCCAATTAGATTTGTTTTTCTTACTATTTTACTCTTACGCGGTTTATTTTTCAAACATTTCAATTGTGATTAAAAATAGCGAAGACAACGTTATATCTAAAATAAAGTGACATTTATAAAATAAAGAGAGAAAAGTTATGCATCTCTGTTGGGAGAAGCCAAATGCGCATACACGCAATATTATTGTCAAGCTTTGAGCTTTAAAAGTCTTAGATACTTTTAATAAAAATGTTCGACAAGCATATACGATACATCGGGGGACTGTATTTTCTTGCAAAATTCCTTTGTTATATCTGACTAGATTCGATTTTATTAATTCGACCTCCCGTCGATACAGCAAGAATGCGTTTCTTCCACGCAAAGACTTATTCCGCGACCTCGTGACCTTTCTTTCCTTTGATCCTTGTCCCATTTTTGTTACGCCATCCTCGACTACGACTTCATCGACGTGCGTCACTCGGCGTCCGCCGTTCCGGCGTCGTCCTTTTATTTACTTATTTTTCTCCCTGCCCCCTCCTCGCTCTTTCTTTGATCCTTGAGGATGGTTTGACTACGTGGACCGCTCCATTTGCATGGATTTCAATCTCAAAGATCGTGGATCCGCGACTATCCTTTCCGGGTAGACGTCGTTATCCCTTTCTAGTCTGAATTAATAGTCTCAATCATACGGCATCCGTCGAATATTTTTGAATAATTTTCAAATTTCTTACTCCCTTGTTACTTTCAATTATTCACGCGACACTTTTCACACGACCGCGTTACTTCTTGTCAGCGTCAATTACGGCCAGACCGTATTCGGTACTCGACGTCTCTTTGAGATAAATAATTGTGTAATACTTGAATATAAATTGCGTATAATATTGTCGACTATATAATCGTAATTTTAGTGCCGCGACTTTACTCAAAGTAACTTGTTCCCCTCGGATATCCAGGAACGTAACGTAATGAAATTATATGCAACATGTTTTATGTCGCGACTCGCCCGACAATTATAAAAGCGAGGTAATATGCGAGCGAACCTTCTCTCGGCTTTCGAAATAGTGAAGCGAGAACGGGAGCAGCTTTTTACCGGCTTTCGTTCATAGAAACGGGGGAGTTTCTACGAATGGCGCCGACAAAGTTGGAAAACTCGCCATACATATTGGCAACGCTAAGAAACTTTTAATGAAAATCGAGCAAGACTCTTTTCTATCCCGCGATCTTCCGTTCTGGGGGAATGGATTCGAGAATGGTTTTCCGAAATTCTATCTATCTTGGATGCTGTACGTGACACGAACGTGTACAAAACGGCACGTATAGATTAGCCCCCCGTGTGTATTTTGTTTCCTATTTATTCCTCTGCACGGATTGGACTCTTTCGGATTTCCAAAATTTGCAAAAGGAAGAAAAAATTAAATTCATTACCAACAGAATATCTGGTCGTTCCATTCATCTTTTCTGCGATCAAACGTTAATCTCGAAATTTCAACCTATTCAAATTCAACAGATTTTTTTTACATTCTCCCAAAAATTTGCGACTTTCAATTTCCACACTGAAAAAAAATCTGGTTGCATTAATAGAATTCTGGTAGATTCAACCAGCGTCTGTTGGAAAATGGACGAACCAGAATTCTTGTAGGAATTACCAGGTGTTTCCGATTAATTTCTTCCTGTTAAATTTATCAAATTTTCTTGTTAATAATACTAAACTCCCCAGCACCAAGTCGTCTAAAATTTTTTCCATCTAATTTCAAGTCTGTTTAATATTTTGAATTCCAATCAAATTATTGGATAAATTCAATCCAGATTATTGAATAAATTATTTTAAGTTCAGTTTGTAGAAATTAAACTGATAAACAGTGATACAAGAAGAGGATGCACAATTCAAACACACACAATCAGAGCGTCCTCTTTCTGGCACTATTGTTCGTAAAAGAAAAAAAATATACTTTGGATTTAATGTTAATACTAATTCTTTATATACATTTCATGACAAATATTAAATACGAGTTGTATGAATAAGTTAAGAGTGGCTTGCCTAACAAGCAAAGAAATTAACGCAACAAAAAATTTTATAGATTCAACCAGAAAATACTAATCAAATCCTTATAGTAAAGTCTATTAAACGTTCTAGTTATAAAAAATCGAGTCTTATCACGATAACTAGAAATTCTTGTTTGATTTAATCAAAATGCCTTCAATCATATACGTCTTGTTGATACAATCAAACAATTTTTCAGTGCAATTTCAAAATTTTGCCCTACATTTGCGCTTTATCGGAATATATGAATTTATTAAAGTATTATCAGGTTTCATAGAGCCGTAAACCGCAGAGAGATAATACAGTTTCGTCGAAATCCATACTATAAAAAGCGCGCGAAACATCATTTCCTCTCTCTCTCTCTCTCCAACTCCAACTCCCTTTTCTTCATTCGCTGCCGCTTCGATTCGCGCACACGTAGGGGTTCGATTAATAAAATCTCACGCCAGTTGAACGAGCTCCGTAACGACGTCGGCGCCAGTGGCCGCGGCCAAGGTGCATGATGACGATGACGCGAGAGGAACTCGCCCGAGATCGCGATCCGGGCGCGAGCGCGAGCGCGAGAGAATGAGAGAGAAGGAAGGAGAGACGGATCGCGGGACCGGTGGCGTGAGCGATCGACGCATGCGCGCTGGCGCCTTCGAAACTCGGCGCGCGTTGCCTCCGACTCCGGCGGCGCGAGTCGCTCGGTCAGTGGTGCACGGTCGCTCGCGTGGTGTGTACGTGTCGAACGCATCGCGTCGACCAGAACCGCGGAAATAGAGAAAAACCGTGCGAGTAAAGAAAGAGCGCGTTTTATACTCGATCTTACGCTCGGTCTTATCTCTCCTCTTCCTCTTCTCTCTCCCTGGCTTCGTCGTTGGTGCGATTTTTTTTCGTCCAGTTGCCTGTTAAAAATAGAAGAGAGAAGAGCCTTTTTCTTCGTTCGACGACGATCGACCGCTACACTTCGTATCGTAAGCGAAATTCAAGCAACAACGAGTTGGAACATGAAGACGTTTATGGAGAATCAGCTGTCCTGGGTCGCGCTATTCACAACCGCCTTGTATTCCCGTGAGTATCACCCCCAGCTTCGACGAGTCTTGGACGAGCCGGCGTCTCGAAGTCGATTTAACGCGATAAGTTTAGCCTGTAATATATATACATATATATATGTCTTTATTTATTTACTTTATTTTCTTTCACGGACTTTTCGGATCCGAAAAACGTATACTCACTTCTTATATTTATATTTATATATAGTACATTTATTTCTTGTCAAGCACAGAAGACGAGCGAATTTTTTATACATGTACGTCACGATCCTCTTGATGATTTAATTGGACCACGTTGACGATGCGCGAGCTGAAGCTTGCGACTTTAGTACGCTACGAATAAAATGTAACATGAAAAATTTGTATATTCCTTTTCACGTGTAATTACTTTCCATCTCGGGTTTTAAATCGACCAACGATGAGCCTCCTACGAAAAATTGGCGCTTCCTCGAATCTCGACCTAATCGTCGCTATTTCGCTAATCGCCTCATTTCCGGATCGGTCGCTCCTTGACGTAACCATTGTCATCACGCGCATCGCTTTTCTACGCGTGAAAATGATCGGTTTAATGGGATGAGAGGGATGTACATCCGGAGACATCCAACAAACGTTCTAGTATACGAATCGCGTGATTATTTAATCGCAAACTCATCAAATGCATAACACTTCGCGAAAAAAAGCGCGAATGACAAGTCACTGATGACGAATCAGGCGTCTACAATCGCATGCTTGGCAATATTTTTTCAGCAAAAATAACAGTATCATTACATTATTTACATTCGAGCATTCATTTTTAATTCCATGTTAATATTATAATCGTATTAAATCGATGCGTATGAAATTCGATAAATCTATTAATATTACATTTGTAATCGTCTCGACTTAACGCCAACGCGCGTCATTCAATAAACAAGTATAATTTACGGTGATAGCGATTATCGCTCTTCCGGGTTTGCCTACGTCATTTTTCGAACGAACGTAATAAGTGTCGCGCGACACCCTCGCTCTTCTCTTTCGCGAAACGTAGGTCAAGGACGCCGCTTCAAGTACATAACGGCGGAGAAGGAGGAGGAGGACCGACTGCGAGATTAAAGCAGGACGCGCACGACGCGACGTCCCCGATGCTTAAAATTTGCTGTGAGAAAAAATGCGGAAGGGACGAAATTATCGACGTGAACGCGCGAGAAACACCTGTCGAGTTTCAACGAAATTGGAATCGGAAGCCGAGACCTAGGCTCGGACGTGCGTATTTTAGGAGTAATAAAATTTGTCACGCGCCACCTTCTTCGAGAGTCACGTCCCCCTTCTCGTCGAACTCGCACAAATATTTCTAACGAGACTCGAAATTATGCTTGAAATTAATCTCGGGCGAAATGAACTTTGCCGAGGCAATTCCTCGCGCTCGCGAGGAACAAACGATCAGTTAAACTACGGTTAAAGTTAAACGGCGACGGTGAGGAGGGTCGTAAAAAAGGCGAGGGAATTTCGCGCGATGGAAAATGTCTCGTTGGAACTTAATTCAGCCTCGTTTGGCGTGCTGTTGTAATTAGCCTCGCTGTAAAATTGGGACGTTTAATTAGAGCGGGGATTGATACTAGCGTGCGAGCAAAAATTCTCAAAGTATCGAGCAAGTTTTATCTAATTAGGTCGCGGACAAGTTCGTGCGCGCATCCCGTTCGCCCCGTATCTTTGAAAACGTGACGTACCCAAAATTATCGAGGAGATATCCCCGATATTAGAACAAGGGAGAAGCTTTTCCGACAATTAAGTCCTCCGCCTCTCTCGCGTTTCTCCCATTCCCGGGCCGTTTATTTCAATAGCGACGCGAATCGATTTCTTTTTGATAGTTTATTAATCTGTCAGTGTCGGTGAGTGATCGAAAGGTCCGCTCTCGATGACGGAAAGGAATCTCGCGATGAGATTCTTTCATGCAGTCGACTGCAAAAATCTCTCGAAATATTAATCGGATAAAATGAAAACGCGCGTTATCTCTTTTTTTTCCCCTCTCGACGAGGAAGATAGCATTCTGTCAAAATCACTCGAGATGAAATTTCCAAGTAAAAACAATTTTAAATAGCTGGATGTGAAGTTTATTCGACACGTGCAATTTCAAATCCGGGTAGGATTAATATTACAGCAAATTATTCTATTCATTGAGAACCAGTTTGGTGGCATATCTTTGAAACAGGCGCGCATGGACTCTCGTCGAGCATGGAACTTGAAAAACTGCTCGACTAAATTAATAAACGACGAATTCCCGAAGAGTTCCCGAAGAGTTCCCGAAGAGTTCCCGAAATATGTCTCATCGATTAAAAAAGCCTAGCGTTCTTTATAGACGATCTTAAAATAAACAGCTGACACGTGTTCGGGACAACTCGATCTAAATCGAGTGTTTTCCTGACACGCGTTTGGAATTAGCGAGTTCCAAATTTAAAGTCGCTTTCGGAGGTAGAAGAGCGACGGAATACATACGTAAACTCGGAATACCAAGCCCACACACACGCGCACACGCGCGCGATCAGTCTCCTCTGTGCGACCATGTTTCTGTAAATTGTGTTTACGACGCGTCTAATCGTCTCGAATGTCGGAGAGGAGCGATGACGAGGATCGCCGCCGGCCTTGAATTCACATTCGGGGCGTCTATTAGAGTTCCCCGTGCATCTCGTGACGCGAGCGAAAACGGATAAACAAGACGATCCGATCGTGCTCCCTAATCGCGCGATGCGTACAATCGTGAATATTAATCCCGCATGCCTCGATTCGCGAGCGGGCTAATTCTATCGTAGCGCGTAAGCGTATTAACGTGACACACCGTGGCGTGATATGACGTCGCTTTCGAATAAATAAATTCCGACTCGCATTTGCCGAACGCCTTGGATTACATCATCGCGTACACGAGTCGTTACGCGCGCATACTGGGTGTGTCTGAAATGCACTAATTTAGGAGCGTATTCTAGGGATCGAAATATGAGACTTTTTTTTTTCTATGAACATGGATCCGCAAATGAATCCTCCTCTGAGTTAGAGGCCTCTAAAGTTTGGGGAAAAAATTAAAAATTGGCTGTATTTCAGAAAAAAAAAGTTTTGACCCTCTCTTGAGAGATAAATAAATTTGCGTTGCGAGTGTTTGGTCAATTTTACGCATTTTCGAATTTTGCAGATCCATGTTCGTAAGAAAAAAAGTCTTATTTTGATCTCTACACTGAAAAAAAATCTGATTGCATTAATTAGAATTCTGAATTCTAGATTCAAACCAGTATGTCTGGAAAATGGACGAACCAGAATTCTTGTAGGAATTATTAGATGAATCTGATTAATTTCTTCCTGTTAAATTTACCAAATTTTCTCGTTAATAATACTAAACTCCCCAGCACCAAGTCTAAAATTTTTTCCATCTAATCTCAAAAGTCTGTTTAATATTCTGAATTCCAACAAGATTATCGAATAAATTCAATGCAGATGATTGAATAAATTATTTTAAATTCAGTTTCTTAGAAATTAAATTGATAAACAGTGATGCAAGAAGAGGATGCAGCTCAAACGCCCACAATCAGAGAGCTAGCGTCCTCTTTCTGGCACTACTGCTCGTAAGAAAAAAAAATATACTTTGGACTATTTAATGTTAATTCTAGTTTTTATATACATTTCATGGCAAATATTTAATATGAGTAAAATTAAGAGTGGCTAGCGGCAAACAAAGAAGTTAATGCAACAAGAAATTTTATAGATCCGATCAGAAAATACTAACCAAATCCTTATAAAATCTATTAAACATTCTAGTTATAAAAAAATCGAGTCTTATCTTATCATGATAACTCGAAATTCTTGTTTGATTTAACCAGAATGCCTTCAATCATATACGTCTTGTTGGTACAATCAAACAATTTTTCTCAGTGCAGAATACTCTCCTAAAGTTTAGTGCATCATCTCAGATACACTGTATATAGGAGCATTATTAGATAATTGACTTGTTTACCATCTTTCCACGTCTACATTTCAATTACTACCTTACGTACAACACATATCGATAATGTGATTTTTTTTTTATATTTCAATCTAACGACATATCTATTGAAATCAAATCGATCCAATTAACACAATTAAACCATCTCGATAAGATAAGGATCTCAACGATAAAAGTGAATATATCTTGCGGCGGGGAAAGGGGGGCTCTGACGATCGTAGCTCGGTCCTTTTGCGACGAGACGCTCCTCTCTCTCTCTCTCTCGCTACCGAAATAGCTGCGGCGGCGTTCAGGCGCGCGACCACGTGGGTAACTCGCTCCGTTACATCGTACGAGATGACGTAGCGAGCGGCGATTGGCCGAGTGGATGGGCGTGAGTCTCACCTCACCTTTAACGCACACGCACACATCGCGTGCGTGTGAGCGTCGCATCACGCCACATCACGCCACGCGAGGAGACATCCGATCGAGGCCTTTTTTCCTTGGCGAGAGCGGCAGATGTAGGAGGGAGAGAGAGAGAGGGAGAGGAACAGCCGGTTCGTTCGCGCGCGTACCACGCATTCCACGCAAAGTTTAGGTCCCACGTAAGACTTGTTGCGTGGCGTCGAGAGAGAGAGACGTATCGCGCGACCGGCTTTGAATTCACTCGCATACCCAGAGTTGATATTTTCGGTTTCCTTTACGAGTCTCTCTCCTCGCGGCTCTAAGTCTGTATATTTTGTCTCGCATCTCCTGTTTCCTCTTTAAACACGGCGGTAATTCTGCGGTTTACTCTGCGCCGCGTTGTGTTTAGTCTGAAGGGAAGGTAATATGGAGAATTTGGATAATAATGGAACAATGTGGAAAAGAATAATATAACGCGTGAAAAGAATGGGAGAAGACCGAGTAATAACAGCGGAGCAAATTAATTAAAGTTAGCGCAAATTCTTCTGTTGCGGAGAGTGCAAAAGATTAACATAAACAACTAACGTTCCATCTTTCATTTACGAGGAATAAAACTGACACGAAATAACGAATCGCTACGAATAATTCTATTCTTTTGCTAAATGAAAATA